GGGGGGGGGGAGGATTGGGTGGGGGAATGGCTGCGCGGGACGCGGTGAAGGTCTACTCGCACAACAGATTGCATGCGTCATTCTTTCGTCTGACCAGTCGATCAGTGCGTCGTCTTGATTTGACCAGATGTTCGTTGGATGGCGTAGATTACCTAAGTGATGAAGAATGTAGACGATTGATTGACTCACCGATGGGAAAACAGTGTGAAGTTCTTTTTGCACCTCTTTCTAGTCGAGATTTCGTTTTGGATTTAATTCATAAGATGACAACTCTTCGACTATTAGTACTTGAATGCTACGAAGATCCGAAAATCTTCAAATATTATAAATGTAAAAAGGATGAACTGTTAGAATGGCTGCATCATCAATTACTCACAACATGTCTGATTGTTCGCGATCAGACATCTCCGTCGAAGATTAAAATTTGGATCAATCGGGATGATCTAACATCAAATTGTGACATTATCGTCCCAAAAGATCGAGGCAAAATACTTCGCTCGATCAAATCGACATTTCCACGTCTATTTCGAAAATCATCATTTTATCAATAAAAACACTTGCGTTTTCTCAGTATTTATGATATATAATTCCGATTTGCATTTTGGAAATACATATATCACTTGAAACACACTTAGAGACTAACAATTAGTTGTTATGTAATCACCGCACGGAAAACTTAAGAGAAAAGGGGTGGGCATGGAATCCATTGAGCAACTCTTGTGCATCATCCATACGCCACTCGATAGAGCATCTTACTCTGTTTCGTAATATTTGTTTCGAGTCTACAAAGTATCAAAGAAAAAATATTTGGCACTTTCTAAAGTATGTGCGGTTGATGAAAGAAAAAGCTCAGTGCGTTCTTATGAGAAAAAATAAATGAGTAAACTATTCCTAGAATTCTGATCGGACCGATAGGATCAATTATCTTGAGAGATAGTAGCCAGTACCGGACTATCTGGTGATAGTTCAGCTCAACTTCCTAAGCCAACAGAAATAGTTGTTGACGAATCCTCAAATATCTAAGTTAATAATGACGACTACAACTATCAAGTAATACCTTGGAAAAATAACGCACCAAAAACACTACAAACTTCCATGAACATCACGTCATACTAAATCCGTTAAATCTTTTGTACACAGTTTTTCTTTCTAGCTGAAGAAGCTTATCTAAACTAATGTTCGATTGTTTAAAATAAATGTTTACTACAGAAACTTCAATAGAATCTTGAGAGAATGGTAGTGTCTTCATTACACCTACCCTCTCAAGATTTGTATTTTGTTCTTGAATTTGAAAAATTACTAAATAGAAAACTGAAAAAACCATTATGCTGTATCGGGCGTCATAATCAATCTGAACACATGTTGTCGTGATCCTGCTTGCTCATTCTGGTTCGAATGAAGAAGAGTGTGTTTTTGTTCGCAATCTTCGCAATAAGTCAATAAAGGACAATGAATACAATCGAATCGAATGCCACGTACAGTCTTGTGGCAAGCATCACAACTATAAAAACATATCTACAGAAAGTAAAGAACAAATGTTGGGCTCACTTACGTTACATCGTGCACAACAAGTTTGTTTCTTGGATTATGAAAGTCTGGCATTACATCTTCTGGATTTCGGTCTGTTGTCGGTACGTATTTTTTAGCACTTTCCCATGTGAAATTTTGACCACAACCAGATTGATTATTTCCACCATGAAAATCTTGTCCACATACCATTGACGAACAACCACCCATATGTTGAACGACTCTGTTACAATGTGGACAAAGACGACAGTTTTTTTCTTTGTATTTTTCATCGGCCAATAATTCTTGGTAGCGTTTTTTGTAATCCAGCATTTCGTGTGCGATTCTCCCTCTGTTGTCGTTGAAATTCTTTCAGTCGAGCAGCGTACGTAGCATCCTCTCTAGCCTTTCTTTCCAGATAATGACCTCGTTCTTAGAATGAGAAAAGTGGAAGCTATTAACGATATTCATTTATCTATACTCAACCTGTATTACACCAGAAATACCATTGTTGAGTAATTTCAGCTAGCTGCTGACAATCCGTTCGGTAATGGTATTGATCGTTGCATAGAGAACAGAATTCGTGATGACACAATCGACATACGACACAGAACTGTTCACGTGGATTTTCCGGCTCAAACGCCCATTTGCAGTTTGTATTGGGACATTTAATCACCCCCTTTCCACTACCCGCATAATTTTCGAACGTTTTTTGCACTTGGTATTCAATGAATTCATCTCTTTGCGCTGGTGAAACTNTCTATCAATGACTATCGTTATGTATGATTTTGGAACATTAATTAAATTAAATTTTATTTTTAGAAAAAATATCAATTCGTGTTCATTTCAGCGTGTTTATTGCACTTTGTCCCAACCGAAGCACCAAGCAGTTGATCTGATACTGGCAAACTCATGGTCACATTTGTCACTGACGACGAAATCATGCATCCTTGACCAAACAAAACATCAAATGTTCACTGGATTCATGTGGGAGAAACAGATGTTGGTTATGTTGTGCCAAGTCAATATCAATATTCATCTGTTGGAATCGACATTGATGTGAAAACTGGAAACTTTATCACAATTGGTGCCTATGATTATGTTGTCACAGCTCGAACTCTAACCATATGGATAGACCATGGCCGAGGACCATACACGCTCGATTATCGTTATATGATTTTGCCGAATATTTCACTTGCAATGATGCCAACAGTGATTAAACAATATGAAGACCAACAAGTATTTTCATGTATATCGACAAACAGCCTGTTCCATGGAACTGTTTGGTCTTCGTTGAAACGTGCATCATTTGTGCTATGGGATAATGTAACAACAACATTTTCATGCAAAAGTCGCCTGTTTGAAATCAATATTCAATTGAATAATGCGGGTGCCTATTTGTTTAGCGAAACTGACAGCGACTTCACAATTACTGCGTCTCATCCATTTCGAATGAATAGCAGTGTCAACGTGATAGTCGATCGAATTGGATATGGTCAAGGATGCATGATTTCGTCGTCAGTGACAAATGTGACCATGAGTTTGCCAGTATCAGATCAACTGCTTGGTGCTTCGGTTGGGACAAAGTGCAATAAACACGCTGAAATGAACACGAATTGATATTTTTTCTAAAAATAAAATTTAATTTAATTAATGTTCCAAAATCATACATAACGATAGTCATTGATAGACTTGATCTGGAGCACATGACGATCTGTACAATCGTTTTATACGATGAAATATAATTTCTCAAATAAAGAACAAAAGATTTTTTTCAGTAAAAACAATGTTATTGCTTCCGAGCTGCTGATTGATCCGCAGTACCAGAAATATGACTGGAAAGAAGCTCTGAAGGATATTCGACTAATCTTTTCTCATGTTTAATATAAGTCAATGTGTTTATTTGAACTCTTGTTTATTCATATGGCCAAAATCAATAGGAAGAACAACAAAGGAAAAAGAAGAGATGATCCAAATGTCTTATTTCAATTGCCGAATAAGTTGTTCAATAGCATCCGCTGTATCACTAAATTCCTGTTTGGCTTGCAGATCCCGTGCAATCCTTTGTTCTTGTCGCAATTTATCAATAGTAGTCTGCATCATTTCCGCGAAATTAAAACGCGAACATATTTGCTTCAGGTCGCGAATCGCAGTTAGAATTCCTTGCTTACATTGGATAGTCTCATTTTGGAATTGTGTGTGAGTTTGAGCTAATTGATGTAATTTACCTTGAATAGTCTGTTCGTCACTCGAAGCTGAATCGAAAGCGGCTTTTTTTGATTGAATAACTTCGTCGAGTTCAACCATTCTTGCCACGGGAATCTCATACGCATGTAAATGTTGATTCATGCCGCATTTACAACGTTTACAATTATTGCCAGTTGAATCCGCTGCAGCACAATTTTTAAAATGCTCAAAGTTGACCTCCGACTTGTAGTGGAGACCGCATCTTTCATGACATACGCTTACTTTTCCATGTTCTGTGCAGATGGTGCTGTAATATTCTTTAGTCACTAGATCAATCTGCTCAATCATTCTAGTTGTCGTGTAATTCTGATTGGCTTCTCGGTCATTTTGAGCATTGAGCAAGCGCTCCTGTTCGGTTTTTATTGCGTGCATGATGTTTAATAATGACTTTTGTTTCTCAATGAGATTTTCTTTGTGAACAACGATCTGTTCTCGTTTGGTACGCATGTCGTCAAACACTTGTGTTGATGTTTCACCAATCTGTTTCATTTTGGTCATGATGTCTGTAATTGTATCCATGGACTCATTCCAGTTCGTCTCAGCGCGGCGAGCATTCTTCGCATTTTGCTCAATCACATCACGACTTTCCACACTGAACAAGGAATTCTGCATGTAGAAGATACGTTCTTCGTCGGGTGAATATTCTTGGATTAGTTTCAAGTCAAAATTGCATCCATCTTCCGTGCAATTGGTTAAAATAAAGAATAGATTATTGAAGATACTATCCGGTAGCGAACTGCGTAGTTGTTCCAATGCACTCTTCACGGATGTTGACAGACGAGAGTTCGTGCCATTTATTGTGATAAGAATACCGGTGATAAATGGAAGATTGGCGATAGTCTTGAGAATTTCTTGGATATTATTATCATCACGTTTGGAATCTGTATCGTTGAATCCAGGAGTATCGACGATTTTAATTCTCGTTTGGTTATTAGCTGTTGACCAAGTGAAATCGTACTCCTTACAATACATGGTTTGACTCATTGTCTTGTCGTTAACGTTACGTTCACCACTGTTAAATCCATTTGCAGCACTAGGGAAGAGTCGGTTTGGAATAACAACTTGAATTTTTGAATAGCCGATGTCTTGCGAGAAACCTGTTTGAGCGAAGAAGTTTGCGAAGTAATTTATACATGTCGATTTCCCAGCTCCAGATTCGCCAATAAAGACGAGAATAATATCGGGGTTATTCGGCATCGTAGAATAATGATTGAAAATGTACGTATATCGAAGAAAGTGAGGGAACGCTGTTCGATGGTCATCTTTAAATAGTCTTTAACAGTTGGAAATATTCCCAGTGTGGTAAGTATCTTACAGCATTCGATTGAAAAGTATGTCATTAATTGACAACCGCAAGAAAAATCCATGGCAACATGTGTTCTTTTCTTATTTTTAATGGATGCGTCATCTCATTCTGAACCGGATGTCGCAAATTGGAACGGGAAAAAACCAGCTCAAAGTCAATTTTCAGAGATAGACGCTTCCAAGTATAAAGACGATCAAAACTTGGGTATATAAAAGAACGTACGTGAAATCATATCATTCATTCGTTTATTCAATACTTTCAAGCTAAATTTGCACAATGACGCACATAAAACGTTTTGTTGTGATTGGTGAAACGGGTGCTGGTAAATCGGCATTTATCAATGCGATGTACAACTACTATTTCGGAACACGGGATGTTGACGAAGTGTTCAATTTAGAAACAAAATCTGCTATTAAATTGGCTATTCCATGCAAAGGCTGGGATGATTTAGTTTCTGAGGCAAGTCAATCATCTGAACGTGATATTAACGATCAAACCAAGAGTCAAACAACAAGAACTACTGCTTATTCACTCAAAGTTAACGAAAATCTTGTGTTAGAATTGATTGATACACCTGGTTTTAATGATACCGCAGGCGTTTCAAACGATGAAACAAATTTAGAACAGATTGAAAAAGCATTACGTTCTGTGGACTATCTAAATGGTATTATTATTGTTGCTAATGGTTCCACGATGCGTATGGGTACTTCGTTTCAATACTTTCTTTCCCTTTTACGTGAAATTTGGCCAAATAGTCTTACGGATAATGTTTGTGTTGTATTAACTAACTGTCACGAGATCAGTTGCAACTTGGATTTTGCCATTTTACAACAACTGTTCAAGGTCAACAACGAAAGAATCTTTCATATTCAAAATAATCTGTTTGCATGGGACAGAAAATCAAATTCAGGCAAAACGTTTCAACGCCTTCGTGGAAATTTCGAAGATACAATCGATGAAATTAATCATCTAGTTGAAGTAGTGCTGGACAAATTCGAGAACGTGTCAACCGAAGCGTTTAGGAAGATTAGTATTCAACAACCACTCATTGAGGAACACATTCAAGAGTTGATTACACGTATGATTTCTTTGATTGGTACATATAAACATCAAACCAATATTGAAACTAGCATTAAAAATGCGAAGAAAACGATGGATGACAATAAACAATGGGATAAACAACATGAAATTACTGCCATCAAGTGGATGGAGGTACCAGGAGATCCTGAACTCGAAGAGATATCCTCAGCAACAGAAAAATCGACAATTATAAATGTCATATGTTCGATAGCTTCATTTCCAGGAAAGGTCATCAAGAAAATCAAGAAATCTCATAAGCAATGTTCTGACCCACCTACTGCATTGAACAACAAATCTGAGGCTGAATGTAATTGTATAACATGCCCAAACAATACACCAGAATCAGTGTCGAACCCGTCAGAGGTTGCTACCAAACAGAATCGCAATGTGCAGCACACTTACAAAGCAAACGAAGTCAAGGTACAGCTGACTTTACCTGACAATGTTGCCATTTCGCACCATAAAGATGCTGATAAACAAGTACAAACTTTGAGCAATGAACTTGAAACTCTCGGCAAAAAACAAGAAGCTTTACGCAATGAATTGGATATGTTACTAGAACAGTTGAAGAGTGACGCTCAACAGATACGTCAAATCAATGCACACGTTGACCTTATTGATAGAAATAAAGATCTATTAACCAAGTTTCAAAAAGAAATCAATGAAACAACAGATCCATTGGGTATGAAGCCCTATTTTGACACGACAATTGGCATTTTGAAGTTGCCATCATCTGGCGCTTCTCTCCCCGCTGATGGCGAACAAATGGAAACGGATATTTAAAGACTATTCACACTAATTCATTCCCTTTTTACAGAGTTAATTGTTAATCAAGAGTTTAAGAAACAAAAAGAAATCTCATATAAGAATGATGAACACAACGTATACAAAATAACTACTAATTTTACAAACGGCAGTGAGATCAGACCAACATGCGTGTAGGTGAAAGTCATTGAAGGAGTTTTCACTTCACAGATATTTCAAGTTGGCATTTACTAACATTCTCTGCACATGACTCACGTGCAATTATTTCTTTTTCAACGAAAGTAGGAAGCCTTTTTTTTACTACCGAGCTGTGCAATATTTTGAAAGTACAAGAGAAAGAGAACAAGAGTATAAGTACTCAATCTTTTCATTGTTTACTGAAAACTGGTAACTGATGAAATCAAACAAAATTCGTTTTCGAATCAGTTAGAGTGCAGAGCAGGCATTCGTCCTGACGCCTATAATCACGCTTTTATATTTTTCATTCATAGTCGTATCTTGTCTGTTGTCTTTCTATTTTTATAGATATGGATGTCAGAGTTGAAATACAAGGTAGAATTTAACTAATATCGAATATTCTGCTCTTGTTTCTACAACATAACCATACTAATTTTGTGTTGGGATTGATCGATAACGAATGTAAACTCAAACAACTTTTGCTTATATGTTTTAGAATCAATAAAATCTGTTCAAACAAACAATGCATCTGAACTGAAGCCGAGAACAGCTCCTCCACTTCGCGGCGGTGGTTCCTGTTCCGAGAATTGGTGGGTATTCGTCATTGCGATCGTTGTTATCATCATCGGATTTATCATCATGTCTGTCGGTTCTGTTTATTACACTAACAATGAGAAAAATATCGATGCTCGCAATGCTCTGATCGCCGGCAGCGTGATTCTCCTTGTCGGTATTATATGTTGCTTGGGTGCTATTTGTCAAGCTTGCCAAGATGCATGCGATAAGTGCTGCGGTTGTCATCTTTCTTGTTGCTGAATGTAGAGTTGATAACTGCTCGAGGCATTCTCGAAGAAACTGCTTTTACAATAAATGAATGTTGATCAAAGTTCATCTTTCACTCGTGAAATGTAAATAACATTGATTTTTTTTAAAGAAAACTGATAATACAAAAAGAGTGGGTTAAATAGCGACCTTATTCTTGTTCGAAGAAAAAGTTTCCAAATTTGTAAATAGAAACCAAACGAGTAAAAATTTAATCGATAAGAAATCACATTTGTAATAGACAAAGAAACCCTTATCAAACCATTTTTACTATAGTCTTTCATTTGAAATTCATTATTGACGCGAAAAATATCCTTCTCTTCTCTGATATAATTGGAGCATTGCGGGAAGTGTTGTTCCTTGTATTAAATAGTATGCAATACAGTACTTCTATTTTCACATATAAACAGTTTTATTATCGATCAACAAAATCACTACTTTCAAAATTTTTTATTCCGATGAGCAATAGAGATGTGTAGCATACACATAACTTTTAATAAACAATGACCTAGTAAGAATCTGTCTAGTATACGCCAAAAAACAGCAGGAGAATTAGAACGGAAGTATTAGTTTAATAGAAAAGAAGCGTATGCGAAGATTATTAATTAATATATACTAACGATCTCGTGATACATACGCCTCAGCTTATCATTTTTGGAACGAGGCAGTCTTTTGTGTAGGAATGTTCTCCCATTCGTATGTCGAACATGATTTCATAGTTAACTAGAGCCTGCTGGATACTTCGGTGCGGAAAAAGATTTTTTCTCTTTTTAGGTTTATCCTGACTTCATTAGAAATAAATATCATACATTTTTTACAGAGTGAATTAAATTCCAGAAGTCAAAATGCTCTGATTTCCGTCGGAAACGTCAGAAAAAAAACAAACTCATTCTAATTCCTGCTTTAGCAATCTCGTTATCACGACTTCAGAGTGAAGGAAACGTTTTCTGATAGCTTGATATATACAAGATTTCTAGTGTCAGTCATTGTTAGCTTACAACTGAAAGTTCACAAGATGCAGGCCACACTGTCGACCAATAGTACACTCATCACACTTCTCAATTCGATTACACTATCAATTTCTCGATACGGTTTTTTTATTTTTGTCATATTTGGCACGATAGGCAATATATTGAATGTATTGATCTTTTATCAAAAGAAACTTCGTGCTAGCCCATGTGCACTCTACTTACGCACAAGCTCGTGCATTGATCTGGTTTTGACGTTAGGAATATCATTACCTCGAATGCTAACGACTTATGATTTGGATTATTCAGCGAAAATTGGAATAATTTGCAAAATGCGGCATTTTACTTATTATAGTTTATCAATTTTATCAGTTTGGATGGTGGCTTTAGCAGCAGTAGATCGATTTCTCATAACAAGCCCTTTGGCTAAACGTCGCCAAATGAGTTCATTGCGAAATGCATATCGTTTAATCAGTGCATCTGCAATCCTAGTCACACTCGTCTTTGGCAATTTATTTTATTGTGCTGATGTGGTTGATAACGGTGTCATTACATCTTGTTCAGCATCAACAACTCGACAGTGCGGTTTCTATAATCAGATAGCTCGACTTGTCACCGTTTTATGTATTCCAGAAATGGTGATTATAGCTGTGAGCATTAATATGACTCGGAATTTAAGATACCTCAAGCAAGCAACAGTGACAATAACATCCATTCGATCTGCTCAATATCGCGTTCGAAAAATTGACAGACAACTGATCAAGGTAAGAATATTTAACAATGGTTGAACACGAACCATTGACTAAGGTTCTAATGACATATGATTTATTGTTTTTTGAGATAGTTGGTGACATGTGAAATTGTCATGCTTACAGTGTCGTGGATACCGCTTGGTATCCAACGAATGTATGCATTGGTTACCTACGACATTCCGAGAAGTGCACTATGCAAGAGTATAGAGGCCCTATCGGATGAAATAACTTCTATGATATCAAGAATGGATAATTCTCTATCGTTCTACGTCTATCTTTTCGCGGGCGGTATTCTATTTCGACAAACATTACAAAGCTGGTTCAAGAATACTGTGAAGCATGGAAGAGTTTAACCAATTGGTGGCATAGCTGATTTTTCTTAACAATGATGATCAGTCAAAATATAGATGACGCGTCATTTTATACCACTCTTCTTTTATTTTCCATTTTAATACATACACACTCTAATATAAACTGTAAGAAATACATGAACCAATCCCGAAATATTTCTGTGATCTTCTGTGTGTGTATGTGCATAACCATTCTTCAATGAACTTTCTCCCAGCATAAATAATCTGCACCGCACATTGCCGAACAGCAGTGGCCATGTACAAAACAGCTTTCACCCCTTTTACGGCAGCCACCTTGGATTGCTTGGATGCATAATACTGCTATCATCATGACAACCAAAAATACGAATGTTTTCATTTGCATTGTAGTGTTGTAAAAACGACAATAGATTGCTTAGTTAAGTGGTTTTGAGCAAGTTGATCAGTACTTGTTGAATACGAATATGTGCGAATGTTGTTGTATGAGATTTGCAAAGATAGCAAGCCTTTTTATACTTGTTTCAGTAAGTCATACGTAAATACACAATTAATTTCATTAATTCGAAGAAAAACAGAAAGATTAAGCTGCAAATGATGTGTTTTATACAGTCTTGCAATGAGAGGAAAGGTAAGTTTCGTAGAAATCTGTAGATTTTAACAGATGAATATGATTTATCTGATCATTTCGAATAAATGAAAACATTGTGATTTCGGCGAAGATGATTGAATTATGGATCTTACATCGAAAAGAACGGCATGAGAATAGTTTGCAATTGTTCGAAAATGGCAGATTTTATCCTCTTGTCCTTCGTTCTTCATTCTTCATATATGTCACATACGTTTAACAGCTGGTTACCTGTTCTGTTAACATACGATGACGTACCTCATACATATCATCATCATTTACTTTGTGACATTTCAGCATTCCAGTATCTTTAATCGGTGTGATAGTAATATCAGTGATTGGCGATTTACAGAGTCGCAAAAGATACTTGAAATAGCATTTAGTTCAAGTAATGATCTAGATTTATTTTTAAAATGAATAACATATTATTATTAGTGAACAGTTATGTCATTATTGACCGTACTGTCAATTTAATAGAGACAGTAACCATTTTCGAAGAATAAGCAGCGCTAGTCTTGTCTTAAAATCAGGAACGGCAAGAAATGCAGCGGTGATACGAATATTCATACTTGGAATACACTGAGGAGCTGTGAGCAATGCTTGAATAATACCAGCCTTACTTAAAAGGCCTGGACCAACAACTGGGAAAAGACTAATATAATCAAGTGCTGGCAGTTCACAAACACCGTTGTTCACGTAGCAGCTAGGGTGCGACGAAAAAGCCACGCTTTGGAGAACACTGCAGCTTTTGACACAATTCTTCAAGGGCAAAACTAACGCTTTCTGCAAACAGTTCATCGTGTTGTATATCCATGTTTGCCCTTCGACACTAAAACGGTTCAGGTTTTGAACAAATTTGGTACAGTAAACATTTCCATAATTGTTTGCATAACCACCTAATCCGCACGGCGCTTTTCGTTCCATGCAACTGAGATAGAAGTCACAGCTTTTCATCGGTGGATTGGCGCAAGATGACGAACACATCGGATCAGATTTGCATTTGATACAATTGTTTTCGCATTTGCCACATCCATCTGATCCGTACCTATGTACTTTTAGTCGTGATTGATATAAGCCGTCAGCCACATTTGACACGGCAATATCGATTTGAATCGACTCAGGTTTATGTCCGACTGGCATCGTAAGTTTATAGATATTCGTTGCACCCGATGCATAATCAAAAGCGCCCAAACCAAGACTGTTCATACTCTGCGTTACAGTTCGATAGGTGCTCGTATTAGAACGGATGGTTATACTGAAATAGTCATTGTACTGTGTCCCAAAATATCCGCCTGGCACTTCTGCTGTGATGAATTGATACTCAACATAGATTTGTGCAGCATCCGGTAGACTCAAGAAAGTAGCTGATTTAGTCTGCAAAGCTTGTACATTATTGGTATATATGTCGAAGGGTGTACCCTCATCTGTTGATCGCCGTCGCCTCTTACTGCTGCCATGAAAAGGTATCAACGTGACAACCAGTTCTCCGGATTTTGGCTGGATACCCGCTAGACCGATTTGATTGTCAGATGTGTAGGCGAAGACTGAAATCGTAGTAGGTGGAACATTGGTGAACAGGGCAATGCCGTTTGCGTCTGTTTTGGCACTTTGACTAACACGAGTGAAATCTGTTACATTGATTTGTACGAAGGCATCACTGACAACCGTATTATTTTCATACAGAACCTTGATAGACATTGAAATACTACCGAAGTAAAGTGAAAATGAATAGAACAATGGAAGACCGTAAATATCCAACGCAATCAGGGTGAGAAAAGTATGCCCTGGTGGAAAACCGTTATTGATCGTGATGTTGGCATTTGTACTAGTCGTATTGACGATAGGAGCTATAGTATTGCCTGAAAATAGAGTGTAGTTCGTCACATCGAGAATTGGAGACGATAGTTGTAGAGTGATTGGTGCGTTAGCTTGATTGAAAGCATATTCATCGTTAGGATATGCTAAGCTAACATTTGCTCCTGATAACGTTTTGGAACGATCTGTAAATTAGAAGACAGTATTATTGACTTGACCGGTATGAAGGCAACTCATCGTAACTTACCAAGATCAAAACCGGACAGTGTAAGGTTAGTCAAAACTGTCTGTTTGATATATTGTAAGAGCTGCAATCGTCGAACTTTTAACAAATCACTTCGTGGCAACTTGATGATGTAGGTTAGCTTGCAATGTCTTGTCGTTGAAATTGTGGATTGACCCTCGCTACTAACTCCAATAACTTGTGCACGTCGTTTTCTCTAGAAAAACAAAACAAACATCCATTGTGAATGAAGCATGCCGAACTGCCTTACCTTGCTGCTGGTTGTAAAAGCCGTTCCATTCTTTACAGAGATTAGTGAACCGCGTGTTTTGCCATCGTTTGCAAGATTTTCTTGCATCTAAACAAACAAAAACCCATCAAGGACTTTTGTTCAACACTGAGAGCCGTGTATTCCTAACCGCTGTTTCGAAGTTCTTTAACTGTGTATCGGCCAAAGATCCATTACTTAATAGAATGCTATCCGGTAAATTATATGTTATATATTGTTCATCAGCTAAAAAATAACAGAACAATCAAGTGCAGCTATCTGATCAAATTATCGTACAGTATTCATTGTTAGCAGACACTCCGTAGTTTGGCAAATAAACGGGAATTAATGCAAGCATGACGGTAGCTGAAATGGCCAATCCAGCTAGGCCAATAATACAGAATGCCTTCATTGGTCTTAAATAAATAGAACCTGTACGTTTTTCTATGAAGACCGTACGATTTTGTCGATATTTGATATAATCAACTAAACAGCTTCAAACGATACCTACAATTCAAAATAATATTTTTTCGTGATATTTACGAAGGCTTATATATAAAACTATATTACTTCCTCATTTTATATTTACTTTTCATTAATTATGAACATTTTCCGAAAATGAGTAATAAAACCCGAGAAATAACTATCTATAAGGACAAATGTTAAGCATGAATAACTATGCATCATTCTTCCTAGTTGGAAAAATATGATGTACAGGTAAAATCATTTCTTTAATGATTTAACATAGTCATGCCTTTTAGTGACTGCAATACTCGAGAGAAAACCAGGAAAATCGTCTGTTACTAATGTCAACATCTTGAGGGTGGGTAAGAATGAGTGACGCTGATACACACACATACTATGCACTCCTATTCTTGCAGTGAGTTGGCATCTATTTGCATCTGCACTCTAAATTATCGATGTTCTTTAAGCATTCGATCACCTGAGTAATTTCACCAAAACTCTAGTTTATTATATATCACACTTATTTTACAATCACTTTAACGAGTTTATCAGACAAATGCTTTCTTTAGCTCAATCATAACTGGTGATGACTGAGCTTTGTTTGATAATTGAACAGACTGTTCTCTATTGCGTCTACCATTTTCTTGCATACGTTTCATTTGTTCGATTTGTGTCCGAATCTGTTTGCCATATAATGGTAAATGATAGAGATCCCGGACACGGTCAAACACTTGTCCTATTGAAAGGAGACTAGTTGATTTTGTTGCATTTTCTTGCATCATCTGTTTAATAGCATCGAGCTCGTGTCGATATTCTTTCTCAAGTCCTTCTAGTCCATTGATGATGTCATCGTTCTGAGCTCCATTGTTTCGTTTTTGTTTTTCTTCTCGAATAAAGTGCTGAATGTATTCTAAAATATCGTCATTCACCGGACTGATCGAATTTGTTCGAATAAAGTATGCTAGTTTGCCACAGACATCCAAAATAGCTTCCTTTTCAGCTTTTAAACTTTGTAAACGTTCATCAATCACCGCATTGCTGCTAACAGTCATTTTAGTTATAAACTTACGTAGCTCATAAGTAATGTGCATATGTTCTTTCCAAGTACAATTGCACTTGATGCATTTACCTATTGATGAAATATTAAATTATCAACATTGCCTACGCTTTATTTAAAACAAACTAACCTGATGACTTGTTTATTGCAGCACAACTTTTTAGTTTCTCATCTCCGATAAGATCTTCGTCGACTCCGGTAAGATAGCACTTTGTATGACAATGAGTCGCATAATCAATCTGTTCGCAACCATTGACTACGATGACCTTTGTACATTTACTATTTGTGCACACAGTTCTTGGGTACGATAGTTCGATTAATTCGATGTCGAATTGCTCTAAAACTTCTTGTTTCACATTGTTATTTGATTGAGTATTCCTCTTATGTCGTTCAATGAGTTCAATGTTTTTTTGTATAAGAGTTGATATTTCGCCAATCGGTCTCGACAATTTGCGAATTAATTGTTGTGCTTCATTGAGCGAAATTGTATTACTGGTTCTATGTTTTTCACATTTGATTATGCGCTCTATAAGGCGTTGAAATTCTTTGATTGTGTACGACCAACTTCGACTGTAGTCTGCTTTTTCCTCCGAACGAACCTCGATGCCATTTTTATATATGGCAAGAAATCGGAATGCTTCGTTATCAAGTAAGAAGGTATTTTCCTTTGAGAATGGTATTGCCACTTGAGCATCACCTTGAATATTTTTCAGAAGCTCACGAAGAACTGGGGCTGATCGGCCAGGTTGATAACTGGTAGCTCGTGCATTCGTAAAGACAAACATAATGTTCTCTTTTGCGTCTACGTGTAAATGTCGAAGTATTTCCTTTAGACAATATCGGTACAATATGTGTAATCGATCTTCGTTTGGTTTTAATAAAATACAAATGCCATTTAGATGTTCGTATTGACTGATACAAGCGAGGATATCTGCAAGATTCTTTTCATCACGCATGAGACCTTGCGTATCACCAAGTCCCGGTGTATCAATCAGACGTAAGGTTCTGTTGTTTATTCGAAAAACGAAACTTCGACATTCTTTCGTACAAGATTCGCCAACTGCCTTGGTTTGTTCCGTGTCATGTGGAACACCAATATTAATCTCTCTTTCGTCGAACGTTAAACTATCCATATAAACGAACGTAGCTGGTATAAGAACTTGAAATTCACCTGTAACTGCATCTTCTAAAGAGTGGTGCTCCAGATAATTAGCAAATGAATTGATAAATGTCGTTTTTCCGACACCTGTCTGTCCAAGCAGTAGTATATTAATATCTTTCGACATGTTTCAAGCAACTCTAAATGATAGTACAATGCAAAAATGATGTTAAATGTGCTTTATATGAAAGCAACAAGCAAATTTATCTTTGTGTCATGAGATTCTAAAACGGAAAAAACTTTCTTGTTTGTCGAGATACGAGAAAGATTTTTATCTGTTTTGATGCGCAAACAAGAAGCCCACACTTCTTTTGCTAAGTTGGAAAAAAGAACAGGTATGGGCGAAAAACCAGTTGAAAGTAATAACACAGCCAAAGAAAACTATAAGAACTTACCTATTTTCACCCATCCTAAAGGGATTATAGTGAATTGTGACTCCATGGAGTTCATTATTTTGATGGTACTCTCCACCTCATATTTTTAAAAGTTTTCAGCGGTTTTCCTAAGATGCATAACTCATTTTCGGGAATCAATTTATATCTCCTAAGAACCCTACTACAAACCTCGAACGGTGCAATTTTTTCCTACGGTTTCTGCGACATATTAGAAATTCTCTCTGATCGTAATTACACAATATCGGGAAGGACTAGATGATTTATATGGGCTACAACACAATTGGTTTTTCTCCCTAACACACATCCATCAAGATAAATTTCGAAAAATTATAATATGCGGCTTCCGCTGTGTGTTAATCAAATATTTATTAATTAATTTGACGAAAAAAAGTGCAACTACGGTTGGAAACTCGTAAGTGTTGCAAAAACGTTGTTGTTACTTATGGGAGTGTTTATGTGACTGACTGTCTTCTCCATTAACAATCGACGACTTGTCTTGATACATTCGATTTGTCGGTCAATTCCATTTTCTGATTTTAACTCGTGAGCAAGTTCGACAGCGTCATCAAGAGTTAAATTTTCGTTGCACCGAACTAATTCTTTATTATTTTTGTCACGTCTTACTGTTAGAGATTGCAGTTCTTCATAAATGTGGTTCTCTCCATCTAGGAATTGTTCCCATATAGATGAAAACAAGTCATTTTTGTTAGTGAATCCGTTTCGTTGCAGAAAATAAGTAAGTCTGTCATACTTGAATAACAATTTCTCAAGAGAGCCCTTTAATTGTTCACTGCTATACATAAGTGATTGTGGCTTCAATTCATGGATAACAGTATATTCAATTAAAAAATGTTTTTCATTACACGGACAGTGGCACGTTGCTTGCGCTCTACTTTTGGTTGATTTGTATTGAACTATATTAAATGATGCGATTGTTGTACGAATTCTATCCGCACAGTTAGAGCAAATTTCAATATCGACGGCGCTGGGCTGTATTATTATGGTTTTCTCTCTTCTTCCATACTTAATCAGTTTCCAATGATATAACATTACACGCAATAATTCCATCAAAGGCCGACTCAGCATCGCCACGTCAAGAGCTACTTTTCTCAATGATTGATGTTCATCGAGTTTATATGGTTTAAGTGTTCGAATAAATTTGACGAATTGTATAGATTCAGTCACCGACTTTGTCCAACTCAAAATAGCTTCATCTCGAACAAAATCATCGAAATCCACCTTGCATTTTCTGGCTGCTAAGTATCGAAATGTTTCATCATCGAAACAGAATACATTGCTTTTCTCAAACAAAATGGTTTGCTGCAACCCTTCTTCTTTTAACAATCGTTTCAAGGCAGAGCCAGTGCTACCTGGACCGTAGAATGTTGATCGTGAATTTGTAAAACAGAAGATAATATTTGGATGACCCTTTGGAGTTAGGTAAGTCAGAAGTTGTCGAACACATGATCGAAAGAATACATCTAGTTTTGAAACAGTAGGTTTGAGTAGTAAACAAACTGCATTCAAATGTGTTAGTTGATTGATATAGGTAAAAATATGATCCATACTAATTTGATCTTGGTTAAAACCTCGCGTGTCGCCAATACCTGGTGAATCGATTAAACGTATCTTTACTTCTTCGTTAAGGTTTATAATGTAAGATCGACAATGTTGGGTAACTGATTGTCCTTTATTTTGGTGGTTTTCATTTGAATCTGCAACACCGAATTGAATAGTCACTTCTTTAAATTCATCGCCAGTAGCGATAGGAAATGAAACGGGAATTACGACCGCCGGTTCGCCTTGTTCGGCCTCATGTATATTGTCGAACTTTAGGTAATTGACAAAAGCATTAATAAATGTTGATTTGCCAACACCGGTTTCACCGATAAGCAAGACGTTTAGCTCTGTTGATGGCTTCTTAGACGAAGACGCTGGTGGTTTATCTTCTACCGGTCGGATTATATCGAAGTTTGTTAATAAATGTTCGTACTGAGTAAAATCTACATAGATCAGCGAGTATTTTTCTGCTCTGTTTTGTCTTTCCAATTTAAATTGCTTGTACATTCGTTCCCAGTCATCTGCTCGCTGTTGTCTTAATTGATCACTGGAATACATGAGCACTAAGGATTGACGAGATTTTTTTAAATACAGTTGAAGCGCGGTGTGCAGCTCGGGAAATGAGCTTTGTCTATGGGTTGACTTGATGATTTCCGATACCTCTTGATATTCAATTTGATCTTTTTTTAACATTTCAATGAATTCTATTTTAGACAGACATTTTTTAATCGATGCTTGCAATTTATGGAAGTTATTCTGCAATGATAACCATTCGTTGTTAGAGAGAATTCTATCAATTTCTTCTGTATCAGAAGGATTGTTACCTAATTTGCGCAGTGTTTGTTGGAAGTGTTTACAGAGCTGCCGGTACGCTGACGAAAGCTCGTTAAACTCTGTGCGAAAGCATATCCATTGATGTTTGATCGTTAAATTTGGAACATTCTCTAGGGATGTATCCAATAGTTTGTCGGTGTTTCCCACTAAACGATGCATATCTGTAATAGATGACAGCAATCTTTCCATAACAGAGTTTGTATCATTGTTAATTAAGCTAATTTCTATGTATTTCTGATCGCGCGAATGATAGTGCAAAGAAATCATCTTATATACAAGCGGATGATAATACGTTGGATCTGTTTGCCATTGGGGTAGTGAAGAAAGAACGTAGCTCAAACTCACATCCCGATTGAAAATATAACGAGCAGCACCATAGATCCTGATATTTCCCAATTGCCTGATTCTACTTTGCTCATCGGCATTCAAATTCACTTTCCCTTGTTTATCTTTTAATTGTTCTGAAATATTCCTCAGTAATATATCAATGTTTTCACAAGATCTATCTTTTGGAACTTGTATAACACATAATACTTCAATACCATATTGTATTTCAGTAATTATATGGGTTGCACCTCTGAAATTTTTGTTAGGATGCGTTCCTGTTTGTACCGAATTCACACTAGTTAATGTTGATTTTTGCGTTCCAAACGTGTGTGAATAATACAGAAACCAGGTATTCTCGTTAACTGGTCGCTCATAACTGATCAAGCAACTAATACCCGATGGATAAATTGTACCAAAAAAAAGACGCTGTATAAGTATATTCTCAAATTTTATCTTCGAGAGATATTCGACTAGATGAATCGACCTATCACCCTGGAATAACATACATTCTGACGATTGGTTGCGCACTACCTTATCACCCACTTTATTATGGTAGAGAGAATCATCCACTCTATCAGATAATGCATCATAGCCTTGGCCCAATTTGCCGGTAATGCCAATTGCTTTCCTTTCAATGACATGACCGCTCGAATCACTAAAATAGCAGAGTTCAAGCTGTACTTTATGCAAAAATATCGATCAGTACTTATGAGAATGTTTTTCTAACTATCTATTCACTACCCTCAGAATAAAAGGATCATATAGGACGGCTGAGTCGTTAGCGCTTCTTAACATCGTTAGCCTATACATCTTACATTACATATCTTTGAAAATTCATCAGCTGAACTAACCTTTCCGATGGTGATGAAACTATAGTGTTTGTATTCCCTGGAAATGAAAAAAACACCTCTGATAATATCAACAATGATAACATACTCGTAAGTGTACCTTTATCTTTTGCTGCAACGTTATGAACAGCCGGCTGTGGAACATTTCTTAAAAGAATGAAAAAAGCAGATTTTAGATATATAATTTGAACAGAAAATGTTAGTAATTATCTAACTGTTTGTTGTTAGGTGGAACATTCGCAGGCGGTATGTTGTATTGCTTTTCAGTTGATGCCTGTAATGCTGGACTGGTGACCGCTAAAAATAAGCAATGTGTTCGCATTTCTTAGACGATTTGAAAGGAAACTGGATCCCAACAAAGAAAATCATCTTATCAACAGAGTCCTATTTCATTACGAATCAAGAATTATTTTACCTTTTCTTGGTAAAAGGACTTGAGTTTTGAAAGAACTTAATATGATCACTTGTTGGGTATTGTTTGTTTCCTGAATTAAATCCTGATGAACTTCCTTTAACATGCTTACAACGTCAAATTTTGGATTTTTGATATGCTTTAATAAACGGGTCGTGAACAATCCATTTCCCATAAACCCAGATGAAGGTTTGCTACTTGCGCACACAAATCCAATTATCGTATTTTTAGGAGCTTGTATTGTGTTTGAACCATCAGCCGACCGATTACTTGGTGTACCAGTTGCTACTACACTTGGCTCTAAGAGCACTTGATAGCAGTCAAATAGAAATAAAACAAAGTGTGTCGTCTTTCGAGCCATGTCATCCAAAAGCGCTTGAGCGTCGATCCCATAATGAGTTATATTTATAAAATTTTCGGATCTAATCCTGTTGTTCTCACACGATAGAAGTACAATCTGCTGTCGCCATCGGGCAGCATAACCAGAGAAGTAAAATACAACGAAATCATTTTGTTGAATTGAGTTTAGGAACTTGTTGACTTCACCATACATATCTGCTTTTAAATTTTTCGAAACATGTGTCTCACAACCAGTCACTTCTTGAAGAGCTCTAGAGAATGCGGCTGCATCAGAAACGCAGTGGGGCAAGGGACTTTCCGTATAATCACTATTTCCGATAATTAAAGCTCGTAGTTGATGCATTTGGAGAGTGAACTGTAGTTTTAGAATATTCTAAAATAAAAAAGTGATAATTACTTTTTATTTATGTCGTAAAACAAATCAAACACTGCTCTAGACCCATTTGAGCTCACGGTATCACTCAAAGTATTTTTCTACTCACAGAAGACATATCAAAAGTACCACATCAAACAACTATTCGTTTTATTTATTTTTAGTTCTGTAACCTGCTTCGGCTGTATCAACTTAAACTTGCAAGGTGAGATAAGACTGTTTTTTTTCGTATGTTGGAAAAAATTTACATCTATATCTAAAGACAGAATGCGATTCCCACGAAGTCAAACAATCAGTGTGAAACTTCCAAGCGTTGATACAACTCTCCCAAATGCATATAACAAATATCAAAGGTCGGGTATAAATTGTCTAAAAACTTACCAGCGTGATACGCATTTATTTTCGAAACCCCATCGGTAGGGTATAATGCCTGATATTCAATCGGAGGAGGGAACTATGACCCACACTCGGATTCTCACTCTTCAAAATTTCACATCGACGTATACATTCACCCAATGATAAATATATGATCAAGTTGATATAAGACTAATCACTGATTAAATTCACGATTTTTTAAAATTTTAAAACCCTTGAATAAGTCGGCTGACTGATCAGCGAGCAACACTGTATGCTTTCAAATTCATGAATCAGTATATCATTTATAGAACTCTATACGAATTTATTTGAAAAAGTGCGCAATGAGCTTTGAGATGTAAAATCAGCAATAGCCTTGGCATTGTAGCTGGCTTTTTGCATTGACTAATTTGCAAGGACGCGATGATATAAGCTGAATTCTAGTAAGTATTAATTCGCTGAAATCGATAGTGTAACAACGACAACCCCGCCAGCAATTAATACTTGTCACGCAATCTATGCATGAATCTTGATAGTCTGAATCTGGGCAAACACTACACTCCGGGTCTAAATATAAGAGAATATTATGAAATACAGTAAGAAGAAAGAAAACTTAGGAGTTATATGCACTATCAACTTACATGATGACCACGCAGAACACTTTGGTACAGAACAATATTCCCAAGAGACTGCTGGATCATTTGTGTAGCACCAAGGTCGATCTTTCATGGCATCTTTACTCAGAGGATTTCTAAAATGATTATGACGATCTTATCTCGTAGTTATTTATTTTTATCCACCCTTACCGACAGTAGTTTTCCGCAGCATGAAGAGAAGCATCATACGGCAAGAGAACATCAGAAATTGTATGTTTATGAGGACTTTGCGCATCCCATCGTTGGCATGTTCGACCATTCTCCGTCACTGATACCGTACCATGGTAATCCAAACCTCGTGGATCGTCAGCGCACAGTATTCCAGCTGGCATTAAACAAAGTTATTCAATATTCAAAATCTTCCCGTTGTCAAATATAGAATTTACTCATATTTTTGTTCCAGGTTGTTGTTGTCGTGATAGTGGTAGTGGAAGTAGTGGTAGTGACAGTAGATGTAGTACTAACTAAACAGAATGAGAGCAAACATACTAGCTAATGAACGAGCTGAAGTTATCTGACAATCTGTCAAAACTAAAATTTGCAAACACGAATATCATCAATGATGTGACGTACTGGTTGTCGTTACTGTATCTATCGGTAGCACACCTATGGGATTGAAAACATTATCTGGACCCGATGCCAAAACTTCGAATGTTCCTGTCACTCGATCACGATATGTTGAAAATATCAAGATGTATTCCAGATCAGATCGAAGAACAGCTGTTATTAAAAACTGACCATTTCCACCACTGTCATCATCTTTCGCAACGATGTTGCACTCCGGATGCATTGGGTAAAAATTTCCTTGATACAAGCATCCATATGTGTCTTCAATTCTACCTGAACTTTTGAATGTATAGGTGCCTGTTGTATTGACGCGTACTCTGATTGTTTGATAGTAGTATTTTACTCCAAAACCTTCTTCGCGTGAGTATATTTCATTATCATTTGTCAATGTACCCGAATAATACGAGAAAAATGATGATCTTTGCGCTGAGATTGAAACTAGATATACAAAAATAGTAGTGTTTTCGAAATATATGTGAAGTATTGTCTGCCGTCTCTCTCCGCTACGATCGCACTGAGAGATCTTTCGCGTAGTATCTATAGATCGGTAGCATGATTTGCAAAAGAGAGACATAAACTAACGCAAGTGTCTTGTTAATGTATATCAGAAATGAAAAAGAATCGAACCTGTCACACTACAATAAACAAAAAGAATATGCTTACACTTAATAAATCGGTGATAAATAGATAATTTTTACTTTAGGAGAAGCAGTGAGATGAAAAACCTGTTTGTTGACATCACTGATATCACCTTGATGAAAAAGAAACAGATATTTCTATTGTTTATATACATTCACAATGCACAGATGCCATTTTAATCCTGCTCTGCGATGAAGCTAACGAAAAACCAAATAGACACGTTATTTGTAAAAAAAAAGATATTCGATACTATAATCGATTTGAAGGCTTCGACGAAAAACAAAACAAGGCTACCCGTACAAATAGACCTTTTCTAAAATCGCAGCCATCATGCATCTGCTAGATTTGCTATAGTGAGAGAGAGAGAGAAAAGATTTCAACAGTGCACATGACGATGATCACAGTTTCGATGAAAAAGGACTATTCAACGGTATATTTAAAAAGTGTACTGTAAGTGTTCTGTTGAGCGTATTTTCCCAGAACTTCCACTTCATTTGAGCCCACTGTTATCATTTTCTTGAAAACGGGATCATGGTAATCTTGACTACGACTCCAGTTGGAATCAATCATCACATCTACGTCGATTGCATCGGGCACTATACAATGAATCAATACCGGAAAGTTGTGCTTAAGTGGTCCATAAAGAGGTTCAATAATACGACATCTCTTTGACTTGAATTGTTTGTATGTTATGGGAAATTTAACTGGTTGACTAATATGAGTTACATTAAGATTGAATTGGACAACTGAGTGTAAAGTCGAATCACTATCATTCTCCTGTTTTGCATAGACAAGTAACGTATGCAAACCTGTGTGCTGGGGCGCAAATAACAGTTGCCAGCTATGCTTAGTGATATCGAACTGTGCCAACGCTCCACCATCGGTTTTTCGTTTGTTATATAGAATATCACATGAGAGGTATACGTGATCAGGAGCTCGCATTCGAATTTCAACGTAAGATGCACTCTTGGGCCAGGTAACGGCGGCGTGATTGTAAGGCATTTCGATTTCAAGATCGAGATCGTGAAACAGCTGCCATGTGATGGGATATGATAAGGGTATCGATGGAATTTGTCTCGCTTCGAGAATATAACTGCATGCACTGGTAAAGCTACGTAGATCTGATTTTCGTTTTGCATAGATCGTAGCCGTGAATGTCCCGTTGTCGTTGGGTGCGAATAGACATTGCCACAGTCTTCTGTGTCTATTAAAGAAAACTCTATTTCCACCGAAGACGTCCTCATCGCAGCCATTTTTTAGCGAACCGACTAGTTCAATGTCATCTGGCGTTCGAACCAAAATTTCTGCATGTGTAGCTCCATGGTCGACCTTAATCAAACTTGTGTGTTGAGCAAAAACAATCTGTAGACCCAATTCAGAAAAGACTGGCCACGTTTGCGCAGGAACATTGTTTCCATTAAGCGGCGCCTCTTTACTGTATGATGGAGTGGGTGACTTTTTAAATGGAGGTATCGGCGATACAGGTTCTTGCAAAGACATAAAAGTTCAATTTTTAAGATTAGAATAAGAATGTATCTTAACACACTCGCAGTTTTATCGACTTACTTTTCGGCTTGTGATCTTCAATGGAGTCTGGTTTATCTAATAACTTTTTCGCTTTTTGATATTCCAATGCTTTGTTTTTGTATTCAATACTCTTGTCAAAATTTCTTTTTAGTCCTGCAATTTCACTGAGCTCTTCATATAGATCGCCAATAACAGGATCCTGTGGTGGAAGATTATTCAGAAAACGAGTCAAATAGAATTCAGCTAAATCTAGATCTCCCATTTTCCATAAGACTTTTCCTAAAGTTCGAAGACTTGTTTCACCCTCACCAAATTGTTGCCTCATGTATCGCAGAACATCTTGTAAACTACTATCGTTTTCACTGCACAGCGTCATTCGAATAATCCACATATCTTCATCGCTACTACGAAGGACGGTCTCCAAACGAAAGATCGAGCCAATCATGAACAAAACTTCTTCTTCATCCGGATAATCACTAAGCAATTGAATATTAGCAAATGGTTTTGTTGCAGCTGTTTGACAATCAGCATGGATTTCAAATAATACTCGTTCGAGATTCTCCGAAACGCTATTGCCACAGAGAAATCGCCGAGCCCTTTCGTCGTTAACACTGGTCGAGAAGAATGAGTTTAAAGAGATAAATTGCTCACAGGACTGTTGTAATTTTTTCAATTCGTCTTTTGATATCAATTGTCCCCGATAAACGCGCAAAGCATTTCCAGTTTGATGTCTTTTTAGTTGATGTTGAATATCCGCAATATACGAACGAAACAAAAAGATCATGTGAAGATTTTCTGTACGTAAAACACCATTGAGTGTCTTGAAAAAGAATGTATCTCGTGTATACCACCATATAGCGTCACTAGGCAAATAGGATTCTTGAAATTCTCTGATATTGTTCAGCTCGAATCCATTTCCTTCGTATTCTTTTTGAACTCGTTTAATAAGTTCTTTTTTGTCTTGCTCGTTATATTTAAGTCGTAAAAGACATTCGATGAGAACTTGTGTGAAAACGAATTTACCATTGACACTACCAGTTGAACTCCCGGAGGTGAATACATCCATGCACAACGGCTGTTCGATAATTTGTTGAACTTTATGGTCGGCTTTGATACGAAGCACGAGTTTATCCAATTGAGTCATGACAGCTTTGACCTATCGATAAAAATCAATAAACAAAACAAATAGTCAGTCATTCTTTTTCTTACTTTTGTGTATATCTTGGACCATTCCTTGTTACCTGCCTCATCCATACAGTATATATAAACTGATATGATTTGCCGGGTTGGGTGAATCGTTGGGACAATTTTTCGACCTAATCGACCACTGGTAATGAGAATGATTCGATCATCTATCGATCGATCCTTGATAAATCTTTCGCATTCTCCAACGTCTCTGAATCGCTTGAGACGATTAATAATTGAGCGCAAATGTTGTTCCGTTTCCCGATTATCATTGACTTGAGTGTTATTATCTAACCAAATAATACAAAAAATTTCAAGTTGTTGATCGTTTCTCAACCGAGTGGAAGTTGCCATATTCTTCAAAAATCTAAAACAAGTGTAGAGAATGTTTCTTCACGTTATACAAATAGGTGTTATTTTCAGCTGTAGGTATTTTGAGTGGATTTGTCATACGCAATGCGTTTTGAAGAATCGCAAAAATCATTACTCATTTTTTTGCGCATTAATTCTCTTCTTTTTCGTTTGGTGTGCAAAATTTCACTGATAGATTGTGCATGACAACGAAAGCAAAGCCTCTGGTAGCTGTGGAAGAGAGAGAGAAAAAGCAAAACATGCTGAAAGGGCGAGATTATGCTGGTGTGAATAAGTTTTATGAAACACGATCATGCGAGAGAGAGAGTCATTCGTGGAGAGATTTCCATTACTCACGGGTTGTTACTAAAACCTATAATGACTCGCTACTGTCAATACACTTCCTCTCAAACTCAAATATAGATTCCATACAACTACATGATTTCCTCCTCTAGGTTGTTTCTCAACTTACTGACGAATGCGTTGAGTTTGAATTGAAGTTTTGAAGTGGATGAGTGTTCATGCCCTTTTACTCACTGAATAAAACTCTAAGCTGATTGTTTTTCTTCCAAGTTACACTACGATTGTTGTTAATAGAATACAATTTGCATCTTTCATCCCTACTTGAATTTCAGTTATATGAGAAATACCGCAAGGGAACCTTGCTACGTAATGGAAACGTATTGATCACCGGAAGATCTGACCGTAGTGGTACTTTAAATTGTACTTATAGATTATATGATACAATAACAAAGGCTTGAGTTAATGGACGGATATAATAATGTCATAAGAGCATATCATGCACCAGTTCTATTACGATATGGTGCTTGTATTATTTCTCACACGAAGTTCGTAGTAATTAAAGCACAAATAGATGACATTTTTATATAGATTAAGACAAGTGAATTGCATACACGGATATAAAAGTTACTTTATATACCATCGTATCAACTATGTTAGATACACTATTGACACATGTTTGACTTATCTTCAGCGATTTAAGTCATTTTTTCTATACATATGTTTTTCTTTACGAATATTATGAGAATAACAATTTAAGTACATAGTGCTAATCAAATGAATATCTTGTTCGAAAATATCCATACAACGATAATGACAACGACGAGGCTTCATCTTGTATAGGACTTGAATGCAATCTTTAACTGACACGAACTTCGGGTTAACTATCTATACTACGAATGGCATCCTACACCTTTCTCCAAGTTATCAGACAAATTCGCTAAGCCACTGCATTGTTCATGAGTTTCCACACATTCCATCTATAGTCAAAAATCATCTTTGCACTCTCTACAATTTGTCAAAGAATCTCCTACGTATTTTCTGTTACTTGAGAGAAAGAAACATAATTATATGTATCTTGGGAGAAGCTAAGAAGTTTAGCATTCATTATGAAAAGACCTTGTCGCATATATTGCAAAACAACATTGGTGTTAAGGGTGCGGATATGGATGAAATTGACGAAAGGGAAGACGAGTTCATCCCGAATAAATTGAACCTCGTTGCAGGAGTTTCTTTTTAATTAATCAATAGTTACATTGTAAGAGATAATTAGAACAGGAACTAACTGTAGTATGAAGTGGAACGTCTGCCTTAAATTCGTGGGATTGTTTATCAGGATGATATGATTATAGGTTAATCGTATTAACGTCCTCTATGAGGAAAAAAAGACGATGTAAAGATTTGGCTCGTTGGAAGAAAAATTCATTGTAAATGAAAATCGTGCGACATTTTTTATTAATAAAAACTAGGAATGGAGAAGAACGCTACATTGAGAAATACGATGGTTATGAGAAAATTTTCATTAGAATAGACCTACGAGGAACAAAAGACTTTGTAATTAATTTTCCACTTTTATCTACGCACATTTCTTTCCTTCTAGAATCAGTTTCCACAAGACTTCATACAACACATACTCGACTTTTCTTCTTCATATCAACATGGTTCTGTTTGAATGCCTACCGAATGAAGTTTTACTTGAATCATTCATCTACCTGGATACAATTCAACTTCTCCGAGCGCTCTACGGTCTCAATGTTCGTTTAAATCGAGTAATCTATCTTCACTTCGAGGCTCATCAATTCAGTTTTCAATCCTTACCCAATGAGCACTTCGATCTCATTTGTCACGAATACCTCCCATGTGCGATCGAGAACATCCGCTCACTTCGTCTTTCGCATGAGGAAACACCTGATCTCAGCGAGATACTGTTCTCTCAATACTTTACTCTCGATCGTTTTCATCGACTACAAACTCTCTGTCTACACTATATCAAATCTCTCGGCACATTAATGAAAATAACCTATCAATGCCGAAATCTACAGTTTCTAACTACTCTGAAAATCATTGCTGATCGGCATGGCGAAAAACAAACACGAATCTTCAATTTGTTCGACAATATATGGAACATTCCAAGTCTAAAACATTGTAATCTGAATGGGATTCAAAAGAAACTGATCGTACCCTTTCAGATGTCATCAGTCTCATCGACGATCGAGTTTCTTTGTATTCAGAATGTTAAATATGGTTTGCAAGCTCTTTTTGGCCTGTTATTATGCACGCCGAATCTTGAACATCTCAGCACAACGATCGGATCTTATACTGCAAATGATTATTTGGAATTGCAGAGTTATACCATGACTTCACTGTTTGTTTCTTTCGATGTTTTTCCGAGTACAATGAAGATTATCTTTGAAAAATTCCCGAATTTACAACATTTGAAAGTAAAGATCAACAATACGTATATCGATGGAAGCGAATGGCAACAAATTATCGAAACTCATCTGCCTAGACTTAAATTATTTCAGTTTAAAATGATCTTTGAATTCATGCCAAACATCAAACGAGATGTGCAAGCCGAACAAATTCTTCAAACGTTTCGAAGTCCATTTTGGATTGAGAAACATCAGTGGTTTGTTCGTTGCCGATGGAATCCATCGAATACAATCAAACTCACTATTGTCTATACATTACCCTACGCATTCGAGTCATTTCATTATTCGAATGAATACTGTGAACGTTCGACTGATCTCGCCGAGAAATCGCATCGCGTCTACGAACACATTCGATATGTTCATCTTCATCGAATTGATGCCATCGATTCAGTTAACGATCTAAATCCATTTAATATTAAATTTCCCAAGACTATACATGTCACTGCGCATATTCCATTTGATAACACATTTCTATATTCCAATCAAACGTTCAACGAAGTGAAATCACTTGTCGTTTATCTATCGATGGATACCGGATATTATCAGTTACAACTATTAATTGATCAGATGCCTGCGCTCTATTCATTGAAGATCTACTCACATAATAGAGTGCATGCGTCATTCTTTCATCTGACTAGTCGATCAGTGCGTCGTCTTGATTTGACCAGATGTTCGTTAGATGGCGTAGATTACCTTAGTGATGAAGAATGTAGACGATTGATTGATTCGCCGATGGGAAAACAGTGTGAAGTTCTTTTTGCACCTCTTTCTAGTCGAGATTTCGTTTTGGATTTAATTCATAAGATGGCAACTCTTCGACTATTAGTACTTGAATGCTACGAAGATCCGAAAATCTTCAAATACTGTAAATGTAAAAATGATGAACTGTTAGAATGGTTGCATCATCAATTGCTCACAACATGTCTGATTGTTCGCGATCAGACATCTCCGTCGAAGATTAAAATTTGGATCAATCGGGAAGATTTAATCTCAAATTGTGACATTATCGTCCCAAAAGATCGAGGCAAAATACTTCGCTCGATCAGATCGACATTTCCACGTCTATTTCGAAAATCATCATTTTATCAATAAAAACACTTCAGTTTTCTCAGTATTTATGATATATAATTCCGATTTGCATTTTAGAAATACATACACCACTTGAAACACGTAAAGACTAACAACTAGTGTCATGTAACCACTGCACGGAAAACTTAAGAGAGAAGGGCTGAGTGTGGACTCTATTGAGCAACTCTTGTGCATCAACCATACATCACTCGATAGAGCACCTCACTCTGTTTCATAATATTTATTCTGAGCCTAGAAAGTATCAAAGAAACAAAATTTGGCACCTTTTAGAGTATGTGTAGTTGATGAAAGAAAAAGCCCAGTGCGTTGTTATGATAAAAAATAAATGAGTAAACCATCTCTAGGACTATAATCGGACCAATAAGATCAACTATCTAGTAATAGTCCAGCTCAACTTCCTAAGCCAACCAAAATAGTCGTTGACGAATCCTCAAATATTGAAGTCAGTAACGACGACTACAACTATCGAGGAATACTTTGGAAAAATAACGCACCAAATGGCGTACTAATAGGCAATAATAGCACGGACGACGATGTGCTTAATATTATATCTAACTCGGTAGTGTGCACCAGAGATTCGAAGGGGAATCTCTGTTTCCAATCAGTTCAATAATCGAATGATGAAATGGGCACTGAGCGCTACCATTGGCATATTATTTACTGACACAGACGTAAGCGGCGAGAGAAATTTACAGCTTTCCGATTTTTATGGCTTCTTTATCGACAAAAACAATCTGTATCTCTACGTCGCTGACAAGGAAAACCATGAAATCCAACTTTGGAAAGCTAAAGCCACCTCTGGAGTGACTACCATCGGTACTACAGGCATGTCTGTTAACAATACAACGTTGTTGTATGGCTCATGCAATGTTATTCTCAGTTCAAAAGAAATCTTTCTTTACGTAAGCGATAATGACAATAACCGATGAGTGCAACGTTACAAGCTTCCATGACAACCACGTCATATTAAATCCATTGCATGTTGTACGCCGTTTTTATTTCTAGATGAAGAAGCTTATCGAAACTGATGTTGAATTGTTTGAAATAAATGTTTATTACAGAAACTTCAATAGAATCTTGAGAGAGTGATAGTGTCTTCATTACACCTACCCTCCCAAGATTTGTATTTTGTTCTTGAATTTGAAAAGTTACTAAATATAAAACTGAAAAAAAAAAAAGATTTATGCTGTATCGGGCGTCATAATCAATCTGAACACATGTTGTCGTGATCCTGCTTGCTCATTCTGGTTCGAATGGAGAAGGGTGTGTTTTTGTTCGCAATCTTCGCAATAAGTCAATAAAGGACAATGAATACAATCAAATCGAATGCCACGTACAGTCTTCTGGCAAGCATCACAACTATAAAGACACATCCACAGAAAATAAAGATCAAGTGTCGAGTTCACTTACGTTACATTATGCACAACAAGTTTATTTCTTGGATTATGGAAGTCTGGCATTACATCTTCTGGATTTCGGTCTGTTGTCGGTACGTATTTTTTAGCACTCTCCCATGTGAAATTTTGACCACAACCAGATTGATTATTTCCACCATGAAAATCTTGTCCACAAATCATTGACGAACAACCACCCATATGTTGAACGACTCTGTTACAATGTGGACAAAGACGACAGTTTTTTTCTTTGTATTTTTCATCGGCCAATAATTCTCGGTAACGTTTTTGTAATCCAGCATTTCGTGTGCGATTCTCCTTCTGTTGCCGTTGAAATTCTTTCAGTCGAGCAGCGTAAGTAGCATCCTCTCTGGCCTTTCTTTCCAGATAATGACCTCGTTCTTAAAATGAGAAAAGTCGAAGATATTACCGATATCCATTTATCTATACTCAACCTGTATTGCACCAGAAATACCATTGTTGAGTAATTTCAGCTAGCTGCTGACAATCTGTTCGGTAATGGTATTGATCGTTGCATAGAGAACAGAATTCGTGATGACACATTTGACATACGACACAGAACTGTTCTCGTGGATTTTCTGGCTCAAACGCCCATTTGCAGTTTGTATTGGGACATTTAATCACCCCCTTTCCACTACCCGCATAGTTTTCGAACGTTTTTTGCACTTGATATTCAACGAATTCATCTCTTTGCGCTGGTGAAACTCGTAAATACTTCAGTTCACCGTAGGTTAATTGATAGTTACACATACCGCACGTTAAAATCTCTTTATTATCCTTTTTTATTCTGCATGATCTTTCGTAACAGTTGTAGCATAACTTATGATTATCGGGACAACCAAAAACATAGATATCATCGTATAGATAGGAATCGGCGCATGCATCACATGTCCGAGTTGGCAATTCTAATGGAAAGGTGGCATCTATAATCCAAATGAAAAACAATCCAATTTTTCGTTATGTAGTCTATAGAAAATAGCTTACTGAAGTCTGCCAATGCATCGACAATGGAGCGTGCATCGATCGGACGACGATATTTCTTTTGTATTTCAATGAAAAAATCGATCTGTTGAGCAGTAAACGGATATTTAATACGCGGCAGGATGAATTCTACTAGTTTCTGCTGTCGATGCATTGATTCATTACGGCACTGTCGAACGTGATCATCGAATAGTGCCAGAGCATATGGACAATGACAATAGTTACAAAGTGCCGACTCTTCGAGATCACACGTTTCGACATGATATCTGAAATCACCCATCGTGTCTGGATCGATATAAAATCGGCATCGAGGACATTGGGGACGCTGTTGGTTTTGAACAAGAGTTAGAAGACGTTGATAAGTGTCTGGCTCCAAGGTAATCGACGATAAGTCGTAGCGAGAGAGCTGATAGTCACAAAACATCGAATGGCAGACAGGTGTTGATTGCGATTCGAGAAATGCATTCAATGATTTGAGCAGACACTTTTTACAGTAAACGTGGCGTGATGGACATGGAATTAGAAAAGCTGTGCCGTCGTTTGGATTGATAGTAGATGCGCTGCAGACAAGAAAAGAGTGTGACGATCTAGCATGGAAGTAGATCATGAAAATAACTCACCAGTTCAAACATGAATCTTTCATCATGCGCTCATTAGAAGTTTGCATGTCAAGGTCGTCCGGTGATTGAGGAATACAGGTTTGAACATGAGCTGCATAATGCTTTTCAGGAACCGATTTGAAACACCAAATACAATCTCGAGTAGACTTCTTACTTGGAGCGCTGGCACTCTGCACATCGTTCTACAGATTACATCAACATCACAAATTTGAAAAAAGTTGTTCATATTCTTCATCAAATTACTTGTGGTATTGATGATGCTCCCCGATGTTCGTTGTTCTTTCGGTCATCCTCAGCTAGACACTGTTGAACATGTTCAGCCAAGTTTTTGAACGTCTGATTACACAATGGACACTGATCTGAACTTGAATCACGTGCATTGAGGGTGGATGTGGTGAGGGAGTGTGTGTCTACGGGTAAATCTTTTGAACAATCATAAAAGCCATCGATACTCTCTGATGATTGATGGTGGGAAGCTGCCAACATATAGCGTAGATATATAAATGTCTTTCATAGGCGAAAATTTATGAAGCTTACCTGTTTGACGGTAATTTGTCGCCGCTGGTTGATCGGCGACTGAATCCAATGATGGATAAAGTCGATTCATTGAAGAAATCCCTGTGTGAAACTATCACAGCTTATAATACTTTGATGTCAGTTATTGTAAAATGGGAAAAAAGGAAGCACAGAGGCAAAACAATGAATTTATTTTGTCGTAGTATTTATTTTTTATAGAAACATTGACATAACGACTCATTTGCAGAGAAACAAGAGCAAAATGAATAACGCACCAACATACTGACATGTGACGAAAGAAAGAAAAATTACAGGTGAATGTTTCAAATTTCGTAACTTTCTTATGCAAATGTGATTCAGCGCACGTCATTTTCAATCTATACTAAGACACATTATTTATTAGAAAATGTTTAGAACAGCGGAACTAAGAACACAGAGTCAATCGATTGACTTTGATCCAAAAGACATCGATTGGCCATCCCTTTAATATATTCGTTGTATTTAAAACTTTGCACGTGTCTTCAGTTGGAATATAACCGCGTTGAGTTAAAAATTCGACCACATACGTCTCAAACTCTCGCTTATGAGCTAGTTGATACCATTCTATATGAATTACAGGTATATCGATAAAATCGAAAACTTGTCTTCCACTTTCAAAAAGATAATATTCATATCCTTCGATATCGACTTTGAGTAGAAACATCCGATGCGAAGTTTGTTTTATTACTGGAAGGATATCATCGAATCGGATAGTTTTGACAATGTAAGAGTTGATTGCCGATTGATTTGTTTTAGCTTTACCCTGGATAGATTGACTTCCAATGTTTTCCGGAGATCTGGATAGCTGGAGAGATTCTCCTGACGTCGAATAAATCGCGTTTCCAATGAGAATTATCTTGTCCTGAACATTTTCCAATTGACTAGCTCTGACGATTCGATTGTAATTGGGTGAGAAACATTCGATAGCGATAACAGAACGATTCATAGCAGCAGCGAACATGGTATAAACACCAAAGTTTGCACCAACGTCAATCAGAGCGATGCCAGGATATCGCCACATGATACGAAATAGTATATTGAGATGATTGCTTTCGTAAATTTGATTATTGAGGAATAAGCTACTGAGAAAATCGGTAGAGTTGTGCACGCAGACTGTAGTTCGTAAACCATTGAATAATTGATTAGTTTTCACACAAGTGAAGTTTTCTGCGATTGGGATGTTCAAATTAACCAAATTGACATGCGATGAAAGCGTGATTTGTTTCATTTGTCTGCGAGGAAACGTGCCGGATTTATTCATTGGAAAACGAAGTGTTCGATCGAGCGCAATAATACAAATAACTCCGAAGACTAGTATAAAAATGAGATACTTCTGACGAAACGAGTCAGCACATATTTCTTTCATTATGTGTCTTTCTCTTTTCAATTGTAGTTGGTTGAGTGTATATGTTTTGACAAACATTGCGCTATTCATTTTTTTCCAAATTGTCTCCTATTTGGTGATAATTGAAGTCAACGGAAAAAATTCAGTAAAATAGTAAAGCGATGATTGAAAAGCGTTTTTCATTGGTTTCCTTTCTACTCATTTTCACAATTATCGCTGTTTCCGTTCTTTCGGACACAATTTTAGTTCATGCAGATACTCATTCAAAACAGATTTCGCATGAAATTGGAAATAAAGTGAATTCACTGATGAATTTATAAAACTTTTTTTGTAAGGTGTATATGATGAACAGAGAAGTATTTCACTATTACTACAATCCTTAACGCATTATTATCTATGTCTATTAATTAGCTGACATTATTCTTGATTTGTCCGAAGTTTATTTCATAAATCACACATGTTGGTATAGGTAAGGTGAGTCGTAGTATTTTTTGAGTTAGTAGCATGCAATAGTAGGTTATGGTAAACTATATTTTTGGATTTCATCCTTTGAAAAGAGGTTAGAGTTCGTGCGTGGACATGCATTCGTTTCATGATAATGTCAAAGCATTGCATTAGCAGGATAAATAGCAAAAATAACTATGTGCCACATCGTTATGGTTGGCAAAGTAGCACTGTTAATAGAGTTGCTCGACATTGAATAATTTCCAACAGTCGATGTACTAGTAGCTGATGATGTGCTAGTTGGCATTGCTGCTGTGGATGTGCTAGTTGACATTGTTGCTGTGGATGCGCTAGTTGACATTGTTGTTGTAGATGTGCTAGCTGACACTGTTGCTGATGATGTGCTAGTTGACGTTGTTGTTGTGGATGTTATTTGATTAGTATTTACTTGGACACCTGTGGAAGTTGGAATTACTGGTGGAGGGAATGATGAATTAAATCCCGATGCAGTTATATTAATGATACTGCTCAAATTTGCCAGGCATGGACTTGTAGTGTCATATAGATAATATTGACTAATCACTGATTGACTATTTACGATTGTATTGTCTGCCGCAGATATGTTTCGACTGTTGCAAAATACGACAGGTGGATCCGAACTGTTGGTGGAAAGATAATTTCCAGTGATAATTATGCCGTTTACGTTAGTACACTGAACCATACTTCCACTGTATGGTCCATTATAGAATGTTGATGATGTGATCTGAATATTATGCATGACAGGTAGTACTTGTGTTGGGTCGGGTGCCATTGTGATAACTCCACTTTGTCGATAAAGCCCTTGATTACAATTGATAAAGACATTCTCACTTAAAATGGCATTGTTTGGAGCAGGACCTTCGTTCCAATAGAGTGAAGGTTGAAATAAAATAGCCGGCGCACTCGTTCCATTAAATAATGATTTTGTAATACGAATATTTCGAGTTGATAACAGGATTCCACGCGCTCGATTATTCGTTACAGTGAAATTTCGTACGGTCAATGTCAAATTATCTGCGACGCAAGCTAGATCACCAACATTGACTGAAATTACATTTGTAAATGTAAATAGTCGTGTTGTTGAATTAATACTAGTCGATGTCGCGACAATTGCACTTGTATATGATGTAAATGGTTGTGAACTCGTACTAAATTCTAAATTACTTCCAATACCGACATTCAGTGCATCTTCCCAATTGTTTGTTTTGATCAGTAATGTTGTGGAATTAATGACTTGTACAACTACGAAAATAAATGCTTGTACATTCAAACCATCATCGCCTTGTCCTTCACATGAACAATCCATTATATTAATAGACTCTCGACTATCACCAAAGTGCATGCAATCCGCTGCTGTACTTAACCAACGATCGTCACGTTTTCTGACATGATAATCGATCATATTCAAACGTCGTGCTCGTGATGTATAAATACCGAAATACCATGCTGTATAGATCGTCAGCGATTGAATAGTCAGATCAACTGTATCTTGTGCGTATATAGCATGCGTTGTAAATGAATACCGTGCTACAATGGGATCACCGACAGCGAATTGCGTCTGATATTGTAGATAAATCCGTAACGTTCCATTTGGATTCAATGTTGTATTCTGATTAGCTGGTGGTGTTTGATAAATTTCGTATGATCTATTGCCAATGGCTGGTTTTCTCAATACGGGATCATATCGAAAAATTGCACCAACCTTTCGGCCAACGTCAGCTTGATGAGGTGCTACGATTTGTAAATCAAGATAACTTGACGTAGCTTTTACAACATAACCAGCTGTGAATGGGAGTGGGCTAAAATCAATGGAAAACGATGTTAGTATCACTTGCTGACTGTTAATCACGTAGAACAGTGATATAGACGAATGAACAAGTAATAATGTTTGATCCATGCCTTGTCCAATGAAGTTGAAACCATTTGCTTGATAGATATAGATGGAAGCCGACAAATCGTATGTTCCAGATTGAAGCGTAACAGTATTATTTGTTCCATTGAGTAAAGCAGCGCCGATAGCGTTCTGTATAGCATTTGTATCATCGATATTATCGTTAGGATAAGCACCAAAATTCGATACAGGAAAAGTAAGTCCTTCAGTATAAGAGTACTGAATCAATATGATGAAAAGGATGAAAAGATCACGGAGAGGGTTTGTGCCAAGATATACTACAGGCATTAGAAAACAAATCAAAGCTTCTTACAATCGACTTCAACTTTTGGTTAAATTCAAAAATGTTTGAAGAGTATTAGTAATATTATTACTGTGGGCAAGCAGAAGCCTAAGAATGTAATTTGTGAGTACATTTCTAGTCTTGTTTTGCAGCACAGAATCGCAAATGAACATCGAAAGAAAACAAAAAAAAACGAATGTCACAAAAACAACAGTGTTGACACTTCATCTGATTTTTTTCGGTTGAGAAAAAACAGAAAGACTGTTTTTATTTAAATCGAAAGTTGAATAATCCATTTTCTAATCAAATGGTTGCTGTATTTAAGATAGATGAAGAACAGTTTGGAACAATGGTGCAATTTGATCTATATTATTCAAAATAAGCGATTGATTATGGAAAATTTCTCGCGATGCCTTGACTGATTGTTGTAATTCAAAAAGCACTGGCAGTAAATCAATGAATTGTTTCTGGACTCGCATTTCACCATGTTTACTTACTAAATGACTCCAGAGAATATTTGTGTATCGTAGTTGAATTTGATTCACTGTGTCAGGATCGTTGAGTAGAGGTTCCTCATTACTGATCGACAGACCACGCGAAAACAAGAGAATAATCGAAAGAAGGGACAGAAATGCTGGATCTTGGTCAGTAATCCGCACCAGTGAGCGAACCATATGACCAAACTTTTGATATAAAGTCTCCGATGGGTCAACTAATTTAAAAAATTCACGACTTTTTCTCGATGCATCACAATTATCGCCTGCACAGCAATCGTTCGTTCCTCCATAACTATAGCATTTTCCAAGGACAAAAATCGTATACACATTGTATTTGATAAGGACAAATCGATCATCAGAATGTAGATTCTCGAAGTCTTCAATTTGGCGAAAGAAGTTAATGAAACGTAAGGCACATTCATCCATGAATCGTGACCACGAAACGATTGCAGCAAAATCACTTGTAAAGTCAATACTGTCGATACATTGTTGTGGCGATACACTTAAGCAAGATACAAATGACGCTTCAACACTTTGCGTTATTAACCAATCACTAATGGACAATGTACCAAATACTGTCTCATTTATTTCGTCGGAGAAAACGTTGCCATTATTATCGATCGTGCTCATTGGTATCTGTAAAAAATCATTTAGAAGATTAATTTTCAACGATAATCAAATAGATAGTGTATACTCACCTCTTCTACTTCATTTATTGTCTGCTCAGAACTGGATGAAGATTGTGCCGGTGTCGAATTGTTCGTCGCCAAAAGCATATTTGCCTCGAGCTCCTTCCGTCTCTCTTTTCGTTGCTCTTCAGTCAGAACAAAATCTCTGCGCATTCCCATTTGCAAGCATTTCTTCAGCCGACACGGTGTGCATTTTCGTCGCATCTCATGACCAACATGACAGTCATCTCGACCTGTCAAACATCGGATCTTATTCTAAACACATACCCACATTGCACATTCTATAAAACTCAACAAACCACATACCGCTGGTTCATGAGCATTGCGACGGAAAAATGCTTTACATGAATTGCATGTCGGAGCATTATAGTTGAAGCCGATTGCTCGATCGCCACAGATAGTACACATCAGATCAACAGATTTCTTTCGAGTTTGATTCGCTGTTTTTGGTTTCTTCGGTTGAGGTAGATCGAGTGCATCTCTATAGAGTTGATCATCGTTGAGATTCTACAAAATATAGTTAGATGATATGGAAGACGAAAAGAAGAAGTGCGGCACAGACAGGCTGAAACAGCTTGGCGAGAATGTTCATGTTGACGCCTTTGGAATCCATCGTAGTAGTAGTTGTTGTTGTTGAAGTTGGTTGCTGCTTATTGCCCAAATCGATGACTTGTGCTTTGAGTGAAGTATTGAATGCAATTTGACGAATGAGATCTTCGTCTGCCGTGACAATAATCATTTTTGTTTGACCAGGCATATTGTAAATGAAAGCTATAGCGCAATTGAAATAAACAACAAAATAAAAGCAAACGCGTATTACATTTGTGTCGAGTCAGAGGAAAAGAAAGAAAAACTGACGTGTGTGGCAATTTGAATGACTCATAAAATAGTGGATGATGAAATAGTATTCTTGAGAACTGCGTGCGCATTGGCTGTAGCACGTTTTCAATAAACAAAGAAATGCCGGAAATCAGAATAGTCGCAACGAACAAGAAATCGTTGAGATGGATCCAACATGCTTCAACAAACATCCTCTGAGTACAATTCGTGCAAAGTTATATTTTACGATCAACTGAAACTACCGAAGCATGAACGAGAACGGAGGATATATATGTATATATAGTCATTAGATTATTTATGATAGCATACTTACAAGTGCTTCACTGCGTGTACGCGTGTGTTGTTTGTAGCTATTAATGTCTGTTCTACTCTCAAACCTGCGTTTATTTCCACGTTATTCGACGTCTATTTATGCTTCACGACTAAATGCTGGAGCTAGAGCAGCTTCATCCAACATAAATCTACCTCGAGACGCTGCCCGACCCACTCAAACCTATTGGCGACCCGCTGCTCTAATTGTTGGTCTTGTTGGAGTAGTTGCATTACTGCGAATGTCACGAAAAGAAGAACAACTTATTCAACATGCTCGTGACAAAGATCCTCATCAAGAAACCAAAATCTCAAAATAATGTCTTTCATTTCTTTAATAGATAAAAATTATATTCTCGCAGTTGTTCAGACATTTTTCATGTACACCAAGATATTCGAGCATGTATTTAGTCTAATAAAATTCGCTCTCGTATTGAGAAAATTATTTGTCAATCGCGGTACATAGGAAAAAGAAGGTTCAAGAGATGTGAAGAACAGCTTGCATTAATGGTGCAATTTTATCCACCGTGTTTGAGATTGTCAATTGCGTGTGTAAAATATTTCGGGTTTTTCTGGCGAGCATTTGTAATTGAAAGATAATTTGAAGCAGATTAATAAATTGTTTCTGTGCTTTTTGTTCGCCATGTTTATTTGCCAAATACTTCCACAAGAGGCCAGTATAACGCAAGTGGACTTGATTGACATTCATGGGATTTTGAAGTGTTGGTTCGTCTTCGCTCATAGATAGTCCTCGAGAAAATAAGAGACTAATTAGCAGAAGAGAGATGAAAATCGGATCTTGATCAGTAAGATGTACCAGTGAAATGACTATCGTAATCAATTCATGACGTATACTGGGCGATTCTCCACACAATCGGAAGAACTCAGCGTGTTTTTCTCCTCTGTTACATCCATTAAATGAACAACAATCGTTGATTGGTCTATAGTTATAACATTTACATAACACAAAAAGAGGCAGGATATTGTACTTGATTAGGACAAATCGATCATCAGGATGTAAGTTTTCGAAGTCATCCATTTGACGAAAGAAAGATATAAGACGTGCCGCGACTTTGCTGGCAAACTGTGACCACGAAACGAGAGCTGAACCACGATTACTCAAATCAAAATAATCAATGCACTCGACGCCTGGCAAATGCAGATAGGATGTAAATGATGCTCGGACACTTTGCATTGTTAACCAGTCATCAACGGATAATGTGTCAAATGCCATCTCACTCGTTTCATTTGAGAGGATACCATCGTTGTTGCTCATTAGCAGCTGTACAGAAATATCAAGAAGATTAATTTCCAACGGTAATCAAACAGAATAAATCCTCACCTCGTCTACTCTATTCGTTGTGTCTTCACCGTTTGACGACGATTGCAATGCGTTCCTCGCTGTCAAACATCGATTTTCCTCCAACTGTTTCTGCCTTTCGATTCCTTTTTCTTTACTCAACACGAATTCTCTGCGCATTCCCATTTGCAAGCATTTCTTCAGCCGACACGATGTGCATTTTCGTCGCATCTCATGGCCAACATGACAGTCATCTCGACCTGTCAAACATCGAATCTTATTCTAAACACATACCCACATTGCACATTCTATGAAACTCAACAAAACACAAACCGCTGGTTCATGAGCGTTGCGACGGAAAAAAGCTCTACACGAATTGCATGTCGGAGCATTATAGTTGAAGCCGATTGCTCGATCTCCACAGATAGCACACACCAGATCAACAGATTTCTTTCGAGCTTGATTCGCTGGTTTTGGTTTCTTCGGTTGAGGTAGATCGAGTGCATCTCTATAGAGTTGATCGCCGTTGGGATTTACTGTAGTAGTAGTTGCTGTTGTTGTTTGCTGCTTATTGTCCAAATCGATGACTTGTGTTTTGAGTGAAGTATTGAATGCAATTTGGTGAATGAGATCTTCGTCTGCCGTGACAATAATTATTTTTGTTTGACTGGCCATGATTTCTATTATGATGTATTTAAATGCGAACGAAGAGAAATGAGATCAGAGACAAAAAAAATTGTGTTTATTTATTTTCTCTCCCTGACAAGCAGAATACTAAAAAAAGAATAGGAACGTGGACGCGTTCGTCATGATGTGTATGACTCATCAAGGTAGCAGTGCTTCATATGTTGATGTCGCTAGTGATATGAAACGAACAGTCAGAAGACCTGTGCAGAAGTATTCTGTAATTTTGTTTCTCGGAGGAGAAGAATGGTGTCGTCTATTGAGTTTGATTGGCAAGCACGGAAAAGAACATTATACATTCTGTAGTCTAAATACTTTTGTTAAACATTTCTGTGAACGTGTATATCTTCTATTTTTTTAACCACACTAGCGAGAGTTTGTTTGCCATCAATGACGAATTTTCATGTAATTTCTCGCTGTTCAACTCTCGTTTGGCCTACACGTCTGAATTCTACATCCGCTTCTTCTTTAGACATAGTTCGCTCCAGGATTCTGTAAGATCGAAAGAAAGTATTGGAAGTCTGCTAGCATTGTTGGATTTATTGTTCTCTTCCAAATGACAAAAAAAAGGAGTACAGACTGCCGAACGCACCAGTGCAGAAACAAAATTCAAGCCAACAGTACCGTGTTCAATCTAGGAGAATCTCTTGTTTCAGTAAAGTTAAAAAAAGAAACTGTGCGAAGTGGCTGATGATGTTCATCGGGTACAACATTTTGTTATTTATCTGAGTATTACACTTTCTATGTCTCCATCAATACAAAGCTACTACTCAAGATGAAAATATCACAAGAGATTAGCATAAATTATCGTTATTATTCTTGATTGAAAAATACGGTGTAATCAAAGACCACAGTACAAAGCATGGGGCTGCCAACGCTGAGTGTCGTCGATTATATTTTACTGGTCCTATTATTAGTTGCTTCAGCTAGCATTGGTGTCCTCTTCGGCTTTTTCAAATCAAAGAAAAGCTCCGCCAAGGAATATCTTCTCGGTAAACGGCAAACGCATAACAATACTCTCTCTACACTCAAATTTTCTAGCTAATGGCGGTATGGGTGTATTTCCAACCGCTTTGAGTATAATGGTTTCGTTCATTTCTGCCATCACTTTTCTCGGCACACCGGTCGAAATATACATGTACGGAACCATGTTTTGGTATCAAGGTACAAAGTCATACAGTATAATGTAGTATACCATATGAGATGACTGTTGGTTTCTATAGCTGCATCATGGTCAATTGCATCGTTAGTAGCAGCATTTGTGTTCATGCCAAAGTTTCGCGACATGTATTTCACTAGTGCGTACGAGGTAGGATCTACTCGGATATTAATCGGTGACATGATGAGAGATCATGAGTAGTATCTAGAAAAGCGCTTCGACAGAAATGTTCGTTTGGCGGCATCAATGACATTTTCTGTCTACATGGTACGATAAGCAAATTTGCATGGAAATTTCATAATCACGTTCTGAGTATCATTTCAGATCATTTTCATGGCTTTGGTACTTTATGCGCCGGCGTTAGCATTGAGTCAAAGTTTGTTAACATACGAAAAATCTTTTTGTCTAAGAATCTGAATCATTGTAATATTCTTAGCAACTGGATTAAATATTTGGTTATCAGTTGTTTCAATTGGTGTCATTTGCACTTTCTATTCATCTGTAGTAAGTTTGTTGACTTTTTCGTGTTCCAATTCTATTCTTTTGCATTTCATCCAGGGAGGAATGAAAGCAGTGATTTGGACTGATGTTCTTCAAGCAGCTATTATGTTCGTCGGTATATTGTCTGCTATCATCCAAGGTTGTCACCATTTTTCTTCTCGTCTCATCGCACATGCATACCTTTCCGATGCATTCTAGGTCTCATTGAAGTCGGAGGTTTCAAGAATGTCTTTGCAACAGCCTCACGTGGCAATCGATTTGAATTTAACAAGTAAATATGTTGTTTCTAATACATATCCATATCCATCGGAATCTGTTTTTGTTAGTGTGAGCTTTGATCCTCGCACTCGTCATACAATTTGGACATTCTTCCTTGGCAGTTCTCTCAATACGTTGAGCATCTATGGTTTCAACCAGACTCAAATTCAACGGTATATGTGTGTTCGAACAACACGTGGAGCACAGCAAGCTTTGATCATCAATGCCGTCGGCGTGGCGTGTATTATTCTCCTTGCGGGTTTCATGGGTATCATTCTTTATGCATACTATGTCGATTGTGATCCGTATACGGCGAAATTAGTTAGTGGAAGTGATCAAATATTTCCATACTTTGTCATGGAAGTGTTGAGTAGTAAAAAAGGTCTGCCGGGGGTTTTTCTTGCCTGCGTCTTTTCTGGCTCATTATCATCAATATCCTCCGGTTTGAATAGTTTAGCGGCTGTTCTTATCGAAGATTTCTACAAGGGTTTACTAGGACGGCAACTCACGGATGAACGTCAAGGATTTGTAGCGAAGATTTGTTCAGTAGTACTCGGTGCGATTGTCATACTTCTGACCTATGTTGTCAGTTACTTAGGCTCAATCATCAACGCTGCCCTGTCACTGTCCGGTATTTTGTCTGCGCCAATCATGGGTGTATTTCTGCTTGGCTTCTTTTTCCCACGTGCCAATCGTCACGGAGCTTTGATTGGTTTCTTCACCAGTTTATCATTTCTCCTATGGATATTTGTCGGTACACAATTAACCAAAAATCAACGAACCAATGTTCAACTTCCGCTATCCGTAGAAGGTTGTAAACATATGAATACTACACAACAAATATTACTCACAACTACAGCTGCTGTCAGAACAAATCCATTACTGAGTCTGTACTCAGTCAGTTACCTATGGTACACGCTGATTGCTGCTAGTACAGTCATACTTGTTGGCTTGATTGTTTCGTATCTGACAGGTCCACTGAAACCAGATGAAGTTGATCCGAAACTAATTATACGCATAAAAGATGTATTCCGCTGCAAATACTCTCCTTCGAACGAGAGCTACGATCTTCAACAGCGAGATAATGTATGTTATAGATAATTTGACATTCTTTTTTGAATGCTCAATCATCATCGAAATTCTTTAGGAAAACAAGATTTCTAACTCGACGTCCGAACAAATAATGCATACATCATCTGAACCTGTCTCTCAATTACCAATATAAATAAGGCACTTGCAATAAACTTTGGTTTTTTTCCTAAATCTTCAAGTGCTTCACACAGCTTCTGTTGTTTTTATTTCATATTAAGATAAGCAAAAAACTTCTCTATGGATTATTAACATCAGCCGTATGACATGAATTACCATTGTTAGCTCGATACATAAAATGAGTAGGTCTCGTGTCAGTTGGTGTCGCATAATACAATTGAACAACAACTTCTACAGTTTGTCCTGATCTAACAACAGTTTGACGAATGTCATTTTCAATCCGACTCCATACACCACGATTGATATTAATACTTTGAGGAAAAATATTGTACAATTCCCTTCCTGTACCACCTAGTATATTTGCAATGATATGTCCAGCATCATCGTTTGATTTACCCATCGATCGAGCATATTTCCGAGCACGATCACTTGGTGCTGAACCTTTTCCAATTGATGCTGATGTGATCTCTAGAAAGAATAAAAACGGATCATTCTATTATCTATCATATGCATCATCACACCTGCACGAACATATTCGACTCGACCGTTGTGCCCTGTTTGGTAGGTTTTGATCGGGTTATTTGGATCATTCAGTCGATGAGTTGACACATCGTGAGTGAATTCTCCGTAATTCAAAATCCCGCATAGTGTACTGAAGCAATAAGCAAATATTTCTCTATTATTTAACAAACACAGTCAAACCTTACGCTAAACTTTGCACTTTGTCTCTCGTAGGTAAAGCTCCTACAAGAATTGCATTGAGGATGTAGGATGTCGTAAAGAATCCGAGAATAACAATGTATAATTTGGACATATCTGCACTATTTTCTAATTGAAAATCAGAGAGAAATAATTGGATTTGTAATATTTATATATCGAGATGAACGAAAAGAAAAACAATCCACCAATGACATTCTCATTTGCTCAATAAAAAAAAAACAAATTTCTTCAATAATGATTGGCATGTAAACATTTAACAAAGACACGCAAGGTCACAGAGTTAAGAATGGTTCACATGAATGTGTTCGATCATTTCAAGGTCAACATTCATGTATACAGATGTTGTTTTGTTATTCATTTCGTTCAATATGTGATGTGGAAATGATTCGCGCACTCATCGTTAGAAATGACATGTGATCGAAAGCAACTTACAATAAATCCTAACTATCATAATTGCAAATGGAGTTTTAGTTCTCACCCCTATGCTCGGCATTTCGATTGATCTCTCTCCATATTTAGAATATTAAATAAAAAAACTGCATTTCAAAAATAGACTCTGTTGTATATGAAAATCACACATCAGGATGAAATATAAAATGTTTGCAAAATACCAAAGTCACTCGTAGTAATTCCTATCGAAACAGCGATTTCAGCGAACGTTTTTCAATTCCTTCGCCTTTGATTGGTCTGTAATCCGTTCACCAAGTGGGACGAATCGCATCATAATACGTCTTCATTTTTATCTATATCGGTATAATGGTGTCAATTCTCTCATCGGCAGATTCTGTCCAAATGATTAAAACGATATTTGGTCGAATCTCTATCTTTTATTAATTAGGAGTACCAGTCAATTCAATTGATAATGCCGTGTATTTCCAAGTTAAGACGTTCTTTTCATGAAAACTAAGAACGAAGGTATTGTTCAGAACTTTGAGCCGAAATCTTCGACATTTTAACAAAGTATTTATATGTCGAACGAAAGACTGATGAATAGATATATTCATAGCGGTATGTTTTGTCCAAAGTAGAAATTTCACAAATATTTACACGAATTAGGAGTAAGTTCAAGAGAATGAATGATTATTTTCTCTCGCGAGGAGTTCTTCAAATGTATGAGGACAAAAGATTTTCAATTAAAAGAAGCGAACATTTATCTGAGGTGTAGCACAGCGAAAAGTGGCTGCTTTGTTTAAATCGCGTCGGTGTCATTGAAAGATTTATGTACTTGAATAACATTTCGAACAAAATAAATAAATTAATCCACGATTAGAAGAAAAACCGCCGAAGTAACGAGAGAAGTATCGCAGTTTGCTTCAAGATGTTGTTGAAGTACTTTTAATTTTAAACAAAACACATCAGTCTTGGGTGATTGATAGAAAACTGACTCAGAAAACTTAAATGTCCTCGCTGGTTAAATTCAACTCTTTTAAAATCTATTCAACGACAGTCCTTAAATGAAGGCACTTGATCAGATTTGTGTGATTTGGTGTAGCTTAGAGTTACGATAGCGGATACATTAATCTGAATTTATGTATGAAAACGTTTACTGCCCTCGAATATATTTCGAATAGTAATATTCAAACTGCTACTTCATTAATATATGGTCACAATCCGAAACAATATCTGAATTTCTGCTTTTTTTTCTCTCCTAATTGATGACGTTTTTGAAAGTACACAGCAGTGATATATTGAAAACACTCATTTTATAATTCTCCAAGTTGTATTTGAATATAAAGGGATCACATTCTGGTATGTGATCTTGTTTTGATCGAAGGAAGTCGTTTCAACAGATGTCATACGTGACTGAATTGATATTTTAGTCCGACAATTGATACTAAGAAGAAAAAAACATAAAGAGTATGCACCTTTCATTCGTCTAGATAATAACTTATGAATAATGTGAGGAAAGGATAATCCTATTCTCTTCTTATTTAGACTTCGTATCGGTTACAAACATGTCATCAGTGGTCAATTCTCGTATTTTCAAAGATATTTTTGGTACTGGTGCGATGCGTGGCAAGTTTATGACATTGTTTCTGTTAAATCTCAAGTTCTTTTCTATCGTAGATATTTGGTCCGATGAAGCACGTACGGGTTATTATTTAAGGTGGGAGATTGCTTTGGCTAAAGTGCAAAGTAAACTAAAAATAATTCCTCAAGATGCTTGTGATGAAATTATTGCTCAGGCAAAACTCGAAAATATTGATTTCGATAAACTCAAACAAAGCACGGAATTAATTGGCTATCCGATACTGGGTGTTGTGCAACAGATTGTTTCTCTGTGTCGTGACGGTCTCGGTCAGTGGTGTCATTGGGGCGCAACTACTCAAGATGTCACTGATAGCGCTACTGTTCTGGCGATGCGGGATTCTTTCGATATCATTGAAATCGATCTGGATCATATTTTGAATAGTGTTGCCAAGTTAGCTGAACATCATCGTTTGACACCGAGTGAGTTATTCTATTCTTCAAGTAATTCTTAATTCTTGAAACGCAATTTGCTTAGTGCCTGGGCGTAGTAACTTACAACAAGCTGTGCCGATCAGTTTTGGATTTAAGATGGCTCGTCTTTTAGCTACTCTTCAACGACACAAGGAACGACTCAGCGAGATTCGAAAGCGTGTATTGGTTTTGGAATTCGGAGGTGCTGCTGGTACTCTTGCTACTTTAGATAGTTCAGTGGCGTTAGAATGTCAAGCCGAATTAGCAGGTGAATTAAACTTGGCTCAACCAGAAATTGCATGGCATACTGAACGTGATCGTATTGTTGAAGTGGGTGCATTCCTTGCTCTCCTATGTGGTACCTTGTCCAAGAATGCAACAGATATAAAAGTATTTTTTAAAAAAACAAAGTAGAAAGATTGATATAGTGATTTTTATTCATCATCTAGTTACTGATGCAAACTGAAATTGACGAAGTTTCTGAACCGTATGTTCCCCATCGTGGATCGAGTTCGACGATGCCAAATAAAGTCAATCCAATCAGTTGTGTTTATATTCATGCATTGGCTGCTACTGTTCGTCAGCATGCAGCTGCTCTCATGGATTCTATGGTTGCCGATCACGAACGTTCCACTGGCCCATGGGAAATCGGTAGCCTTTTTCAATTTTATTCACTTATACAACAATTTCTCTTGTAGAATGGATCGTTCTACCGGAAGCATTTATACTGACCGCTGGTGCATTGGATCAAACGAAATCATTGATGGCCGGTCTCCAAGTTCATCCGGAAAATATGATGCGAAATTTGAATTTGACAAAAGGTCTCATCGTATCCGAAGCTGTCATGATGAATCTAGGTGCTAAATTAGGTCGACAAACAGCCCATGATCTTGTATACGACTACTGTCGTCGTTCAGTGCTTGAAGAACGTACGTTGATTGATCTACTGAAAGAAGATGAAAAGATTTCGTCGGTCATATCCGACTCTGAACTTATGCAACTCTGTGATCCTGCGAATTACCTTGGTCTTAGTGGTACTATGACTGACAATGTTGTCAATGCTTATAAAAAAGCTAATTTAACTCAAATTAAAAGGAAATAAATCATTACGCAGTTGTAGCAATCACAGCATCGAAAGCATACATATAGTCGCACAGTTATCCTGTTGTCGGTGGTTTTTCCATTGGGCTGATCCGAATTTTATTCTTTGTATATCGAATAGCTCGTCGTTTTTGCAGGAGCACATACGCTTTAATAAGTAGTATTGACAAACATGGGTATCAAGATCGATAGAACTTTCATTAAACCAGATAAAATGCCGATGATCGCCGTTATGATATAAAAGACATAGAACTTTTTTACGTGTGTATACTACTGGCATTCTGCTACAGTGAGAGAAATAAGGTCGATTTCAATGCTAAGTGCGACGATTTCCGAAGAATAGCAAGACGAAATCAAGTGAGAAATATTTGTATCATAGCTCAGTGTGCTCAGTAAATCAGTTGGAGAATTTGGTTTACCTTTGTCCAGAAAGTAAATATCTCACCTTTCGTGCTAATTATAAAATTCGATCCACCCGATCGTTTTTATTATCGAAAAGCAGTGAACATGCGAATCATCTGCATTTAATATGTTATCAAAGTATGATTTCAAACGAGTGAAAACCATAATTAAGGGCAATAGATTATTGAAGAAATACGTTATTGCAGTGTGTAGCCCATTGTTAGAATGGTTATGTATGGTGATAGTTTTAGTAAAAGTATTTGTTGTCGCTTTTTCTGATATAATAAATTCAGAAAGAGAACGTATAATAAGATTTTATTTATTTTACAAGAAAATAACAGGCGAGTTAGTTGAGCGTTCTCATTGTATCAAACGCCATAATTGTTCGTGCGTCGGTAGTTCCGACGATGAGGGATCATTGACAGGTAAAAGCGTTTTCACAATATCTATAGTGTCCTTTGCACAGCCCCAAGATAAGGTTACACCTGCACCTGAATGACCATAGCAATGAACAACATTCATACCGTCTGAAGTTCGTTCATGTTCGAGACGAACACCACCATCACGATACGGTCGTAGTCCTACTTGTACTTGACTATCTTTAATTCCATCAAGTGCTGGTAGAATTCGCGCACAGATACGACGGATAAAATTCGTATCTTCTTCAGTTGGCTTTTTACTCCAGTCATCCATCTGAAATGTACCGCCTAGAACAATTGTATCCGATTGTGGGATAATATAGCCAACTCCTTCGGTCTTAGTGTCAAAATAATACATAGATTTAATCCAAGGAGCATGTATGCGAATGACCTGTAGTGAAAGTTAGTACATAAAAATTATAGGTAAATGCGAAACTCACTTGTCCCCGTGCCGGTCGTACAGCCAGATCGCCAACTAGATAGCGAGCACCTAAGCCAGTGCAGTTGATGACAACATCTGCTTGATCTTTTAGTTCACTTAATGAGAGTATCTTTTTGTTAATAAACTTCACACGTCGGTCTTGTGTCAGAAAACGATAAAGTTCAGGTAGATAGCGTTGAACTTCGACAACGACTGATGACATGACAAAGCCTGTTACAGGAGCTAAATGATCAAATATATGAAGTTCTGTGTTGCTCAATCGTCGATAATGTCGAACTAGAGGTAAGAAAGGAAACTCGATAGATAAATCTTTATCATCTACATGCTGTGGATCCTCTTGCTTAAAGACACTATAACTGGTTAATTGGATGACACCAGCTCGTGCAGCTTTGATAGAAACATATTCTTCCATGAATATTTCATAAGAATAACGCGCCCATTTTAACATACGCTGATCATTTAAATTTAAACCATAAGGTTGCCAATATCCAGCTGAAATGTCGCCTGTTGTGTTCGGCGAAAATGTTTCACTGATTATAGTCAATTGTAGATTATCAATAGATGCATATTCTTTGAGAAGTGTACACGCCGTTGTTAAACCGATGATACCGCCACCAACAATTATCACACGATAATTCAGATTGTTGGCCATCATTAAATGAGATAGAAAACTGAGTATTGTGTAAATGAAGATATATATATATATAAACGATGAACAGAAAGAGAAAAATATTCAAATAAACTGATAATATTGTAAGATAAGATGCGTTACATTCGAGGCGGCAAGAGAACAAATCATTGCATACTTTTCGTTATCACAATCTGTCTTTTTTCTTCCATATCATCTCCACGAAGATATCGCGACTTGAGAACAGTTAAACGATCTTAAAGAAACCAATTTTGTACTAAAAAAAAGAAATTGCCGAGTATCGGTTTGGTTCAGGAGTAGCGAAACCGTGAAGTTCCGCGTCCATATGCTATTGGCTCATTTGGATTGGGCAATTGATTNTCGGCATCGAGGACATTGGGGACGCTGCTGGTTTTGAACAAGAGTTAGAAGACGTCGATGAGTGTCTGGCTCCAAGGGAATCAACGATAAGTCGTAGCGAGAGAGCTGATAGTCACAAAACATCGAATGGCAGACAGGTGTTGATTGCGATTCGAGAAATGCATTCAATGATTTGAGCAGACACTTTTTACAGTAAACGTGGCGTGATGGACATGGAATTATAAAAGCTGTACCGTCTTTTGAATTGATAGTAGATGCGCTACAGACAAGAAAAGAGTGTGACAATGTAGAATGGAAGTATATCATGAAAATAACTCACCAATTCAAACACGAATCTTTCATCATGCGCTCATTAGAAGTTTGCATGTCGAGATCGTCCGGTGATTGAGGAATACATGTTTGAACATGAGCTGCATAATCCTTTTCAGGAACCGCTTTGAAACACCAAATACAATCTCGAGTAGACTTCTTACTCGAAGCGCTGGCACTCTGCACATCGTTCTATAGATTACATCAACATCACAAATTTGAAAAAAGTTGTTCGTATTCTTAATCAAATTACTTGTGGTATTGATGTTGCTCCCCGACGCTCGTCGTTCTTTCTGTCATCCTCAGCTAAACACTTTTGAACGTGTTCAGCTAAGTTTTCGAACGTCTGATTACATAATGGGCAGTGGTCTGAACTTGGATCACGTGTATTGAGTGTGGGTGTGTCTACGGATAAATCTTTTGAACAATCATGAAAGCCATCGATACTTTCTGATGATTGACGGTGGGAATCTGCCAACATATAGCGTAGATAGATAAATGTCTTCCACGGGCAAAAATTTTCAAAGCTTACCTGTTTGACGGTAATTTGTCGCCGCTGGTTGATCGGCGAGTGAATCCAATGATGGATAAAGTCGCTTCATTGAATAAATCTGTTTGAAACTATCACAGCTTATAATACTTTGATGTTAGTTATTGTAAAATGGGAAAAAAGGAAGCACATAGGCAAAACAATGAGTTTCTTCTGACGTAGTATTTATTTTTTTTGTAGAAACATTGACATAACGACTCATTTGTAGAGAAGCACGAAGAGCAAAATGAATAACAAACCAACATAACGACATGTGACGAAAGAAAGAAAAATTACAGGTGAATGTTTCGAATTTCGTAACTTTCTTATGCAAGTGTGACTCAGCACACGTCGTTTTCAATCTATACTAAGATACATCATTTGTTGGAAAATGTTTAGAATAGCAGAACTAAGAACACAGAGTCAATCGGTTGACTTTGATCCAAAAGACATCGATTGGCCATCCCTTCAATATATTCGTTGTATTTAAAACTTTGCACGTGTCTTCAGTTGGAATATAACCGCGTTGTGTTAAAAATTCGACCACATACGTCTCAAACTCTCGCTTATGAGCTAGTTGATACCATTCCATATGAATTACAGGTATATCGATGTAGTCGAAAACTTGTCTTCCACTTTCAAAAAGATAATATTCATATCCTTCGATATCGACTTTGAGTAGAAACGTCCGATGCGAAGTTTGTTTTATTACTGGAAGGATATCATCGAATCGGATGGTTTTGACGATGTAAGAGTTGTTTGTCGATTGATTTGTGTTAGCATTACCCTGAATAGATTGACTTCCAATGTTTTCCGGAGATCTGGATAGTCGGAGATATTCTCCTGACGTCGAATAAATCGCGTTTCCAATGAGAATTATCTTGTCCTGAACATTTTCCAATTGACTAGCTCTGATGATTCGATTGTAATTGGGTGAAAAACATTCGATAGCGATAACAGAACGATTCATGGCAGCAGCGAACATAGTATAAACACCAAAGTTTGCACCGACATCGATCAGAGCGATGTCAGGATATCGCCACATGATACGAAATAGTTTATTGAGATGATTGCTTTCGTAAATTTGATTATTGAGGAATAAGCTACTGAGAAAATCAGTGGAGTTGTGCACACAGACTGTAGTTCGTATTCCATTAAATAATTGATTGGTTTTCACACAAGTGAAGTTTTCTGCGATTGGGATGTTTAAATTAACCATATTGACGTGCGATGAAGGCATCATTTGTATCATTTCTCTGCGAGGAAACGTGCCGGGTTTATTCATTGAAAAACGAAGTGTTCGATCGAGCGCGATAATGCAAATAACGCCGAAGAGTAGTATAAAAACGAGACACCTCTGACGAAACGAGTCAGCACATATTTCTTTCATTATATGCCTTTCTCTTTTCAATTGTTATTGGTGAGTGTATATGTTTTGACAAACATTGTGCTGTTCATTCTTTTTAAATTGTCTCCAATTTAACGATAATTGAAGTCAACGAAGAAAATTCAATAAAACAGTAAAGCGATGATTGAGAAGCGTTTTTCATTGGTTTCCTTTCTACTCATTTTCACAATTATCACTGTTTCCGTTCTTTCGGACACAATTTTAGTTCATGCAGATAGTCATTCAAAACAGATTTCACATGAAATTGGAAATAAAGTGAATTCATTGATGAATTTATAAAAACCTTCTTGTAATGTGTATATGTTGGACAGAGAAGTATGTCACTATTACTATACAATTCTTAACGCATTATTATATATGCTTATTGACTAGCTGACATATTCTTGATTTGTCCGAAATTTATTTCATAAATCACACATGCGAGTTTAGGTAAGGTAAGTCGTAGTATTTTTTGAATTAGTAGCATGCAATAGTAGGTTATGGTAAACTATATTCTTGGATTTCATCTTTTGAAAACAGGTTAGAGTTCGTGGTCATGCATTCGTTTCATGATAATGTCAAAGCATTGCATTAGCAGGATACATAGCAAAAATAACTATGTGCCACATTGTTATGGTTGGCAAAGTAGCACTGTTAATAGAGTTGCTCGATATTGAATGATTTCCAACAGTCGATGTACTAGTAGCTGATGATGTGCCAGTTGTCATTGTTGCTGTTGATGTGCTAGTTGTCATTGTTGCTGTTGATGTGCTAGTTGTCATTGTTGCTGTTGATGTGCTAGTTGTCATTGTTGCTGTTGATGTTATTTGATTAGTATTTAATTGAACACCTGTGGAAGTTGGAATTACTGGCGGAGGGAATGATGAATTAAATCCCGATGCAGTTATATTGATGATACTGCTCAAATTTGCCAGGCATGGACTTGTAGTGTCGTATAGATAATATTGACTAATCACTGATTGACTATTTACGATTGTATTGTCTGACGCAGATATGTTTCGACTGTTGCAAAATACGACAGGTGGATCCGAACTATTGGTGGAAAGATAATTTCCAGTGATAACTATGCCGTCTACGTTAGTGCACTGAACCATACTTCCACTGTATGGTCCATTATAGAATGTTGATGATGTGACCTGAATATTATGCATGACAGACAGTACTTGTGTTGGTTCGGGTGCCATTGTGATAACTCCACTTTGTCGATAAAGTCCTTGATTACAATTGATAAAGACGTTCTCACTTAAAATGGCATTCTTTGGAGCAGGACCTTCGTTCCAATAGAGTGAAGGTTGAAATAAAATAGCTGGCGCACTCGTTCCATTAAATAATGATTTCGTGATGCGAATATTTCGAGTTGATAAGAGGATTCCACGCGCTCGATTATTCGTTACAGTGAAATTTCGTACGGTCAATGTCAGATTATCTGCGACGCAAGCTAGATCACCAACATTGACTGAAACCACATTTGTAAATGTAAATAGTCGTGTTGTTGAATTAATACTAGTCGATGTCGCGACAATTGCACTTGTATATGATGTAAATGGTTGTGAACCCGCGCTAAATTCTAAATTACTTCCAATACCGACATTCAGTGCATCTTCCCAATTGTTTGTTTTGATCAGTAATGTAGTGGAATTAATGACTTGTACAACTACGAAAATAAATGCTTGTACATTCAAACCATCATCGCCTTGTCCTTCACATGAACAATCCATTATATTAATAGACTCTCGACTATCACCAAAATGCATGCAATCCGCTGCTGTACTTAACCAACGGTCGCCACGTTTTCTGACATGATAATCAATCATATTCAAGCGTCGTGCTCGCGATGTATAAATACCGAAATACCATGCTGTGTAGATCGTCAGCGATTGGATAGTCAGATCAATTGTATCTTGTGCGTATATAGCATGTGTTGTAAATGAATACCGAGCTACAATGGGATCACCGACAGTGAATTGCGTCTGATATTGTAGATAAATCCGTAACGTTCCATTTGAATTCAATGTTGTATTCTGATTGGCTGGTGGAGTTTGATAAATTTCGTATGATCTATTGCCAATAGCTGGTTTTTTCAATACCGGATCATATCGAAAGATTGCACCAACCTTTCGACCAACGTCAGCTTGATGAGGTGCTACGACTTGTAAATCAAGATAACTTGACGTAGCTTTCACAACATAACCAGCTGTGAATGGTAGTGGGCTAAAATCAATGGAAAACAATGTTAGTATCACTTGCTGACTATTAATCACGTAGAACAGCGATATAGATGAATGGACAAGTAATAGTGTTTGATCCATGCCCTGTCCGATGAAGCTGAAACCATTTGCTTGGTAGATATAGATGGGAGCCGACAAATCGTATGTTCCAGATTGAAGCGTTACAGTATTATTTGTTCCATTGAATATAGCAGCGCCGATAGCGTTTTGTATAGCATTCGTATCGTCGATATTATCGTTAGGATAAGCACCAAAATTCGACACAGGAATATTAAATTCTTCAGTATAAGAATACTGAATCAATATGATGAAAAGAATGAAAAGATCGCGGAGAGGATTTGTGCCAAGATATACTGCAGACATTAGAAAAAAGATCAAAGTTTCTTACATTCGACTTCAACTGCTGGTTAAATTCAAAAATGTTTGAAAAGTATTAGTAATGCTATTACTGTGGGCAAGCAGAAGCCAAACAATGAAATTTGTCAGTACATTTCTAGTCGTGTTTTACAGCATAAAATCGCAAATGAACATTGAAAGAAAACATAAAAAAATAACGAATGTTATAAAAACAACAGTGTTGACATTTCATCCGATTTTTTCGGTTGAGAAAAAACAGAAAGACTGTTTTCATTTAAATCGAAAGTTGAATAATCGATTTGCTAATCAAACGGTTGTTTTATTTAAGATAGGTGAAGAACAGTTTGGAATAATGGTGCAAGTTGATCTATATTATTCCAAATAAGCGATTGATTATAGAAAATTTCTCGCGATGCCTTGACTGATTGCTGTAATTCGAAAAGCGCTGGCAATAAATCAATGAATTGTTTCTGGGCTCGCATTTCACCATGTTTACTTACTAAATGATTCCACAGAATATTTGTGTATCGTAGTTGAATTTGATTCACTGTGTCAGGATCATTGAGTAGAGGTTCCTCATTACTGATCGACAGACCACGCGAAAACAAAAGAATAATCGAAAGAAGAGAGAGAAATACTGGATCTTGGTCAGTAATCTGCACCAGTGAGCGAACCATACGACCAAACGTTCGATATATAGTCTCCGATGGGTCAATCAATTTAAGGAATTCACGACTTTTTCTCGATGCATCACAATTATCATCTGCACAGCAATCGTTCGTCGCTCTATAACTATAGCATTTTCCAAGGACAAAAATCGTGAATACATTGTATTTGATAAGGACAAATCGATCATCAGAATGTAGATTCTCAAAGTCTTCAATTTGGCGAAAGAAGTTAATGAAACGTAAGGCACATTCATCAATGAATCGTGAATACGAAACGACTGCAGAAAAATCACTTGTAAAGTCAATAATGTCGACACATTGTTGCGGAAATACACCTAAGCAAGCTACAAATGACGCCTGAACACTTTGCGTTGTTAACCAATCACTAGTAGACAATGTACCAAATACTGTCTCATTTATTTCGTCGCAGAAAACGTTGTCATTATTATCGTTCGTGTTCATTAGTATCTGTACAAAAACATTAAGAAGATCAATTTCCAATGAAAATCAAATAGAGTGTATACTCACCTCTTCTACCTCATTCATTGGCTCCTCAGAACTGGATGAAGATTGTACCGGTGTTGAATTGTTCGTCGCCAAAAGTATATTTTCTTCCAATTTTTTCCGTCTCTCTTTTCGTTGCTCTTCAGTCAGAACAAAATCTCTGCGCATTCCCATTTGCAAGCATTTCTTCAGCCGACACGATGTGCATTTTCGTCGCATCTCATGATCAATATGACAGTCATCTCGACCTGTCAAACATCGAATCTTGTTCTAAACAGACACATTGTATGAAACTCAACGAAACAAAACAAAATAAAACACAAACCGCTGGTTCATGAGCGTTGCGACGGAAAAATGCTTTACATGAATTGCATGTCGGAGCATCATAGTTGAAGCCGATTGCTCGATCACCACAGATAACACACACCAGGTCAACAGATTTCTTTCGAGTTTGATTCGCTGTTTTTGCTTTCTTCGGCTGAGGTAGATCGAGTGCATCTCTAAAGAGTTGATCGTCGTTGAGATTCTACAAAATATAGTTAGATAATATGGAGGACGGAAAGAAGAAGTGCGGCACAGACAGGCTGAAACAGCTTGGCGAGAATGGCCATATTGATGTCTTTGGGATCCATTGTAGTAGTAGTAGGAGCAGGAGTTGTTGTTGTTGAAGGTGGTTGCTGCTTATTGTCCAAATCGATGACATGTGCTTTGAGTGAAGTATTGAATGCAATTTGACGGATGAGATCTTCGTTTGCCGTGACAATAATCACTTTTGTTTGACCAGGCATATTGTAAATCAAAGTTATAGCGCAATTATAATAAACAACAAAATAAAATAAAACGCGTATTATATTTGCGTCGAGTCAAAGGAAAAGAAAAAAAAGAAAGAAAAAACAAAACTGACGTGTGTGTGGTGGTTTGAATGACTCATAAAATAGTGGATGATGAAATAGTATTCTTGAGAACTGTGTGCGCATTGGCTGTAGCATGTTTTCAATAAGCTAAGAGATGCCGGAAATCAGAATAGTCGCAACGAACAAGGAATCGTTGAGAGATGTATCTAACATGTTTCAACAAACATGCTCTGAGTACGATTCGTGCGAAGTTGTATTTTATGATCAACTAAAACTACCGAAGCATGACCGAGAAGAGAGGATATATATGTATATATATAGTCATTAGATTATTTATGATAGCACTTACAAGTGCTCCACTGCGTGTACGCGTGTGTTGATTATAGCTATTAATGTCTGTTCTACTCTCAAACCTGCGTTTATTTCCACGTTATTCGACGTCTATTTATACTTCACGACCAAATGCTGCGATTAGAGCAGCTTCATCCAACATAAATCTACCTCGAGACGCTGCCCGGCCCAGTCAAACCTATTGGCGACCAGCTGCTCTAATTGTTGGTCTCGTTGGAGTAGTTGCATTACTGCGAATGTCACGAAAAGAGGAACAACTTATTCAACATGCTCGTGATAAAGATCCTCATCAAGAAACCAAAACCTCAAAATAATGTCTTTCATTTCTTTAATAGATAATTATATTCTCGCAGTTGTTCAGACACTTTTCATGTACGCCAAGATATTCGAGCATGTATTCAGTCTAATAAAGTTCGCTCTCGTACTGAGAAAATTTTTTGTCAATCGGTACATAGAAAAAAGAAACTTCAGGAGATGTGAAGAACAGCTTGCATTAATGGTGCAATTTTATCCACCGTGTTTGAGATTGTCAATTGTGTGTGTAAAATATTTCGCATTCTTTTGGCGAGCATTTGTAATTGAAAGATAATTCGAAGCAGATCAATAAATTGTTTCTGTGCTTTTTGTTCGCCATGTTTATTTGCCAAATACTTCCACAAGAGGCCTGTATAACGCAATTGGACTTGATTGACATTCATGGGACTTTGAAGTGTTGGTTCGTCTTCGCTCATAGATAATCCTCGAGAAAATAAGAGACTAATTAGCAGAAGAGAGATGAAAATCGGATCTTGATCAGTAAGATGTACCAGTGAAATGACTATCGTAATCAATTCATGACGAATACTGGACGATTCTCCACACAATCGGAAAAACTCAGCGTGTTTTTCTGCTCTGTTACATCCATTAAATGCACAGCAATCGTTGATTGGTCTATAGTTATAACATTTACATAACACAAAAAGAGGCAGGATATTGTACTTGATTAGGACAAATCGATCGTCAGGATGTAAGTTTTCGAAGTCTTCAATTTGACGAAAGAAAGATATAAGACGTGCTGCGACTTTGCTGGCAAACTGTGACCACGAAACGAGAGCTGAACCACGATTACTCAAATCAAAATAATCACTACACTCGACGCCTGGCAAATGCAGATAAGATGTAAATGATGCTCGGACGCTTTGCATTGTTAACCAGTCATCAACGGATAATGTGTCAAATACCATCTCACTCGTTTCATTCGAGAGGAGATCATCGTTGTTGCTCATTAGCAGCTGTACGGAAATATTAAGAAGATCAATTTCCAACGGTAATCAAACAGAGTCAATCCTCACCTCGTCTACTCTATTCGTTGCATCTTCACCGTTTGATGACAATTGCAATGCGTTCCTTGCTGTCAAACATCGATTTTCCTCCAACTGTTTCTGTCTTTCGATTCCTTTTTCTTTACTCAACACGAATTCTCTGCGCATTCCCATTTGCAAGCATTTCTTCAGTCGACACGATGTGCATTTTCGTCGCATCTCATGATCAATATGACAGTCATCTCGACCTGTCAAACATCGAATCTTGTTCTAAACAGACACATTGTATGAAACTCAACGAAACAAAACAAAACAAAACACAAACCGCCGGTTCATGAGCGTTGCGACGGAAAAATGCTTTACATGAATTGCATGTCGGAGCATCATAGTTGAAGCCGATTGCTCGATCACCACAGATAACACACACCAGGTCAACAGATTTCTTTCGAGTTTGATTCGCTGTTTTTGCTTTCTTCGGCTGAGGTAGATCGAGTGCATCTCTAAAGAGTTGATCGTCATTGGGATTTACTGTAGTAGTAGTAGTTGTTGTTTGCTGCTTATTGTCCAAATCGATGACTTGTGCTTTGAGGGATGTATTGAATGCAATTTCGCGAATGAGATCTTCGTCTGCCGTGACAATGATTATTTTTGTTTGACCAACCATGATTTCTATTATGTGTTTAAATGTGAACGAAGAGAAATGAGACCAGAGAAAAACATTGTGTTTATTTATTTTCTCTCCCTCACAAACAGAATACTAAAAAAGAATCGCAATGCGGACGTGTTCGTCATAATGCGTATGACTCATCAAGGTAGCAGTGCTTCATATGTTGATGTCGCTAGTGATATGGAGCGAACAGTCAGAAGCCCTATGCAGAAGTATTCTATAATTTTGTTTCTTGGAGGAGAAGAATGGTGTCATCTATTGAGTTTGATTGGCAAGCACGGAAAGGAACATTATATATTCCGTAGCCTAAATACTTTTATTAAACATTTCTGTGAACGTGTATACCTTCTATTTTTTTAACCATAGTGATGAGAGTTCTTTTGCCATCAATGACGAATTTTCATGTAATTTCTCGCTGTTCAACTCTCGTTTGGCCTACACGTCTGAATTCTACATCCGCTTCTTCTTTAGACATAGTTCGGTCCTGGATTCTGTAAGATCGAGAGAAAGTATTGGAAGTCTGGTATTAGCACAATTGACATTGTTGGATTTGTTGTTTTCTCTTGAATGATAGAAAAAAGGAGAACAGACTGCCGAGTGCACCAACGTAGAAACAAATTTCAAGCCAACAGTACCGTGTTCAATGTAGGAAAATCTCTTGTTTCAGTAAAGTTCAGAAAAGAAACTGTGTGACCGAGGCTGATGATGTTCATCGGGTACAATACTTTGTTATTTATCTGAGTATTACACTTTCTATGTCTCCATCAATACAAAGCTACTACTCAAAATGAAAATATCACAAGAGATTAGCATAGATTATCGTTATTATTCTTGATTGAAAAATACGGTGTAATCAAAGACCATAGTACAAAGCATGGCGTTGCCAACGCTGAGTGTCGTCGATTATATTTTATTGGTTCTATTGTTAGTTGCTTCAGCTTGCATTGGTGTCCTCTTCGGCTTTTTCAAATCAAAGAAAAGCTCCGCCAAGGAATATCTTCTCGGTAAAGGACAAACGCATGACGATACTCTTTCTACACTCAAATTTTCTAGCTAATGGCGGTATGGGTGTATTTCCGACCGCTTTGAGTATTATGGTTTCGTTCATTTCTGCAATCACTGTTCTCGGCACACCGGTCGAAATTTACATGTACGGAACCATGTTCTGGTATCAAGGTAAAAAGTCATACAGTATAATATAGTATGTCATATGTGACGACTGTTGGTTTCTATAGCTGCATCATGGTCAATTGCATCACTAGTAGCAGCATTTGTGTTCATGCCAAAGTTTCGCGAAATGTATTTCACTAGTGCGTACGAGGTAGGATATATTCAGATACTAATTGGTGATTTGATAAGAGATCATGAATAGTATCTAGAAAAGCGCTTTGACAGAAATGTTCGTCTGGCCACATCAATGGCATTTTCTGTCTATATGGTACGATAAACAAATTTACATGGAAATTTCATAATCATGTTCTGAGTGTCATTTCAGATCATTTTCATGGCTTTGGTACTTTATGCGCCGGCGTTAGCATTAAGTCAAAGTTTGTTAACATATGAAAAAATCTTTTTGTCTAAGAATCTGAATCCTTGTAATATTCTTAGCAACTGGATTAAATATTTGGTTATCAGTTGTTTCAATTGGTGTCATTTGCACTTTTTATTCGTCTGTAGTAAGTTCGTTGACTTTTTCGTGTTACAATTCTATTCTTTTGCATTTCATCCAGGGTGGAATGAAAGCAGTGATTTGGACTGATGTTCTTCAAGCAGCTATTATGTTCGTTGGTATATTGTCTGCTATCATTCAAGGTTGTCACCATTTTTTCTTCTCATTTCATCACACATAAATACCTTTTCGGTGCACTTAGGTCTCATTGAAGTCGGAGGTTTCAAGAATGTCTTTGCAACAGCCTTACGTGGTAATCGATTTGAATTTAACAAGTAAATATGTTGTTTCTGATACATATCCGTATCCATCGGAATCTGTCTCTGTTAGTGTGAGCTTTGATCCTCGCACTCGTCATACAATTTGGACATTCTTCCTTGGCAGTTCTCTCAATACATTGAGTATCTATGGTTTCAATCAGACTCAAATTCAACGGTATATGTGTGTTCGAACAACACGTGGAGCACAGCAAGCTTTGATCATCAATGCCGTCGGCGTGGCGTGTATCATTCTCCTTGCAGGTTTCATGGGAATCATTCTTTATGCATACTATGTCGATTGTGATCCGTATACGGCGAAATTAGTTAGTGCAAGTGATCAAATATTTCCATACTTTGTCATGGAAGTGTTGAGTAGTAAAAAAGGTCTGCCTGGTGTTTTTCTTGCCTGTGTCTTTTCTGGCTCATTATCATCAATATCCTCCGGTTTGAATAGTTTAGCGGCTGTTCTTATCGAAGATTTCTACAAGGGTTTACTAGGACGGCAACTCACAGATGAACATCAAGGATTTGTAGCGAAGATTTGTTCAGTAGTACTCGGTGCGATTGTCATACTTCTGACCTATGTTGTCAGTTACTTAGGCTCAGTCATCAATGCGGCCCTGTCACTATCCGGCATTTTGTCTGCGCCAATCATGGGTGTATTTCTGCTTGGTTTCTTTTTCCCACGTGCCAATCGTCACGGAGCTTTGATTGGTTTCTTCACCAGTTTATCATTTCTCCTGTGGATATTTATCGGTACACAATTAACCAAAAATCAACGAACCAATGTTCAACTTCCGCTATCCGTAGAAGGTTGTAAACATATGAATACTACACAACAAATATTACTCACAACTACAGCCGTTGTCAGAACAAATCCATTACTGAGTCTGTACTCAGTCAGTTACCTATGGTACACACCGATTGCTGCTAGTACAGTCATACTTGTTGGTTTGATTGTTTCGTATCTGACAGGTCCATTGAAACAAGATGAAGTTGATCCAAGACTAATTATACGCATAAAAGATGTATTCCGCTGCAAATACTCTCCTTCCAACAAGAGCTACGATCTTCAACAGCGAGATAATGTATGTTATAGATAATTTGACATTCTTTTTTGAATGCTCGATCATCATCGAAATTCTTTAGGAAAACAAGATTTCTAACTCGACATCCGAACAAATAATGCGGACACCATCTGAACCTGTCTTTCAACTACCAGTATAAATAAGACATTTACAATAAACTTTGGTTTTTTTCTAAATCTTCAAATGCTTCACACAACTTCTGTTGTTTTTATTTCATATTAAGATAAGCAAAAAACTTCTCTATGGATTATGAACATCAGCCGTATGACACGAATTACCATTGTTAGCTCGATACATAAAATGAGTAGGTCTTGTGTCAGTTGGTGTCGCATAATACAATTGAACAACAACTTCAACAGTTTGTCCTGATCCGACGACTGTTTGACGAATGTTATTTTCAATCCGACTCCATACACCACGATTGATATTAATACTTTGAGGAAAAAAAATTGTACAATTCCTTTCCTGTGCCACCTAGTATATTTGCAATAATATGACCAGCATCATCGTTCGATTTACCCATCGATCGAGCATATTTTCGAGCACGATCACTTGGTGCTGAACCTTTTCCAATTGATGCTGGTGTGATTTCTAGAAAGAATAAAAACAGATCATTCCATTATCTATCATATGCATCATCATTTACCTGCACGAACATATTCGATTCGACCGTTGTGTCCTGTTTGATAGGTTTTGATCGGATTATTTGGATCGTTCAGTCGATGAGTTGATACATCGTGGGTGAATTCTCCGTAATTCAAAATCCCACATAGTGTACTGAAGCAATAAGCAAATATTTCTCTATTATTTAACAAACACAATCAAAACTTACGCTAAACTTTGCACTTTGTCTCTCGTAGGTAAAGCTCCTGCAAGAATTGCATTGAGGATGCAGGATGTCGTAAAGAATCCGAGAATAACAATGCATAATTTGGACATATCTCCGCACTATTATCTAACTGCAAAATGAGAGGGAAATGTTTGGATTTGTAATATTTATATATCGAAATGAAAGAAAAGAAAAACAATCCACCAATGACATTCTCATTGCTCAATAAAAAAAAACAAATTTCTTCAATAATGATTGGCGTTTATACATTTAACAAAGACAGGCAAGGTCATAGAGTTAACAGTGGTTAACATGAATGTGTTCGATCATGTCAAGATCAATATTTATGTATACGGATGTTGTTGTTTTATATTTATTTCGTTCAATATACGATGTGCAAATGATTCGCGCACTCATCGTTAGAAACGACATGTCATCAAAAGCAGCTTGCAAAAAAATCCTAACTATCATAATTGCAAATGGAACTTTAGTTCTCATCCCTACGCTCGGCATTTCGATTGATCTCTCTCTGTATTTAGAATATTAAATAAAAAAAACTTCAGTTCAAAAATAGACTCTGTTGTATATGAAAATCATACATCAGGATGAAATATAAAATGTTTGCAAAATAGGCAAGTCACTCGTAGTAGTCCTTATGGAAACAGCGATTTCAACAAACGTTTTTCAATTCCTTTATCTTCGATTGGTCTGTAATTCGCGCACTAGTGGGACAAACAACATCATAATACGTCTCCATTTTACCTATATCAATAACGGCGTCAGTTGCCTCATCGGCAGGTTCTTTCTAAATGATTAAAACGATATTTGATCGAATCTGTATCTTTTATTAACTAAAAGTACCAGTCAATTCAATTGATAATACCGTATATTTCCAAGTTAAGACGCTTTTTTTCAGGAAAACTAAGAATTAAGGTATTGTTCAGAACTTTTAGTCGATATCTTCGACATTTTAATCCCTTTGAGCTGCTATCCTCATCAGTAGCTATTACAAAAAAAAAACATGTGTAAGTTGTTCATAATCGTTGCAACTTCCCTGTACAGAGAAGAACTAGAACTGAAAGAAAATGAGAAGCTTGATAAACATTAACAAAGCATTTATATGTCGAACAAAAGACAATGAATAGACATGTTCGGCAGTATGTTTTGTCCAAAATAGAAATTTCACAAATATTTGCACAAATTAGGAGGAAGTTCAAGAGAATAAATGATTATTTTCTCTCGCGAGGAGTTCGTCAAATGTGTGAGGACAAAAATTTTCAATTAAAAGAAGCGAACATTTATCTGAGATGTAGCACAACGACAAATGGCTGCTTTGTTGAAATCGCTTCGGTGTCATTGAAAGATTCACGTACCTGAAAAACATTTCGAACAAAATAAGTAAATTAATCCACGATTGCGGGAAGAAAAATCACTGAAGGAACGAGAGAAGTGTCGGAGTTTGCTTCAAGGTGTTACTGAACTGCTTTTAATTTTAAACAAGTCAATCAAAACACATCAGTCTTGCGCGTGACTGACAAACAATTGACCCAGAAAACTTAAATGTTCTTTCTGGTTGCATTCAACTCTTTTAAAATCTACTCAACGATAGTTCTTACATGAAGACACTTGATCAGATTTTGGTGGTTCGGTGTAGGTCAGAGTTTCGATAACGGATGCATTAATCTGAACTCATGAATGAAAACATTTACTACAGTCGAATATATTTCAATTCGTAATATTCAAGCTTCTACTTCATTAATATTGTCACAATTGGCGAAACAATATCTGATTTTCTGTTTTTTTTCCTCCTAATTGATGATGTTTTTGAAACTACACAGCAGTGAAATATTGAAAATACTCATGTGATAATTCTCTAAGTTGTATTTGGATATTCTGCATTTTAGAAATAAGGGATCACATTTTGGTATGTGAATCTTGTTTTGATAGAAGGAAGCCGTTTCAACAGATGTCATACGTAACTGAATTGATATTTTAGTCCGACAATCGATACTAAAAACACAAAGAGTATTCACCTTTCATTCGTCTAGATAATAACTTATGAATAAGATGAGGAAGGGATAATTCTCTTCTTATTTAGACTTCGTATCGGTTACAAACATGTCATCAGTGGTCAATTCTCGTATTTTCAAAGATATTTTTGGTACTGCTGCGATGCGTGGCAAGTTTGTGACACTGTTTCTATTAAATCCTAAGTCCTTTTCTATCATAGATCTTTGGTCCGATGAAGCACGTACGGGTTATTATTTAAGATGGGAGATTGCTTTGGCTAAAGTCCAAAGTAAACTAAAAATAATTCCTCAAGATGCTTGTGATGAAATTATTGCTCAAGCAAAGCTCGAAAATATTGATTTCGATAAACTCAAGCAAAGCACGGAATTAATTGGCTATCCCATACTGGGTGTCGTGCAACAGATTGTTTCTCTATGTCGTGATGGTCTCGGTCAGTGGTGTCATTGGGGCGCAACTACTCAAGATGTCACCGATAGCGCTACTGTTCTGGCAATGCGGGATTCTTTCGATATCATCGAAATCGATCTGGATCATATTATGAATAGTGTTGCCAAGTTAGCTGAACATCATCGTTTGACACCGAGTGAGTTATTCTACTCTTCAAGTAATTCTTAATTCTTGAAACGCAATTTACTTAGTGCCTGCGCGTAGTAACTTACAACAAGCGGTGCCGATCAGTTTTGGATTTAAGATGGCTCGTCTTTTAGCCACTCTTCAACGACACAAGGAACGTCTCAACGAGATTCGAAAGCGTGTATTGGTTTTGGAATTCGGAGGTGCTGCTGGTACTCTTGCTACTTTAGATAGTTCAGTGGCGTTAGAATGTCAAGCCGAATTAGCTTGTGAATTGGACTTGGCTCAACCAGAAATTGCATGGCATACTGAACGAGATCGTATTGTTGAAGTGGGTGCATTCCTTGCTCTCCTATGTGGTACCTTGTCCAAGAATGCAACAGATATAAAAGTATTTAAAAAAAACATAAAGTAGAAAGATTGATTTAGTGATTTTTATTCATCACGTAGTTACTGATGCAAACTGAAATCGACGAAGTTTCGGAACCGTATGTTCCTCATCGTGGATCGAGTTCGACGATGCCAAATAAAGTCAATCCAATCAGTTGTGTTTACATTCATGCATTGGCGGCTACTGTTCGTCAGCATGCAGCTGCTCTTATGGATGCTATGGTTGCGGATCACGAACGCTCCACTGGCCCATGGGAAATCGGTAGTCTTTTTCAATTTTATTTACTAATAGAATAACTTCTCTTGCAGAATGGATCGTTCTACCGGAAGCTTTTATACTGACAGCTGGTGCATTGAATCAAACGAAATCATTGATGGCCGATCTGCAAGTTCATCCGGAAAATATGATGCGAAATTTGAATTTGACAAAAGGTCTTATCGTATCTGAAGCTGTCATGATGAGTCTAGGTGCTAAATTAGGTCGACAAACAGCCCATGATCTTGTATACGACTATTGTCGTCGTTCAGTGCTTGAAGAACGTACATTGATTGATTTACTGAAAGAAGATGAAAAGATTTCATCGGTCTTATCCGACTCTGAACTTATGCATCTCTGTGATCCTGCGAATTACCTGGGTCTTAGTGGTACTATGACTGACAATATTGTCAATGCTTATAAAAAGGCTAATTTAACTCAAACTAAAAGGAAATAAATCATTACGTAGTTGTAGCAATCACAACATCGAAAACATACATATAGTCGCACAATTATCCTGTTGTCGGTGGTTTGTCCATTGGACTGATCGGAATTTTACACTCTTTGTATATAGAATAGCTCGTCATTTTTGCAGGAGCACATACACTTTAATAAATAGTATTGACAAGTATGAGCATCAAAATCGATAGAACTTTCATTAGGCCAGACAAAAAATACTGATGATCGTCGTTATGATATAAAAGACACGGAACTTTTTAACGTGTGTATACTGTCATTCTGCTGGTTGACAAATACTGTAATACAATTCATAACCAGAATGTCACATTGTAGAAACATTCTAAGGTCGAGTCTATTAAACCATTGAGAAAGTAACAACTTAGATACATTCCACGGTATCGTTTCTTGAGAATTTGACCAAAATAACTTTTTACAGAAAAATTTCGATTGTACCTGACATGAATAATTTCTATCAATCGCACGTTTTATTCCTCGGTACACGTACGACGATGTCGTCAGCATAAGCTCGACCAATGTTCAGTTGTAATTGGCCTTAACAACAGGCAGTAAGTTGTTACTGATAATGATTGCTTGGCTCATTTTGATGGGATGCCGATATTTAAACAAGGATGTTTGTTCAAACTGAGCGATTCGAGTATTGATATATAAATCGTAGTCTTTCGGAGCAGTGAGCAAAGATGTCGTGTACAATATATGAAGAAAATCTTCTTTTAGCGGACTTGACAGAACTTCCGTATATCAACAGAGACTTTGTATAAAATCTTGAGTGTTCAATGCTGATTGTTTGACAAGAACAAGATAATGATTTTGATGTATACATATTCAATAGATCTCCATAATTCGCTAATGGAGCCATGTAAATTGTGTCGTCGTTGCAGTCCCGTGTATGACGCTGTAGATAATCACGGTTAAACATAGGACAAGCAAGTAAAGGCGCGCTGAAATGATTGATAGTTTTAATTGCATTTGCTGGCGCGAGTCGGGTGCTGTTGAAGGCAGAGGTCGAAATAAGTTATACTGTCTGCTATATGTGATTATTCTTCGAATACGTATAAATAGAAAAATAACTGTCAAATATACTCAACCGGTTTTAAATTCTTTCGCCGCATAACTTTTTTATATATTTCATTACAAATTTTAGCCAAGCATGGTACAATTATTCCTAATGACACTGGTAAATCACCGACAATGCCTAAAATTTTTGATGCGATGTATCCAATGACAAATCGTTGCACATATATATAGGAACATTGTTTCGGCTTGCAATCTTTATAATACAATTCATAGCTGATATTTTCATACCAGCGTTCGATCAATAACTTGTGCGCTACAAGATCCATGTGTGTTGTGGGTATAAATTTCGATGCAGATGCGTGTTTGTCCAGAACACTAACATTCATACTATACGTTGGTCGAATGTATTTAATGAATGCAGCTAGACACGCTTGATCATATAGGCAGTACAATATAGATATTTCGATTCCAATTATTGAATATCATCCATCGTAGATGAACGGTACTTTCCATACGTGGGCCGGCTTCACCCACGTTCCATTTCTCTCTCGATGAATAATAACCGTTTGAATAAAACATCTCATTCTGTTGATTATACATTCACAACCACTATCGTGGTAACCTACTTCCATGGCTGAGGAAAATCTAACCTATGATCACACGTATTGCAGAAGGTTTGTTTCCGACGATGAACGAAGAATGTTGTTTACAGAAGTTTTAAACAATATCACCATGCTGTTTTGTCGCCGAGAGGAGTATTTTCCCCAAAACTATCAAGAAAATCAATCCATGGGCGACGAACAAAATCCGATGAACAGACGGAATGATAATTGGGCCGCATGTCAACAAGATGAATATAAGCGATGGAGATATGTTTGTATTGACATTTGAGAGTCGTCTTTTTTTGTTAATCAGCTGTTTAAACTCAAGTGATGTTGGTTGTTTGATGATAATCATTTCAATAATAGATACGAGTGATGCGTAGTGGAATAGACCACTGACATATCTGATTGGTAATCCGAGATAAGCACGTGTCGAAATGATTTGACCACGAAGCTCGTGTACATCGACGTCTTCGTATTTCGAAAATAAATTTAACTCTTTCAGCTACTGTTTGGTTTTCGACAAGAAGGTTTTTAACCAATTACAAATGCTCATTATAATCCTTCATTTTCGATCGCATAAGTTCTTTAAGTCAGACGATTGTAGATATCATAAAATACTTGAACATCTAGGAAACTGTAGTTAAGAAAGACAATGTACGTAGAAGTCTTAGTTACTTGTGAATAAAAAAATGTCTTATATGCCGTCGTCTATATAGCTCTAAGAAAAACCTACAAAGCGACTTTGATCGATGATATCGACTTTCCTTAAAGGATAAATTCAAAAGGTGTACATGATTTGATACCAAGCCTGATATTAATCCTAATTCTGCTTTCGTCAATGGTGATAGAAAGTACGCATATATCGATGTTCATCATAACATCTACTTTTTGAATTCCTTCATTGAAATGTTCGTAGATTATGATATAATATCTCGAAATGGCAGATTGTTCCCCCCCCCCCTGACGGCACCTTGTTGTGATTGAAGGATAATATAGAAAAGAATGACAGGTAAACAAAACAGCATAGGTTTCACTCCGTTTGGCTTCCTTACATAAATATTGTGTCAAAACATTCTCATGTTGAATCAACATCGAATGAAGTCGCTTTATCTACCCGCTCCATTCATAATCGATTCAATCTTCAAGTCCTTGCCAAAATTTACTTAATTGCAAAGTTTTAGTTTGGTTCGTTTTGATACACAAATTTTAAAACCGATCCTTTGATATTTAAGCACACTGTGAAGTCTATCCACGTTGGTGCTGATATGTGAGAAAGATATCCAGAATGCTAATAAATATTTTCTAACCATTTTTAGCTATCTAAACTAAAAATACTTTCAAGTCAAAACCACAATTACAGAAGTCACATGAGTCATTACCATTTTGCACAAAAAACTTCAGTCCCATAAATACATGGTCGTAGAAAACGAGATTCGAATATAATATCTCATACCTTTTCTCTTCCATGTACCTCAACCGCGTCGCTTGTCACTCAATCTATTATTCGAAGAAGTTCTTCTTAGACCAAATGACAAACATTCACTAATATTGACTCATTTGATATATTTGTCAATCCAACACTCATTGATTAGTTTCAGGAACTTTGAATTGTTAATTTAGAAGTATTTTACCTAGCATCGCGAATTGAAGATTCTCAAAGTCGCTCTTCCCAATTAATCACTTGAAAAACTATGAGAATAACTCATCTCGGCATCGATGATACATTTGAAAATCTTTTCGATTTATTTATCCATTAAAATGTATGATTGTTTCTCGATAAAAGATACAATTCAATCATTTTGAACTCCATTTTGGCAAGAACGACAATGGCGTTTTTTTACGTGCAGTACATACCGATCGTTTTTATTTTTTATTACATAGATTTACATTCAATTAAATCATACAGGTACAAGATGCTTGTTTTTACATGACTTTTTTCAGAATGAAGCATCATCTGGAGCTTGGCGAGGAAACAGATCAAAATCTTATATGGATACTCTCTGTTCGAGATGTCAGTATTTCTGATAAGAAAGTGATCGTCAACTGCAAAACTTATTTTCCTAATGCTACATATTACGCTCACGTTTGCTTGCAATTCATGTAATCAAACTAACGAAGTTGTGTCTTGTGCGTTATGACGGATCGTTAATCTTCGTTAGGAAATTATTAGATATTACGCCAAATGTTCATACATTAAAGGTGCAATTAATATACATTGAGAGAAATGAGCCCGAGTTCAATCCCGAGTGTGAAGATTTCCGAAGAATAGCAAGACAAAATCAAGTGGGAAATATTTGTATTAGCTCTGTGTGCTCAGTAAATCAGTTGAAGAATTTGATTTACGTTTGTCCACGAGTTGAATATCTTACCCTTCATGCCAATTATAAAATTCTTTCCATTCTATCATCTTTATTAGCGAATAGCAGTGAACATGCGAGTCATCTATTTATATGGTAGTCCTTTTGTAAAAAGATTTGTTGTTGTTTTTCTGATATAATAAATTCAAAAGAGAATGTATAATAAGATTTTGTATATTTTGCAAGAAATTAACAAGCGATATAGTTGAGCGTTCTCATTGTATCAAGCGCCATAATTGTTCGTGTGTCGGTAGTTCTGACGATGGTGATTCATTGACAGGTAAAAGCGTTTTCACAATATCTACCGTGTCCTTTGCACAGCCCCAAGACAAGGTCACACCTGCACCTGAGTGACCATAGCAATGAACAACATCCATACCGTCTGAAGTTCGTTCATGTTCGAGACGAGTACCGCCATCACGATACGGTCGTAGTCCTACTTGTACTTGACTATCTTTAATTCCATCAAGCGCTGGTAGAATTCGTGCACAGATACAACGGATAAAATTTGTATCTTCTTCAGTTGGCTTTTTATTCCAGTCATCCATCTGAAATGTACCGCCTAGAATAATTGTATCCGATTGTGGGATAATATAGCCATATCCTTCGGTCTTAGTGTCAAAAAAATACATATATTTAATCCAAGGAGCATGTATGCGAATGACCTGTGGTGAAAGTTAATAATTAAAAATTGTCGGCAAATGCGAAACTCACTTGTCCCCGTGCCGGTCGTACAGCTAGATCGCCAACTAAATAGCGAGCTCCCAAGCCAGTGCAGTTGATGACTACATCTGCTTGATCTTTTAGTTCACTCAATGAGAGTATCTTTTTGTTAATAAACTTCACACGTTGGTCTTCTGTCAGAAAACGATAAAGTTCAGATAGATAGCGTTGAACTTCGACAACAACTGATGTCATGGCAAAGCCTGTTACAGGACCTAAATGATCAAACATATGAAGTTCTGTGTTGCTCAATCGTCGATAATGTCGAACTAGAGATAAGAAAGGAAATTCGATAGATAAATCTTTATCATCTATATGTTGTGGATCCTCTTGCTTAATGACACTATAACTAGTTAATTGAATGATACCAGCTCGTGCAGCTTTGATAGAAAAATATTCTTCCATGAATATTTCATACGAATAACGTGCCCATTTTAACATACGCTCATCATTTAAATCTAAGCCATGAGGTTGCCAATATCCAGCTGAAATGTCACCTGTTGTATTCGGCGAAAGTGTTTCACTGATTATAGTCAATTGTAGATTATCAGTAGATGCGTATTCTTTGAGAAGTGTACACGCCGTTGTTAAACCAATGATACCGCCACCAACAATTATCACACGATAATTCAAATTGTTGGCCATCATTAAATGAGATAGGAACTGATTACTATGCGAATGAAGATATATATATATATATATATATATATATATATATAGATGATGAACAGAAAGAAATATTCAAATAAACTGATAATATTGTGAGATAAAATGGGGTCACATTTGAGGTGTCAAGAGAAGAAATCATTGCATACTTTTCGTTATCACAATCTGTCTTTTTTCTTCTATATCATCTTCACGAAGATATCGAGGTTTGGGAATAGTTAAACGATCTATAGGAACCAATTTTGTATGAAAAAAAGAAATTGCCGAGTATCGGTTTGGTTCAGGAGTAGCGAAACCGTGAAGTTCCGCGTCCATATGCTATTGGCTCATTTGGATTGGGCAATTGTTTGACTCCTAAACCGCGGCTCGAACGATACTCATACTTCTACATCAGTCACTTATTCTGTTTCAAATTACATGTTGTGAAATACTTTGCTTTATTTCTCGACTTTAAGGGTTATTTCACGATAATAATAAGCATTGAGAAATTTCTACGCTCATCAACGAACAAACATTATAACGAGGAAAGAACGATGAATATTTCACAACATGTAATTTGAAACAGAATAAGTGACTGATGTAGAAGTATGAGTATCGTTCGAACCGCGGTTTAGGAGTCAAACAATTGCCCAATCCAAATGAGCCAATAGCATATGGACGCGAAACTTCGCGGTTTCGCTACTCCTGAATCAAACCGATACTCGGCAATTTCTTTTTGTTAGCGCAGCTATTTTTAGATTAATGGCGAATCTATAATCCTATCGTTATAAAAATAGATTACTTTAGTTTTAGATTTCATTAATGATGAATGAAGCAAGTTTTATTTATAGTTAATATAATGGAAATCTACATTAACAAAGAGAGATATTGAAGTATCATTTTTTCATAAACGAACGCTAAGCAAATAGAGAAAAAAGAATTTGTTATCACTGATGCCAAGGACAATTTTTAATGGACGATCATACGATTCTTGTTAGTTAAATTGAACTCAGTAATACGAAATGCAGTAAAAACTATTTTTTTTTTATATATGAATAAAATATACTGAGTATATTTAAGAGTGAGTCAGCTTTCGATTGAATTGATTTTGATGAAGTCAGCATATTGAGGAAGGCTATTATGTAATTCCAAAATGATAGTTGACACAAAGTTACTATAAGGATCAAGATGATTGATATGAGCATCGAAGTAGGAAAATATCTATCCCGGATATACGGATTAACAGTGCTATTTAAAGTGTGCGGATTTAATCCACAGTTGTTGCCGAAATTTATCGGAATTGATCGAGTAGGCAAGGCTTGTTCTCTGTACGGTCTAGATTGACAGATGAATAATTGTTACAGATTTCCATTGAGGTCAACTTATAACTGATTGATAAATCAAATAAGCGTATGGTTCTTTATTGCACTTCATATGTAAATATTTTATCTATGCACTTCCTCAATAGTTCTGACGGAAACAAAGAACAACGTCATCACTTAAAATTCACACAACACAGCACACATATTTTTAAAGGAACGATTGCTTCCGGTTATTTTTACTTCGGCACCTCATACGATTGACTTGAATGGGAGCCTATTAGTTTATTCACCGATGATTTAATTGGACTGGTAAAGTAAAAAAGAGCCAGAGTAATAAACATTAATGACGAAATAATAAACAGAACAGCTATTCGAAAATGGTATTTCGGCGGAGTGGTGAAAAATGACGTTAACGCAAAACTACTGTAAGGTAAACCGAATATGATTAAGACACATACGACGATGACGATTTGACGAACCATTTTCAGCTCTCTCTGCACACGAAACGTGTTGTATACACCGATAGGTTGTGCGTTTATATCTTGAATATGTCGAACTAGTCTAAAGTAAATCAGCTGTATTAAACCTACAGGAAGTAGATATACGTTAAATATCGCATAGATCAGCGCAAATGAAAGTCGAAGAGGTATTTGACATACTTGATTGTCAACATTGTATGTAATCTTACCAGATAATGTAAACGGTAACGGGTAGACAAAACTATATACCCATGTAATACTTACAAGTAATAGATGGAGTTTTTTCGATTTCCAATATGTATATGTTGGATAAACAGCGCTGAGGTATCGGTAAAATGCTTGTAATAGAAAAGAAAAATTCATTATTGTACATAAGACGTAACTTAGATAACCACGAAATAGACAAAATCGATCGAGATGGACGATATTTTTCAAGTCATTTTGTAAGGTGAACGTAGCCATCGAAAAAATAACTGCGGCGAGTAAAATCTGAGCTAAATATGTGTTTGAGACTAGAATTACGGGTAGTTTATGGCAAGTTTTATCGAAAATAAGAACTAAGAGTAAGAGACTATTAAGTATGACGAGTAGAGAAAGACAAACGAGCATAACGATATCGACAGGAATAAACCAATACGCAGATGCCGTGATGGACGAGTTGTGCATGGTGTATGCTCGATCTGAGAAGAAGTGTTCGTGAAATACGAGAGAGAGAGAAAGAAAGAAAGAGAGACAAGAAATAAGATTCTATTCACATTCAATATATTTACTAGTTGGATTGAGCAGAATATTCATAAAGTGCAAAGCGTTTTTTATCATGTCTTGAGGATGAACATAAAGCATGTGCATTCATTATTTATAACGGAACTGCGTATATTGACGTGTGTGGAAGAAATCTGTTTAATTCACTTCCAATTGACTGGTTATAATTGCAGAAGATGTGTTCCTCTGCAGTTTGTCAATATTTGAGCAATTTTCTTTGACAAACTTTTCACGTTAGATACTAAGCACAATATTCAATCAAAACTTATAGATACTAAGAGTGACATAAATGGCGAGAAAATTATGTGTTAACGAGATAAAAGATGGTGTATCTATTAATAATTAACTGTGAGAGAAGTTTCAAATGCTCTTGGCGTTACTCCGTGAGGATCAGGGAAAAGGAGAAAGTGGGAGAACTGATATTTGTTTTCAAGCTTTTTCCTTCGAAGTCATAAAGATTCTCTATATGACCTACGCCATATAAAATAATACGAGAGCAAATACAATCTCGATTTCTGCTTAAATTGCTTTTCTACCTAGGGCAAAAGCTTCTCGACATCAGATTGAGAATAATGATAACTTTTTGATCAAAACTCATAAACTTGCTTTTTTTTTTCTAACCTAACAAAGTCATATCATCAATTCTTACCATTCTTGTCTGTTTTATCCTGGTCAAAGTTTAGAGTATAAAATACTTCCTTTGAGTACAAAAAACATTTATGATCACATCACATGTATATAAGAGTATGCTTTTACAGAAGGCACTCAAAATATTGAAATGCATCGTGTTACATACATGTTATTTTTCTTATTGAGCATTACTCTCATTCACGCACTTCCATTCGCTGATAGCAAAGCAAGTTCGAATGAAGACGTGATACTCGGTCGTACTGTATTGGATTGCAGCGCCTGGTATTTAACTCAAGGCGATCCTAACAAGTTGTTAGCTCAAACTTTAAAACCACCATGTCGCATTCCAGCATCGTTTCCAACCGTACTACGCGACGGTTGGTCTGTTGATCCTGAATGTGATGCAGCCAAGCAACCGAAAACCTGTCAATATCATAAAGGTGCTTACGGTTGTTATCGTCATGCTTTCAAAGAGACGGGACCTGGTGCTCAAGCATGCTACGATAAAAGTGGACAATTCATTGACGATGTTTGGAAAGGAGCTGGTACAGTCGATGCCCAAACTCCACTGGGAGATGGAGTTCAACAAGCGGCACATTTTGTTGCTGATGTCGTTCCCTTCTACAGTTGTTGTAAAATAACATTCATCTACAATCCATTATGTAATCTGTATTACGAAAAACGTCCAGCTGGTAAATGCGAAAACAAACCTGCTATTTGAAACATTTCATCTATTCTTAATATAATAATAATATATTGTTCATACGAACAGAATTCGACTTGTTCAGTATGGGAGTATAAATAACGTGATGTCAGTCAATACGCATGAACATATCGAAGTTTTTTTTCCTGTAAACTAGATTCTAACGAGAAGTATAAACACTTTTGACTCGCTTATCTGACAAATAGCATTTCAAGATGAGTTCGAAGTCGATTGATTCAAATATTATTCCTTCAATCTTTTGTATTTGGGTCGACTGGAAACGAGGATGGCATGAGAAAACAATGACGTAACATAATATAGTTTCCATAGAGGAAGTAAATAGAAATCATTAATATAGGATAACAGCTATTTGTTTAATTATTAACGCGACTAATTGTATAGGTTACGAAATGAAGATATGATAAACAATTTTAATATCCGTAACGAGTTTCACGAACGCGAAATGTATCCCACACTAATGAAAACGTTCATTTTTCTTCCATTGGACAATCCATCAAATTTTGTGAGAAACAAGAGCAAGAACTGGTTTGAACATCTGACAGAAAAATTATTAAAGAAACGCATATCTATTCAGCTTCCGCAGTGTACAACTATTTCATATAATTTCTTATATTTTGAGAGCGAGATATAAATCGACACATGATCAAAATAATACTGCGTTTCAGCTGCACAAATTCGAATTTTGTATTGCTTGAAACCCCTCAAGCTGTTAACGAACAGTTTATAAATAGCCTGGAGAGAAAAAAAACAATGCGAATGTTTCTATCATTCTTCCTAGATTAAAACTCAACTATGACCTTGTGCACGATTTGAATGCGACAGAGAGAGAGAGAGAGAGAGAAAGAAACTAATACGTGCCCGATCACTCGCTCTTTCTTTCGTCACAACCTCGTTCTATCACTAGTTTCGAGCGTGGACCGTCAACCGATGTGTGACGTGAGCGAGGGTGACCGAGAAAAAGAAAATCGTCAAACTTGAATTTTTCTTCACGCTTTACTGACTCATCCGAACTTTTTTTCGATTGGTTTCTTCTTGAACAAAAGCAACATAGCATATATTAGAGAGAGACTGTCGATACAACAAGAATATTCGTAAAAACAGATTCGAGAAGAGAGAAAGAAATTTGGGTATTCAAGGTAAATAAGATGTCTGAATTTGAGTGGAAGGAAAGTCAACCGAAATCCAGTTGGACTGAATTTTTCACACGTAATATCGCTCGTCGTCAATCAGCACCGTATGTAAAAACATGTTCATCAGCACCTGGATCTGTAAATATTGAGCGGCGAATCAATAATCTTCGTGGATCTTTACGTGTCACTAAGTTCAATGAATCAGAAGATAATTCGAGCGATGTTCTCCGACGGGATCGTATTGCTTGGCAAACCATATCGCAACATTTGTCGCTTCAAATACAACAAAGACGTAGATCTGAATTAGCAGCTAATCGCAAGCGAATGCTCGAATTCGACGAAGAAAACAGGAAAGAAATCGTTCAGCGAAAGAATCTGATTGATGAAACAAAACGTTCGTCAACAATTATCAAAGACAAAGCAGTTGAATCTGTCGTAGACCTGGAAGATGAGATCTTGGATGAAACAAGTGGACTGTTGAAAACCGATGTGCATATTGTTCCGTTGGAGAAATTGGTCGATCGATTCAAAAGTGATTTGACGAATGGTTTAACCGATGATATGATAACGCAACATCGCGCTACTTATGGTGAAAATAAACTAACACCCGCACGTCCACCAAGTTTTTTCTGGATGATAATCAAACAACTTCTAATCGGTTTCAACGGTATCTTATGGATTGCAACTCTGTTCGCTTTTCTTAGTTATGTAAGAAGATTTTCTACTGACTTCAAGATCTATTTGCATTTGGTTTTAGAAACCATTTGGTGAACCTAATCCTGACATAAGCAATTTAGGCTTAGGTGTTATTCTTATCTTGGTCATCGTTTTAAATGCACTATTCAATTTCTATCAGGAGGTCAAATCAATGAAGATTGTTTCGTCGTTTATGAAAATGCAACCAAGTATCGCTACGGTGAAAAGGAACGGGATTGAGACGCAAGTTAATGCTGAAGAACTAGTTCCGGGTGACATAGTTCGTATTCATCTTGGTGAAAAAATTCCAGCGGATTGTCGACTTATATCGTGTGATGACCTGCAAGTCAATACATCGGAATTGACTGGTGAATCAGTACCTGTCAGCTGTACGATTAAATGCACGGATCGAAATATCATGGAATCGACAAATATGGTCTTCTACTCCTCATTGGCCGTACAAGGTACAGGTGAAGCTATAGTAGTGAACATTGGGGATGCAACTGTTCTTGGACAAGTGGGTAAACTGACTCGTGGTACTGGCGAATCAGAAATAACCGGACTTCACCGCGAAATTAATCGCTTTGTTCTGTTTGTCATTATTGCTGCATGCATATCTATTATTCTTCTTTGGATAACGTGGGGTGCTTGGTTAAACATAAAAGAAAATGGATTCGTTACTGTCAACGGTTAGCAATTATGATTTGTTAGCTCATACGATCTTGTTTTTTCTAGGAAATATTGTGAACTCGATTGGTATGGTCGTGTGTTTTATTCCTGAAGGTTTACCAGCTGCGGTGACTCTTGTACTAACTATCGTTGCCAAGCGTATGTATAAACAGAAAGTGATGGTGAAAGCTTTGGCAACTGTGGAAACATTTAATTCTGTTTCGGTAAGTTCAATTGTGATTCCTCTTTTGAAAATATTTATTGTATAATGAAATAGGTCATCGCCACCGATAAAACAGGTACATTAACAATGAATCAAATGACAATCACAGCACTTCTCTGGGGAAAACAGGGAGAATACTTGGTTCCTATTCATAACAACAAAATCGAAAATCAACCGTTCCCAAACGATCGAAAACGATCATCGTTAGATTCAGCAACTATTTGCGGTGCTATGAAAGATCTGATTTTTGGTTCGTGTCTTTGTAACAATGCCGCTAAGCAATCGGCTATCAATGGCGGTCACGTCAATGAAATTGCTTCTGATGAAGTCGTGCAATTGGTTGGAGATGCAGCTGATGTGGCATTGTATCGTTTATGTACGAACAAATGCTCAGTCGATATCGAACGAATGAAACAAGTGAATCCACGTATTAATAGTGTACCATTCAATTCCAAGAATAAGTTCATGATTACCGCGAATCTTCTTGAAAAGACGTCTGCTGACACCAATACCGATGACACGGTACTTATCACACTCAAAGGTGCACCGGATTTCGTTCTCTCTCGATGTTCAACTTATAAACAAGACGATAACGATGAAGCTTTACCAATCACCGAGGAATTTCGCAATACGATCCAAGAACGACAAGAAGAACTCGGCAAATCTGGCTATCGAGTTATTGCTATGCTGCAGCAAAGAATGCCGAAATCTCAATACGATCGTATTATTGAAGCGTATCGCGAAAGTAAACATCAACGACAAAATCAACAAGAAATCATATCTGACGAGCCTGACCTGAATGGTTTACCATCGAATAATTACTGTTTTATAGGTAAATAAATATTTCACGTTAATATGTAACAAAGAAAGCTAACATTTGAATCCCTTTAGGTATGTTTTCTTTACTCGACCCAGCTCGTTCAGAAGTACCCGATGCTGTTGTCAAAGCTCGTCGTGCTCACATTCGTGTTGCTATGGTGACAGGTGATCATCCCACGACTGCCGCTGCTATTGCGAAGAAAGTGAATATCTTCTCCAAAGAAGTCAGCATCGACGGTGGTATTGATTCGTTCAAAATGGAACTGCAGACTCCAACAGGTCGTCCACAAGCCCATTTCATGCGTAATAAACGAACCTTACTCGAAAGCCATATTATAAGTGATGTCAAGACATCTATCGATACCAAGGGTATTAAAACGACCTCGAATTCACAAGTTAAATCAAATGTTTTCAAACGAATGTGGATGAGTTTATTATTCTACTTACGAGATCCAAATCAAGTTAAAGATATCAATAAACTTAAACTCATTCCATATGCTGTTATTGTAACTGGTAACGACATCAACTCAATGGATGTAAGTCGAATGTACACGAAAGTCAGAGGGATGTAAGGCTTCGATCGTTTTAGGACTATATGTGGAATTGGGTGTTGTCTCATCAAGAGATGGTTTTCGCTCGCACATCACCCGAACAGAAGTTACGTATTGTCATGGAATTTTCTAAACGTGGTGAAGTTGTTGCAGTCACCGGTGATGGAACCAACGATGCACCAGCACTCAAGCAAGCTGATCTAGGCGTCGCAATGGCAGCTGGAACCGATGTAGCTAAAGAAGCTGGTGATATGATCTTACTTGATAATAATTTTTCATCCATTATCAAAGCGATTGAAACTGGTCGATTACTCAGTGATAATCTGAAAAAAGTCGCCATCTACCTATTACCGGGAGGTAATTTTTCGAAGAAAGTTTGATTTCAGAAAAAAAAACAAAACATATGACATCATTCTAGGTTCATGGTCTGAAGTCATTCCAGTTTTCTTTGCAACATGGCTTGGTATCCCACTTTCATTATCTCTCTTTCTGGCCATCATTTTCTGCATGCTCAACGATGTGGTGAATTCATTAGCTATGGTTTCCGAGAAAGCTGAACATGATATTATGTCTCGTGCACCCGCTATTCGCCATAAAACTCATCTACTCGATTGGAAATTACTCGTTCATGCCTATTTGGTCGTCGGTAATATTGAATGTTTCGCCGCATTCTTTTGTTTCTTTTGGTATTACTCATCTCAAAGTAAACATGAAAGAAAACAACTAATCATTCACATGAAGATAATTTCGATATTTTCATAGATATTCCTTTAAGCAGTATCTTCTTCACCTATGGCAGTTATGGTACAAATCCACCAATTAATAAAACCAGCGATGAACTTACCATTATTCAACAAAATGGTCAATGTATTTATTATGTCGCATTGTGTGTCATGCAAATGTTTAATTTACTTACAACGCGTACTCGACATGTTTCATTTTTTCAACACAATCCATTCTACGGCAAAGCACGTAATTGGACGATTCTAATCGGTATTATCTTTTCGGCTGCAGTTGGCCTTATTTTGACATTAGTTCCATGGTTTAATTCAGTCTTCAAAACAGAACCTGTCGAAGTGAAATATGTTTGTCCAGCAATAGGCTTCGGTGCAGCATTGTTCACTTTCGACGAAATACGGAAATTTTTTATTCGTCGTTATCCAAAATCATTTCTAGCCAAAATGGCTTGGTAAAATAGGCATTTCGTGAACTTACAAACACTCAATAAAGCATAGATTATCTTTGCTCTTGCATACAAGTTTTCTGTATTTCTGAATGTCTATGATCGTAGCTTCTGTCAATTAATTAATAAATTTCAATATAATCTTATTTATAAACATTCAAAAGCAGTTTTTTAATAACGAAAATCACGTTGACTGATGAATTTCTACTATACGGACAGTGTTCTCAAAAAAATCTTTATTGTCTTTCATGGGAATTCACGTTCTTGCATGACGCACACATCTATCTACCTTATTTATCTGACAAAACTGTTAAATCCAATCCATCTTAATTTAGTCTTGACAGTACCCATTTTTTCTCTATTGAACTACCAAAGTTCGATGTGACTGAATTATCATGCGTAATCATGAGTTTTCTGTATCGTTGGCATGAATTGCATCAGAACGCGTGCTTTTAGTAATTACATCGTTGGCCATGATCGAATAAAAATCTCGAAAAACTGTCCCAATCTTCGTGTACGAGAATTAAATTCGTCGCTGATTTTACAAACACCGTCAGCACCATGAATAAGTCAATATATCCAATGGAAATACCAGATAGCAATGCAAAAAATCATGGCACTCGATTGTTTGAAATAATCGTACAATCTATCGGATCATCCAATTTCAATGTGTGAACACTTGAAATTTATATATTCCATTATTTTATTGTAGCATTACCGTGGTACTTTCATGTCAACTGATATCGTACTTAAAAGACCAATTGTCGATCTGTCATATAATGATGCAATTACTTTAGTTCAACCGAATAAGAACCAAATTAGTGTCAATTTTCTCTTAGTACCAAGTGTGCACCATCGATTCATCAACGAGCTTTTATTCCAAACGTCATAAGATTACCAAAACCGAAGCAACATGTGCTTCGATACTGAATTCGTTCTATCAAAAGTTAGCCAAACCAATCAGTTTGCTTGTCTCTTACCTGCAAAGACTTCCTATGTTTTGGATAGGAACAGCATATTTGCGCATTGGCATACCACAAAGAATTGATCATATCGATGGGAAGTCTAGCGAAATGACCAACAATAGTACGGAATTCATTCACCGGTTACTCGTGTACCCAGTCATACACCCACCCCCTCAAGATGCGACAGCAGCACTTTACAAGTATTGCGTATATATAATATATCATCATGGTTTTCTGGATGTTTAAATATTAAACGTTCTCGTTCCACCAGATATTTTACAAAATAGTGCAACAGACAATACGACCGTGTATCGATCACCTTATATCAACAAATGGAATGAGCAATTCGACAGCTTGAATCGAGTTGAACAGCGTTTTTCAGCACTTGTTTCGTTCGAAATCAGTTCTAACCAATCGTTTGCATGTTTAGTCCTGAACATTCTTGTAACGTTTATCTACTCATATAAGGACTTCAGTCGTGACCGGTGACTGTGCGGTTTAGTTGAGATTCTGATCGATCATGTTTATGCAGAAAAAGATCGTAACTTTAGACGAAATTCGAGTCATTTAAACAAGACATCGAATTTGGGAACGATTTCATCGATTTATTGATTAACAACGTCTATTCAAAAACATTGAGTAAGTTCATGTCGAATGTATCTGGCTCATGATCGACTGTCGGAGCAGATTTTCTATCGCGTTTTTGTAGATTCCGAGCTTTTTCTTTCTTTTGCTTCCAAGTCACGGTATACTTCATTGCTTGTTGTCTCAGTAATAAATTATCGCTTTGTCTCATTTGTCGCAGAAGATTCTGGCAATCTTCTCGATTCGAGTGTGATTGATTGGATAGATAACATTTGAATAAATCGAAAACAAATAATCCATAGTTCTTCTCCGTTGCAAACCATTGAATCAAAGTGAATTGATCTTCGACTGGTAGTTGTTGAATAAACGAACAAGATTTTGATAGAACAGGACTTAGAATTTGTAAAATTTGTTCGAAATAATCTTCAGGGAGGTTCTGTTCAAGTAAAGCTATCGCTGCATTGAGATCATCTTTATTTCGAGCGGTACTAATCAAGATTTTAGCAAGGAGCGGAGCGAACGTCTTGTCTGATTGAAGTATCATTAAGGTTAAAGAATAGAATGAACGTAGTTTTTCTTGATCAAACCGGTATGTCTGAGAATAAATTTCTGTTAGAATCGATTGAATTCGATGGTATACTGGTAGATCATGTTGAGCATTTAGAGCATTTTCGCTTTCATCGATATTGTGTCTGCATGATACCAGTTTCATTAGAATATCGCCGATAATCGTGATTTCTGATTGATACATAATATGTTTGAACGCCGCTTTCCATAGTGTTTTTGCTTCCTTGGTAAATTCCAAACATAACTTAATACCTTTTGCAATGAATTTTTCCGCTTCACAGTGTTCAGAACTGATATTCGTCCATGCGTATAGCCGTGCTTCTAATGATGTTGGATGATCCAAAATCTTGAATTGAATTCGATTAACAAATGTTCGAAAAATCTCCTCAGAGTTGTCCATGGACTTTGCTAATGGCCACCGAGAATTTCCTCGACCAGCTTCGAATAAAGATTCAATTACTGGAAGATAATTATCATCCGCGGCTTCGTCCAGAATCTTCCATACAACTTGTTTCACTTCGTCCGAATGCAATCTATCCACAAAGTACAGTAAAGTTAAAATTAAACACGCCCGAACATCCGGATGAAGTCGACTCTTCCACAAAGGTTCAATCACTGATACAATTAAACTTGAATCCGATGCAAATTCAGTTAATAAACGAAGAATTTCTTTGTTAGCTGTGATTCCTAAAAGCAACAGAAACCGTTTTCTTTTGAGGAATTTCGTGTTTATTTACCTAATCCCTGGAAATGTTCGCTGTGAATAAACTCCAGATAAGATTTCAAAAAGATTTTTTGAGGAATTCGACGTAGAATAGTTACCATTGCATCACTGATGTACTTCGCATTTGAGGCATTGATTTTCGACATGAAGAATGTCATCTGCTTGCACAAATCTTCAAAAGTTAAGTCGAATTTTATTGGCACACAGATGATGATATGATCAAGTGGATCAACAGTTGTTGAAACGAACGAAGTCTTCTGCTTTTCGTCAAACCATTGAAGCGATTGATGAAAGACATGAGTAAAGCGAGGCAGTGCTCGTAGGGCTCTCACTTTTGCAGGATTTGGTCGATTTTTATCCTACGAAGTAGCAAAAAATGACATTTATACTGGAAAAATATTTTTGTTTCTTACCTGAATGAAGTCATGTAGGATGATATTCAAAATATGTCCTTGTTGTTTTCCTGTTAAATAACAAAATGAACTATTGAGGATCTCGATATCCAATCCAGGAAATTTCAGTTGATCGGTGTTAAAGAACAAGTTGGATTTGGCCACCTTGTCGAATGTTAAACATTTCTCATCTGTAATCAGGTCATCGATAATTTGACGGAATCGTTTTTCTCGAGAACAGAGAGCTATTCGTTGTACATTCCTATCAAGGAAGAACATTTGATCGAATTTGTCAATCAATTGATGAACGCGTTGCTCTTTCGTCGAAGGATTGACCAAAAACAGGGAAGTAAGAAATGAATGTGTGTCAATGGAAAACATTGATTGAAGTTTTATTGATGACGGAAGATGATCGAGAAAAAGCGATTGAATAAACAAATCAAGTTTGGGAATATATCGAGGTTTGATTAGATAACATCTTAATAAGTCAGTTAGATCATCTAGCCTATGTTTCGACAGGAGTTTTGTGAATGTCTCCGAGACGAGAATGTCCACCAATAGATGACATGCCATTGGATACAGTGGAGAAAAGCACTCCAGTTGAATTCGATTACGGTCAGGAGTTGAAAGACACCTGAACAAAATGAGAGAGTAGAATTTTATTCTCGATAGTTTATGCTTACGGCGTGATTATTTTAATTGCAAATCTATGAATTTTGTCTCGTTGATCTTTATTGGAATAATGTTCAGCACGTTGAAGCAACAATGACCCATAATGAGCGATGATCTGTACACTATGGTGTATTTGTTGGAAACGTACAAAGATTAGATCGATGATAGATTGTAAAACTTCGAAGTTGTCTGGTAGAAGTTCCAAATGGAATCGATCATTATAACTTGCTAAACTTGTCAGAAATGCTTCGATGACGGGTAGTCGTTCATTCGTAAATCGATCTCGAATCCAGCGGAAAACTTTGATCACTTGTTCAGTTTGATCTGAAGAAACAGCACATTGCAGTAAAGCTGGAAAAAATTGTTCACGATACGTCGGATTCGAACTGATTTGATTGAATAGTGCGAGAAATTGTTGGAATAGTTCGTCGGTGAGGAATTGATGGCGAAGCAATACAATACGCTGTTTATGTGACAAATTCTTTTTCATTTCTATTTGTGAAATTAAATGCAGTGATAGTGGTGTAGTTATCTCCGCATATTCTGCTAATAATTCTAATGTTGCTTCATCACCTTCTTGCAATAATTTCTCAGTAAAATTCTCTTTACCAATATGTTTATCGATAACGATATCAACGAGCCATTTCCGACGTTTTCGAACATTTAACAGCCCTTTATCACGTTTATTATCCTGAATAAGATATCGCAAAAGACGAATGGTATGATTCGTTGACCAGTGACCTTGATCGTATAACGCAAAGAATAATCGAAGGTAATGATTGAGAGAGAATGAATGTGGAAGCGCAAATGGCTCAATATCGGCGGTTTCGCTTGACCACAATCCTTGATATTTGATTGTACCAGGTGGATTAGTCGATGTGACGAGCGTGATTAACTCAATCATTTCATCCGGTACTTTTTTAAAGTAATATTTAAGATCTAGTTGAATGAAAGATGGTAAAGAACGTTGGTGGTCTTCTAATTGAGTTAGATATGTAATGGCTAGACGACAAACACTCTTCGGATCTTTCTTTCCTAATAATGATAGCAATCCATGATTGTGTGCGAAATAATTGGAAAACTTTTCGAATGTTATCAATTTTAAATCACACTGAATTAAATAAAGAATTGTCTCTGGTTGATAGGCGATCAGTTTTGAGCGTAACAAAGGCAAAGAACGAAGTTGGTCAACATTTGTTATTGACCATTGAGAGAAAACATCGAGGATTTGTTCTTTGGAACAGTATTGTAGAAGATAATGGCTAAACTTGTTTCGATCGTTATTAGATAAACAACATGCAAGTTTGTAATAAAACGTGGACGACTTTTTCAGATAACCAGCATGATGCAGAGATTTGATTACCCGAGTTTTAAAACTAAATATCGAAAGATTTTCCGTTCCACGTATGTAAGCATAGAAAATTTACCGTTCAGGATAACTTTCATTGGTCATGATGTCGATGGTAAAGTCGTAGATTACTTGTTCGTCTGTTTGAATTTCCAACCAACTTCTTGCAGCAATGATTCGCTGACCGATTGGATATGTACTTGTTTTGCATATTTCGAATAGATTCTTCTCATTCTTAATTGATTTCGACAGGAGCACGAGCAGTTGTAGATCTTCATATGACGTGGATTGTTTGACGTATTGTTCAATCACATTTTTATCTGATAATGAGCGAATGTAGTTTATTCGATCGGACCATGTGCCATTGATTTTCAATAATTCGTATATGTCAATGGTAGACATCAGGCAAAGAAGAGTTTTTCGCAATGGTAAAACACGTAGACAAATAAATTCAAATGAAACAACAAGAAATGGATAAGCAAATCAGAAAAAAGAACGATGATGTCACTTGTTTTTCTGCAAGAGGTTTTTGCTCTTTCGTAATCGTTTGAAATATCATATGCAGTACATACAGAAGTGGACTCGAGAACATACAACTCTCTGAAACTTTATTCACCTGTACTGATGATAAGTTATTATTGGGTATAGCGCGGTAAAAGTGAAGAAACCGAACTCCAGAACAGATGTTTTTCTGCTCTCATCATTATCAGACACTCAAATTGCAGCATCATTCAAATGAAAGCATTGTCATCTGTGTATATATAAGTATTAACAAAAGTAGCAGAGCAATGGAAGAATGATGTGGAGGGTTTATCTAGTTGTACTCAAGTATATTTCATTCCCGTGCCTCTCTTTTAAACTAATCGATCTCTACTTTTAGTTGTTTAGGTAAATTTTGTGATTCTATAAACATTCATTGGTGTATCAATTTTGAATTTATACAGTGCCATCGATCGTCGCTCATGTCTGCTTGAATACCACTCAGTACAGTCCGTGTTCATCGAACATCGCATGTGGCTGTTTGATACTAGCAGGTGCAACGAACGATGGTATATGCTCCTATCTGTACACTGCATGTTCTGAATCGAATGCATGCGCTCCTGATAATCGAACGTGCCTGGAGCCGGATCATACGTGTGTACAGCATCCACGTTGTGGTAATAAACCATTATGTTTTCCAACAAGCATGTCTACTCAAGCATTTTGTCCGCCGATGTCATCGACAACAAGTATAGAATTCATTAGACGTATATACATATGTATTGATATTGTTCATGTTATTTATAGTCGATCCATCGTTACCTCATGACGGAATATGTGCGCAAACGAAGTGGAAGCGTGATGGGATTATTGTTGCCACAGACGTTGATGGATCCGACTCCAATGAAGTGCGACCGAGTGCTATATTCGTTGATGAAAACGATGCAATCTATATTGCGGATCATGCTAACAAGCGTATAGTTAAATGGGAAGCAGGTGCAACAAAAGGTCAAGTTGTAGCTGGTGGTCATGGTGACGGCAATGCTAATGATCAATTTACTGATGTGAGAAGTATTGTTGTTGATAAGAATGGCACGATGTTCATCTGTGACAGAGGCAATCGACGCGTGCAACGATGGCTTAAGAGTGCCAATCAGGCAAGTACTGTTCTCGATGATATTTTGTGCTTTGGATTGGCTCTCGATAATGAAGGATCACTTTATATATCTGATGGAGCACATGATCGGGTGATTAAATGGCCAAGTAATGAAACTGTTGCTGGCGGTCATAGTGTAGGATTTGATTTAAACCAGTTGAATGATCCACGACAGATATTCGTCGACCGACACAAATCAGTTTATGTGGTGGATGGTTACAATTATCGCATAGTTAAATGGCCTGTTGGTGCTCAAGAAGGTATTGTTGTAGCTGGTGGTAATGGTGAAGGTGTTGGTAAAAGTCAATTATCGTATCCAAATGGCGTAGTTGCCGACGATTCAGGTACTGTTTATGTTCTCGATTATGGTAATGACCGAGTAACACGGTGGTTTCCAAATGCACCGTCAGGCATTCTTATTCTTGGTCGACCAGGTTTTAACGACCCAGATGATACATCTGTCATCTATCGTTCAATAGACATGACAATGGATCGACATGGCAATTTATATGTTGTTGATATTATGAATGAACGCACCTTGAAATTTCTTGTAGACAAGAGTGCTTGTATTCAAAGTAATTGACGACATGATCTCTATTATATTTTCGATTGTTTACCATCGCAAGCTAATCAGTTTAATAAAGCCGCATTACTGAAATTCTTTTTCATTTGTCTTTTCCTTTTTATCTATGAAAATACTTTTGAGCAATACATTTATTTCGAATATTCATGTTCATACAAAAGAAAATGTCAACCTTTTGGTCCAATCTTAAACTTACTTCTAAATCGAGTACGTGCCACTCTTGGATCATAACCCGAAATACGTTGTGGAACTGAATGCACAAAAGTCATATGTGAATGTCTGTGGATATTGTATCGAGCGGGTCGCTGAGCTTCCTCAAATATAGGTTGCGGATAAATAGTATCACTTACAACTCTTCCACGCTCATTAGGTTTATCGATGCCACCACATACTTTTGAATTAGATGATGAATGGAGGCTCTTCAAATAAAGCAGATGAATACGATTTCTTAATGTATCTGGAGAATTCGGTCGCGAAGGATGCACGTATGTTGAACTATTAATTATGGAGAACTTTTGAACTCGACGATTATTTGAATCTAAAACAAATAAATTTCCATGAGTATCTAAACGAACTTTCTTCGGTTTGTCCAATTGATTTGAACGACTTCCTGCTTGTTTACTGATTCTAGCAATAGTCTTCAACTGGAATCGTTTGTTAAGATAGTATTGTAATATGCGGTGATTTTCTGTGTCAGCAATGAATATAAATGAGTTGCCTGATGGTCCATCGACTTTAGTAACGAGACCAAAAGAATTCCTATCAATATCTTTTCGCATTTGATAAATCAACAAACCATACGAAGTAAACTGTTTTATGGCATTGTCTGTACGGCTGGCAATATAGATATCACCCGTTTTTTCGTTAATATGAATGACTGTTGAAGCGTATGTTCTGATGAGGCGTTCTCCTGATTGAGCACCTGCTCTCCATTTTGTAATCTAGTGTTTCGACAGTTCCGAAACATATACGGCACAATTTCTATCGACGTAAAGACCTGAGCAATTACCATGGCCTAGTTGTTCAATTATTGTGTCTGCGTATGTGCTATTCTTTGACCGTTTTTGAACGCGCTCATTTGCACTACCCGCTATATAAATATTTTCTTTCGCATCGACGTATATTGCTGTTGGACAATCTAACTGATTGTTCAGCCTTCCTTTTCCATTGCTACCGGTCACTATAAAACTTTGACCACCCTTTTCATCCCACTTAATAATACGGTTGTTGAGAGAATCAACTACATAAACAGAACTTTGACTATTCACAAACAAACCATTTGGCTCGGCAAGTTGATTCAGTTCGGAACCAGTACCATTACCACCAATAACAGTGATCGCTTCCTTCAACCAAGTCGATGTTTCACAAATCTTTGATAAGCAGTTTTACAAGTCAGAAATGATAAGTTGAGGTCCTACCTTCCGGCAGTCTATGGAGCTCAAAGGAATATTTTTATATGTGTTGTAGGAGGTTGAAGCCCACTGAGATCTTAGATCCGCGAAATACATTGTTTTCTCTGCAATGGAAAACGTAAAGTATTGAGGTAGTCTATTTTTCGTCGATACTCGTCAGGCGTTTTGTACAATCACAATGAGTTTTGACTTCTTGCTACTCACTTGATTTCCTCGCAACTGTACTACGAGATGTAAGCACGATGCATAATATGATGGGAATTATAATACAAATTCCATAATAGAGTCAAAGTTTCTTTCTTTTTTTCTGACTTGTCTCTCACACTTACATGAGTTGCATCGGCGTCGGTAATAGTTTCCATTTTGATCTAAAACATGATTATGTGTCAAGTAAAACTAGTATAAGTTAAGAAAACCTACTTACCTAGTTTGCATGTTATTTGTCGGTCTGACGTCAGAACCGTTGTTCTTATACCCCTTTCTTTTCTTTCGTTCTACATGATTTACTCGTTTTGAATTCAATGAGATAAACTGATACGCATTGGCATATTGTAATCATAATTTCGACACCATATTCCCGCGCATCGATATGTTCTACTTTTCTCCCATCGTACTATCTTCCATGAGTTACGTTGTGAAATAGGATGGAAATTTCCCATTGACATATTGGCATGCAAAGTGCGTCGAATACGTGCACGAAATATCAGTTTTAAGTATAAATCGAGTTCCATGCTCGCAAATGTCTTCCAGGCAGATAATCTAGTAGCATGGGAGTGAAAAATTCGGACGTGCATTTGCTTATTTAGCTTGATGCTACTATCAATCAATCTGAAGAAAGTATCAAAGCTCTGCAACACTTGCGAACGTTGGACAATCATCTGAAAACCTTTACTAATTACGACCAATGTGAACAGTACATTCGATCTGCGTGTGTAAATGATGATACCCTCCTAATTGTTAGTGGGCGACTAGCACAAATGTTCGTGCCAAGCATCCATGATCTTCGACAAATCTTCTCGATATTTATCTATTGTACGGAAAAGTCACGCTTTGAACAGTGGAGTAGTTAGTCTAAGAAAGTAAGACGTAGTGTATGTATTTTGCAATGATATCGTGTTCTTTTAGATCGAACATGTATTCGTAGGATTCGATGAACTGCTGGTAGAAATTCGATTCAGACAAAATAGAAGATATGAACCATGGTCATTCAATGTATTTAACATGAGTAGCAAACACGGATTATCAACATCGGGATTGGATGGTCAATTTCTGCATACTCAACTCTTAATCGATTGTCTATTTCTTTTTCGTTTCTTTGTTCGTGATATTGAACGATAATAAAAACAATACCAATGTCTGTTACCGGTTCTTCTCTATCGGGGTCAGTTGATGTCGAACAACGAATTGGAAAGACTACAAGCTTCGATCGGTGAATTTATCTCTGTCAACTCATTTTGTTCGACTATAACTGATTGTACGATTGCCGTTTTCTTTCTCGGAGCATTAATTAAAGGAAATGGTCAACAAAGAATCTTGTTCGAAACCGAAGCCGATCCTCATGTCGCAGGCGTCAAACCATTTGGCATAATATTCGTGAGATTAGTTGCTATCCTGACGAAGAAGAAGTTTTGATGATGATAGCAGATAATTGGATCCTCTGGATGAGATTGTGTAGAGATAATAATTACGAGTTGAAAACGTTTTTCGATCGTATGAAAAAAGAGTTTTGTGGAACGAACAAGGCGATTTTAGGACATTTCGGTAATGTGTTTCGATCGATGGGTAAGTGTGATGATGCTGAGAAATATTATCGTCGCCTACTAAAGGAACTATCTGAAAATCATCATAGGATATTTCCAGCTGTTACTGCGGACTTGGAATTGTCGCTTGCAGTAAAGGCGAATACAAGCAAAGTCCGAAATATTATCGAAAAGCTCTTTACATCCTTGAACGAATGGATCGGCAATGTCTCGCTGACATCAGTAGTGGCATGGGTTCAAGCACTGCATTTTTACGAGATAGCATTGGATATGCATCGACAAATAGTCGGCATTGATCACACTCATGCAGCTATATGTTTTGGCAATATCTATCAAGAGAAGAAGAACTATTCTAAAGCACTCGATTATCATCAGAAAGCATTGAACAGATGGGAACAATCTCTTCGTGTTCATCACTATCATTTAGGTTCTTTACACGATAACATCGGCAATGTTTATTACTATCTCAAACAATGTGATCGTGCCTTGCAACATTACAGACAATCACTCGATGTTAAATCAAAATCTTTACTTGATTATCATCCTTCCATTGCAAGTACACTAAAAAAATATTGGCAAAGTGTATAAATGTACGCAGTGCTTAACATCTGCTTTGGTATATTTTCAACAAACAGCTGCCATTGATAATCGCACATCGCCGCCATTGAAAATGACGTTCGATGAGTAAAATTACAACTTCATCGTAGTCATTTTCTAATGTAGCTTCTCGTGTTTATTTTGAAGGCATTTGTACATCTTTTGATGTTAATTTTTCATATGAGATTAGAATAAAACTGAGAAGAAACAATATAATAAATAACATCGAGTAGCATTAGAAATCATTTTTGTTCAAAGGAGAAGAATTGGTAAATAGTTCTAATACCAAACAATTAAATCGAATCCAGTTTCAAGACTTTACTACTAACTTTATTATCAAGCTGAATCGTATCGTCGGGCATTACAATGATTACATCTTTAGTCTATATCATTGGAAAATGTCGATACACGTTTGTGCGTTCTCATATTTATTTATGTTACAAGTCACAACAATCAACAGAAGATCATCATAAAAGCACATAGCACTGAAAACACTCGAAGATGTGCGCTAGTTTTAGTCGAACCACTACTATACGACACTAATAAATTGATTTCATCAGCAATCAATTGGTGTGCTGTGCTTGTTATGTGAAAGTGGTCAAGAAAAATATATTTCGAGGAATCTTGGCAGGAATTTGGCGTACTATTTAAGCTGTACGTGTTCCAACATGGATCAATCGTGTTTGCGAAAGGATACGACTGATTGGCAGTCATTTTTATCATCAATGTGTAGATATCATACAGTTGTAGGCTAATATTTGAATGTGTAGTTTGCAGAGTGCCAATGCTAGTAGATAGAGCCGTATTGATGGCATTGGTTAGTGCACTTTGCAGAGCAATTTGATTTTGTTGGCTGAAATATGGAAATTTTTGAATAGGCGGAGCATTGAAAATAATCAGATATTGAGCGCCAAATGCAATTAAATCTCTGACACAATTCAAATAACTATTCACGACACTTGTAACATTCAACGTTGGATCATAAAGTAAATCGTTTCCACCAGCCCAGATCAGATAAATCGTTCGAGTATAATTAATCGTAGTCTGTGACGAGTCGTTGATATAAGATGAGATTTGCTGTCTTACACCAGGCACAGGAACAGTATTTGATTTTGTGTAGCCTTGGACCAAATTACTGTCTGTAGTTCCGCCAGCGTAAGCGTAATCAGTTTTGTTAGCTATATTTACTTGATCAACCCAGATAGGACCGTTCGAGAAACGACCTTGGTAATAAGGACTGGTTGGCCACGTTTGGTTTGTTAATCTGTATACATTACCGTTGTCTGTCAGTGAATCACCAAAGAAAACAGCGCGATCGAATCGAGGTATTCGAGCACCACTCACTGAGATGAATACTGACGAAAATGAAAATAAAAATGAAAAGATGAAATAATGCATGAAACTTGCCTCTGATATAAAATGTGTGTATACGTGTTGATTTTTATGTCTACCTAATGACTCATGATATGGGCCAACGAACAGTATGTGGGAGATATTTGCATCTTATGCATGTTTGATCTGACGTACACAGGTATATAATATAGATCTGATTGTATGATGACTCATGCACAGAACAAACAAAAAAACGAAATGAATATACTACTTTCGTTCCGTGTATGGTTGATATAAAACATCTCATGAACATGACGTGGAAGTTCATACGTCTGATGTGTTTGTAATGGCTAATGCAAGTAATAGAAGACTATTATTCCACATTCTACTGACCAATTTTACGATGCGTAGAGAATATAGATGAAACTGATTTTGTGTAGTAAAAAAATTTGAATTGTTCATACACTGCTCATTAGTTCTGATCTAATGTGTATTGTTTTGTTGCAAATGAAAGATGAACATTGGATTACTCGAGAATGTCAATAAACCTTTGATGTTTCTTTATTATGATTAGTTTAATGTACAGGGTATATAATGCGATCAATTCAAAGGTGCAACGATCATTATTAAATTCCAAATGCTATTAATGGTAAAAATTGTCGTTTTTTTCGCTGCTATTCAGAGCATAAACATGCTTCAGTGCTACTTATTCACTACGACTTCTATTACTGAGCAACACTGTGGCAATCTCACTGTTTGTAATTGTGCGAGCTATCAATTTCGATGTCAAAACGATATTCTTTGTACTTCCAATGAAAACTTGAACAATTTAACGAAGTGGCTCTATCGAATTATGACTAATGAATCATGTTTGGCATTGTCCTCAATACCTCAATATATCAATGTAATATGTTGTCATAAAAATATGTGTAACAGTCAAGAACTCGACGATCTTACTGGTACGATATCATTCTCGGCTTTGTTTTACGTTATTATTGGTGCTGTTTTGCTTGCATACATTTTCATGTCAAATTTTACTATTTGTGTAATGTTTATATTTATGCATGAAGTTTTCAATTCGATATTTTTTAAATAATTCATATTTGTCTTTTTTGCCGTTCATATAAGTGAATATGGCACGATTATCAATTGAAAGTAGTTCGTCAAGGAAATTCAAACTGATTTTTGTTTTTCGATTCAGTGTCAACAAAACACACACATCATTGTTTCTGTTCCGTCTATGCCTAAATATGAGTAAAACATGCATGTGCATATATTTATTTGTCTATCAATGAAACGAATCACTAATTTTTTCTTTGTAGAAGCACTGAAACGTAACATGAATGGTAAATGTTATTTGCTTGCGCTCACACATAGTAATGCATATTTATCTACAGGTTGTACTCCTCGTGGTTATAATCTCTGGCGTGTGTCCGCTTCAATGTTATATATCGTATCTCATTTCAAGTACACAGTCTCGATTGAGTGTTGACGACACATCCACAAATTCACGGCAATGTGCCAGTGCATCGAACTGTACATGTGCTAGTTATCTAGTTCAATGTCCGGGTAATTTCAGTAATATTTGCACAACGACTGACAATCAGACTCAAGCCAAACGATGGGCCTATTCATTTTCTGATGTACAGAGCTGCATAAGATTACCATCGATAACAGGAGTTTCCAATGTGACATGCTGTTTGTCGAATTTGTGCAATAATCAAGGATTTAATAAAGCTTCAACTACGCTCGTCGCTTCTGCTTTCATTTGGATTCCCTTCCTAGTTTTTTGTCATTTGTTTATTTAGACTCATTGAATAAAACTAGCAATCGAAATCAGTAGTAATTTTGTCACACGGATTGTTCTCTGTAAACAGTAACGAGAAAAAAACAGTCACCTGTTTTGCTAACTTCATTTTTATGACTTTTATTTGAAAAAAAGTGGAATTCTGTCTTGGTTTAGACGAGAATGATTCTATTCAAGTATCATCAACAATCCCATTTCCTCAATTTGCTGAAATGAGAAGCTGTCATATGATGATGTTATACAATTATATATTTATATATGAACTTCATCCAAAAACATGGAAAAACTAATTTATTTTAGTCGAATCTAAAACTAAGTAATCACACAATAGTTTACTTTGGTAAATACAGAAAAATCATATCTCTGGCAATGCCGTCTATAAGGAAAAACGATACTCTTCTTGCGCTTGTAACGGCGTACGATACGAATGCAATTCAGTATGTAGAACATGTTACGAAAATTGATTTCCATCCAATTTTTTTGTTTCTTTTTAGTAAAATTGCTTTAACGAAGAAACAAGTCTTGATCTTTGTACTATGTATGGTTGGTATATGTGCTCTTGCATTGGCTATTTGTGTACCATTGATCTTGAAGAAGTCGCAGGATGATGCTTTGCCGTCAGCTGTAGAAGATGAAATAGATGATGGTATTAGTTGAAAAATATCTGAAAAGATATAACCAATGATATTTTATATAGACGTATTACCAACGAGTTCAAGTACAGATTTGACGGCAGTGGTAACATCGATGACTACAAATCTGAGCACGTCAGTTGCGCAGAAAAGTGAGTGCTATTGAATGACGAAAATAATTAATATTTTCTCATCTCTAGATCAAACATTCCTGAATTTAATGTTCAGTTTGGATAAATTATATAGTACGAAAACATATCCCATTTCGATTGCCAACGGCGACTTGAATGGAGACGAAGTTATTGACCTTGTTGTTGCTAATTATTATGATAATTCAATTGCGGTATACTTTGGTAGTCCAGACGGACGATTTAACTCAAAAGTCGTCATATCAGTCAGTGTTTACCCTCGCTACGCGATTATAGCAGATGTAAACGATGATAATTATAATGACATTATTGTTGCTGTTGGTGACGACAATCGTTTAGTTATACTGCGTGGATTTAACAATGGAAATTTCGATACCGTATTGTATGTGCCCGTCGGTAGTAGTCCATGTTGGATTGATAAGGGTTATTTCAACGGAGATAATTTTGTAGATCTCGTTGTCGCCAATATGGATTCTTCTTTTGTTAGTATCCTGTTGGGCTACGGCAATGGAACATTTCGTGAGCAAATCCCTTTTCCCACCTTACGAAGTCCAACGTCCGCTGCTGTTGCCGATTTTAATCGAGATGGTTTCTTAGACATCACCATTTCATTCTACCGCAATAGTACCATAAGCATACTTTTCGGTCATGGCGACGGGTCTTTCATTTCCGGTGTCAGTTACTTAGCAGGTGGAGCCAATTTGACTGTTCTCACTGCTGGAGACTTCAACAACGATGGATATATGGATATAATCAGTTGCCATCAGACACTCAGAATGATACAATTGTTATGTAATAATGGAAATGGCACTTTTCGACTTCAGGCGATAACCGTGAACATTACCGGAGCAGTGCAGTTAATATCGAAAGATTTGAATTATGATAATTACGTAGATATAATTGCTGTCGACCGTTATGGTAGATCTGTGCATGCACTCCTGGGTTACGGCAATACAATATTTCGAGAAGTCAAGCTATTTGAATCTTATGACGTCCACGCAGTTGCCGTTGCAGATTTCAATAGAGATGGACAATTAGACCTAGCTAGCTTGTCATCAGTTTCTGATTCTTTGGCGATTTTTTTCCAAAATAGTACTGTAACATAATTAACGATGAACAAAAAGTTGTAGCCCTCAAATTAGAATAAATGTGTAATATGTCCTTTTCAAATAATAGCATGCACCGGATTTAATATAAAGTTACTTTGCAAAATACCATAAAGAGAAATAGAGCACATCTGCTCATATGCAGAGAGTCGTTGTCTTGCTTTATTTCTTCCACATCGGAAAGGTGTGTCAAGACGTAGTTTCATCGGCACGTATATATATATATATGAAAACTCTCATCTATAGAAAGATTTCTCTTATCTCGTCAACTTGTCAATGACTTTGTCTGCAAGAGAATCAAGAAATTACCAGCAAAGAATATTAAGAGTGGACATGAGGACGTCCTCGAAACTTTCCTTGCTTTACAATTTGAACAAATGGTGAGCATACGTTAGTAAAATATGGTGTACATTGTCAAAACAATATGTAAATCATTTTATTTTTCGTACTTTTGACCTGGTCACTTTACGAGAGTTATTACAGTACGTTCGTAACTCATTCATTATAAATCATTTTCTTTGTCATACCACCATCAATGATAAAATTCTACAAAAAAAAAGTCGTAAGGATTTAAGTGACTAGAGGGACTCGATCAGTTACCTGGCCTGTGATAAATCCATTGTCGTCATCAACTAGAAATTCCACCATCTTTGTTATATCATTTGGAACGCCAACGCGACCAGCAGGATGTTGTGAATGATCTGATTCGCTCAAAGGGGAGAGAGCGACTGATTCTTTAGTGTTCATTTCACGAACGTCAATCCATCCGGGTGAGATAGCATTCACTCGAACACCGGAACTAGAAAAGCTAACGGCCATTGCCTGTGTAAGTCCGAGAAGTCCAGCTTTGCTAGCCGAATAGCCTTCATTATTAGCTTCGGATTGAAGAGCACGTATGGATGAGATATTGATAATACACCCTTTCGAAGCACGAAGGTGTGAGGCAGCATAATAAGAACAAATATAAGGACCAACAAGATTTATGTCTAAAAATTTACGAAAATTCGCTACAGGTACATTATCAAACGGCGTAGTCGAATCATCGTTGCCAGAAATCCATGGCGTTGCAAGAGCAGCATTGTTAATAAGAGCATCCAAACCGGAGAATTTCTCCACTGTAGCAGCAATGCATGTCGACACGGATGATTCGTCGCTAACATCACACTTATAAAACAAAGCATGACTTTGAATTGATCTATTCGAATTAGGTGGAAACAATGCGGCATCATTGGCAAGCAGTTGTTCGAGTATTTCTAATGAATGTATATCATTATCTGCAAACGTAACATAGAAACCTCGGGAGAGAAACTTTGTTGCCATATGCCGACCAAGACCATTCGCCGCACCAGTAACAAGAATTCGTTTCATTTCCAATGGTGATGTTATAAAAATGTAAAAGAATTCGTTTTCGAAAAGAATTAAAGAAATGAATGAATGGAATCGTAAAGAATAAGATTGGATAGGTGACAACGATAAGAATCGTTTCATTTATAGATGTCGACGGAAGAAGAATAGAAGAAATATCTAAATTACTATCGGTCATACGTATCAAAACTCATGTGCATATAACTTGAGATCGAGTTCTTCTGCAATAGATTTTCCTTTACCACTCATAATTTGTGGTCATTCATCCGGGTTCGATGTTGATTGAGGATTTATATCCGTCTCAATATCTTACACATAGATAATCGCATGTAGTATAAGTGTCAGATTGGATCTCTGAATGATAAAAAAAAGTATTGAATATCAACTACAGTTGAGAGCGTTAAAACTACGATTACCTGCGTATCGTTGATTGCATAACTAATTGGATCCAGCAGTTTACTTCATAAAGTTTCACTCTTATCAACGAGAATGGGCTTCATTGTCAGTGATAACTCTTTTGCTATACATCTGTTCATCCAAAATTTATAATTACATTGTGGAAAGAAAGTATGATAGGTTAAAAGGAAAAAATTAGTAAATGGTTTTCAGTTAGTTTTTCATGAGCCAGTTCTTTGCTGTGGTTATCAAACTGTTCTTCTCTTGAGGGTATCATGACGGAAATAAGTATATGTCTATGTCATTATTCATTTCCATACTCGCTTGTTACACAGACAAATTTGCTAAAAAATGTGGTGTTCTATGTAAAGCTCTGAGTATCGATGACATTTTAAGTTATTTTATTAGTTCTCTTGATTACATCAAAAACTTTAAAAATGAAGCTATTTCAAAGATAGAAGATGCGTCGGTCTCTCAGACCAAAGAATATCATTGCCATGCAGTTCAGTTCGAAGAAAATCTTTAACAAATGCTAAAAGATTTGGGTATTTGATGTCATAGTAAATTGTTTCGTGTCTATCTGGATCATCAATTCGTTCGTGATCGATAAAAACAAGTTTGGTGTGAACACCTTGAATGTCTTTGAAATTTCGTCGTAAGTCGTCCACAAAAGCCACAGGATGTAAATCCTCGATGACTTGTTTCTTCGGATTTTTACAAATATTATCTTTGTGATAACCTGTACATATAATTTTGTCAATGGGAAAGCCATGTAAACGAAAGTTTTCCAAACGATGTTCACTATGATTCGACGACATTGCGGTAACACAAACTAGTTCATACCCGGCTTGATGCAACAAGTGACATGCTTCGAGTGCTCCATCTTGCATTGGCATTGTTCTCCAGCCATGTTCATTCCATACTTCATCGAATTGAAATTTCTCTTCATGAGTTAATTGAACACCATATTTTGTTTCAGCCTATAGGAGTTTATAAAGTAGAAAAGAGTAAAAGTTTGTCAATGAAAAACACTGCTGAGACTTACGCGATATGCTTGAGGTACTACAACTGACAATTGCTTTCCAAATGTTTTTTCGTAAATTTGAGCATAGGTAGCATCGAAATTCAAAAGGACACCGTCACAATCGAGTGCGATAATCGGTTTCTTTGGTGTACTGGAGGCTAAACTGGAATCGTTGGTCATGTTTATAATGTCGATACCAGTAAAACAGAATGCGGTATTTATATACATTCTGTACTCCTTATACACCATGTTTTTCAATGACGATATTTTCTTTCAAGTATTACGCAATAACAGTGACACGCAGGCACTACGCGATATATCATCGCCGCGATGAAGCACCGAAAGGTTTTATTCGTCATATTTACTCAGAAATTTTCGATGAAAAGCAATCGTTCTTTTCAACGACTTGTTAAAAAAGATAAGAGATTGAAGTAAATTCTGAAGTTAAATGCAATAGCTAATACTCTTTTGCTTAAACTACCTTCAAAGACAGGACAGAGTAGCCTGTGGGTAAGCACGTAACATAAATTCGTGCAATTTCATCGCAACGTTTTGTACTTTGTATTCTTTTCTATCCTCTTACGATTACCATTTCATTATACTCGATAGCAGTTTGCGACAATAAACTTCGCAACAGACGAATGGTTGTTTCTTTTATTCTCTGTTTCGTTTTAAAAACGTACATCGACATAGGCTTTTCATTGAAAGAAAGTGATTCTTTCCATTCACGTCAACACCCTTACCAACAGCATCAACAGTTGCCATTACTTAAGAAAAAAACGACACTCAACTATCATTGCCCTTCATTTCACGGTGAATACGATGAATTCACTAGCTATTGTCAGCCTACTCGGTGAGTTTTGATGTTTCTCCGCTAATTTTTCGCATACATAGCTTTGTATGTTCAGCTTTGTTGCCTGTTTGCTTGACTACTAACTGCTACGTATGTAATCCTGGCTCATCAGGATGCGATCCATTCAGTTCAGGTGGCTCCGGTGTATCAACGACTTCATCATATACAAACTGTTATGTGAATAGATGCTTTACCAGCACAGCACAATAGATTTCTCTGTTTTCTTTAGAAAGTCACTACCGGATCTGCCTCGGGCACCTATCGAGGCGGTTCTAGTGCCTGTTCAGCTTCTAGTGGTTCGAGTGCTAGTCTATTTTGTTGCTCTACGGACTATTGCAATGGGGCTACAGTAAAATACCAACCATCGTCTGTGTTAGGACTTGCTCTTGCTGCTCTTTTCTTTGAGCGTCGACGTCTCTAGCCAACGCGTGTCGATCAGTTCTGACTGCTAATCCTGTGTGTGCGTGCGTGCGTGCGTGTGTATGTACTCATTTTCAGAATCATTATCTGTATTTATTCGAATAAAGTAGACACAACTAAATTGTTTACAGGAACTAAAATTTGTCGACCATAAAACGATTCTCTCTCTTTCTATTTAATCAGTTAACCAAAATTCACATCGCTATCAACAAACACTTCTCTTTTTTTTTCTTTCTTTTGCAACACTATTCTGGTGCTGAAAAGTAAAAAAATGTATCGACAATGTGCGTCATCACCATCATTCACATCGTCAACAGTTCTTAGTGATCGAAAAGAAAGTAACAAAATTCGACAAGAATTGTGTTTCATCTGAAGCAAAACGAAATCAACATGAAATTACTGAACGTTATAGTTTTACTTGGTACAAACCATAATGTTTTTTGACAACCTGCTTTTATTGTATTTTTCTCGCAGGCTTATTATCGACCTGTTCGGCTTACATCAACTGCTATTCATGTTCAGCTGGAACAGATGGATGCTTTCCGTTTTCTGCATATGGTCGCGGAGTAATTGCCTACGCATATAATGTCTGCGTTGTGAGTCGTAAATCATATAATTTTACAAAGACTATAATATGAGTTTTGTGCACGGACAATGTCATATTGAAACACGATCAGTCGGTAACAAAAATAGAGGAATTCCATTTCTTCTGCTATGAGAGAACTGCAGGACTCTTGAATGATATTACCTAGTGAAACTATGTCAGACTAAATCAAGAATAAACCAGTACAATACACAAAATCATTACTGTTCGTTTTATTTAGAAATTCACTAATGGAACTTCGTTAACGACCTACCGATATCCGTATTACTATTGCCCAGGTTCTAATGATGGAACTGTTGGTACGTTCTGCTGTATGACGGACTATTGTAACGGAGTCACAAGCAAATATCAAATATCAAGTCTCTTCCAATTTGTTCTTGCTGCTGTTTTGGTCAACTTTCAACTCAACTCATTTGTGGTATTGAATTTTTATCTATAAATTTTGGACATATTACCTCATGAATTTCTTTAATCTCACCTCTGTTTGTCAATCGAATAAATGATATCTGCGCTTTGTGAGGTGATCAACACCCACACTCTATCCAGTTTTTATTATTTACGGAACTGAGAGAAATTTCTTCTTTCTTTCAGTTAAATAATCATTTTAAAATTAAAAGTAAACAAATGCGTTGACGATAGCAAAAAAGAACACTTCATATTTCGTTGACGTCACCCATATTTACCCACGAACCCAAAAGAGCTCAATGACAATTTTCATAGGGTTGCGTCCTTCATCTAAAGAAAAACAATGAAATCAACGTGAAATTATTGAATGTCTTCTGTTTACTCGATATGAGTTTTAATAAAATTTTTTACTACCTATATAATGGCGCGACTGGAACAGATGAAGAAGTATCTTTTGTCTAATTTAATTTGTCTTGTGAATAACAATTGTAACCGAAAGAGGCATAACGTCGCAACGTGAGAACAAGTTCTATTCCAATTGTGAATACTACGAAGATTTACAATGAAAAGATCGAACGAAAAAAGTCGAAGTAAATATCAAACATTGTGCAAGGTCATTGATGGCCAATAACAGCTTGTTTCACTTTTATATACTTTATCTTATGAAGATTTAGTTCCACCATGCCACGCTATACTACCCGTCATACTCACTGATACCGTAGCTCTCTCCTATAATCTAATCTTCATCATTCTTCCTGTTACAACTTCGCCCGCAACCCTGCCATCACTGTCAATTTTTCATTGATTCGATAATTCTGCGTTGGACATTTTGACTTTCAATATTTTTTTCTTGATATTTCTTAATACATAACCGCTACGAGTTCCTCAATTAATTACAACTGGGAAATGGAATCACATTGTCAATTCTTCGATATACCATACTCACTTGTCGTCATCTTTTGTCATTTGTGAGTAGTTTTTCGTATTAGATCGTGTGTAAATGTATGGTGCATTCATTTTTTATGGTTACTTTAATCTAACAAAGAAAAAATGAAATATGAAGCAGTACAATCTCCATGTTCTTCGTCGTGTATACTCTACTAGTCCGCCCACGATTGTGCTCTGAAAAGCGAAGCGCAATCAGCAGTGGCATGATTAACAAACAGAAAAAGCGTATCTCTACGAATACATTAAAGCTATTTTTGGGTGAACGGTGAGAACAATTTTTTTTCATTCAAATGAATAATTATCTTGAAGTTGAAAAATAAATAAATACGCCGACGTCGCCGAAAGAAGCAGCGTCACTTTTTATTTGCGTCATCGATATTACTGACTATAAAAAGGCACCAACAACTGCTCAGAACAATCTCATTCGCCTCACAAAAGAACGAATTCAACATGAATTCATTTGCTGTTCTTTGCCTACTTGGTAAGTCTATTTACTTCGTGATAAACGATCTGTTTTACGTTCTCTTCTCATGTAGCTGTATTACCTATTTGTTCGGCAATCACTTGTTATCAGTGTACTGCTGGGTCATCAGGATGTGATCCATTCAGTGCCAGTGGCTCAGGTGTGTCTACCAGCAGTTCCTCTGCTTGCATAGTGAGTAGACGACTATCGATAGAGGAATATATTTTCTGTTTTCTTATAGAAAGTTTCAACAGGATTTTCGTCAGGTACAACTCGATCAAGTGCTAGCTCATGCACAGCTAATAATATCGGCGGTGTTGGAACATTCTGTTGCTACACAGACTACTGTAATGGAGCTACAAGCAAATATCAAACGCCGTTCCTTTTGGCTCTTGTCATTGCTGCTCTTTTTGCCAAACATCGATTTCTCTAGACAATAGGGATTCGCCAATCATGACATTATACTTTTTGGAGTGAAACCTTGCGTGTGTGTGTGTGTGTGTGTGTGTGTGTGTATTACCCCGCTTTGTGATCCTTACTCTCATTCATTTAATAAATTGCAAAGAACTGATTTTATAGCTTAACAAAATTCAGGTTTTTCTCAAATGAACAAAACACCTATGGTAGCGATCGTTGATTCGGATAATACACCAACGCAGAAAAGCTAAACGCTTACTTAGCTCTACTGTTTCGCTCTCAAATTAGCGAGCGATGTCATCTAATCTGTGATACTAGTGATTTCGAATATTGTACTCTTTTCCCTTTTTTATTTACAGCCAAAAAGATTCCAGCTATTTATGAGCTTATTACTGCGAGCATTTTCACGGAAGAAATTTAAGTCGATATGTTGAAACTCGCAGGATTCAAAAACACGTGAGTCATGAGAAAGAACTGAAGTGCTGTACATCGTTTGATAAGTTTTTCTCCTCGCGAAGGTAAAACAGGCAGACGGCACATAAAAGTAAACCAAAGAGCGTAGCTAACGATTGATTCATTTTGGTGACTCCTTTAGCCGCCATATAGGAAGTGATTAGTTCGCGATTACTGTTATTCATTAACTATCATTTTCTTTAAATGTCCGAAACATTCGTCTGACACAGTAATTCTCGATATCTTTTTCTCTGCTGACCACATTATAACTCGTATAGGAAGAGTATTTTTCTTACGAGAAGCATGGTTATTTTTGTCTGAAACAAATCGATCAATATTTGAACATATCTCCCCATTTCATATCAACAATGAGCTGGAGTTTTCATTCATCTCCGGAGGGAAACGATCGTGAAGTTATTAGCTGCTCTCAGCTCACTCGGTAAACTTCTACAGGTTCTAGTAATGATCATATATTTTGTATGGCGAGATTATTTACCTGCTTGTTTCGATGCTGTGTACTTTGCTCGCATCTCACATATATTTTGACGTCAAATCTTGCATGTATGTGCGAATTTAATTACTCCATCTAGTCACTTTCATTTATTAAAATAGAGTATGAAAAAATTCTATTCACACGAACTGAACTTGTTGATGAGAGAACGACTGTGCGTATTTTGTCAGTTACTCAACATTTGATTCTACAGAACTCATTTAACTCTTTTTCTTTCGTTTATAGCATTTTTTGAAATTGAAAAGCAAATAATTTGATTGACGATGAGCGTCATTGTCACCATTTTCATCCGTTAATGGTTCTTAATAATCGAGCGAAAAGTAACATGAGATGGTTGAATGTTCTTCTTTCATTAGGCACCACTACCATAGTTTCTGATGACGCACTTCTATGTTGCGCCTGGCGTTTTCTAGACAACTACGATGTAGTTATAAACAATCTTCAAACGCCATTTCTTTTCAATCATTTCATTGTTAGATTGTACGGTGTGAGTTTTTGTGTGTATGCGCGTATATGCATCTCCTTCGTAATTATTTTGACTCCTAAAACAAAGTAGAAGAAGTGAGATTTGAAAAAAATCAGGATAAATTTGTCGATTAGAGCCCCGCAGTACATCTTCTATCAAAACACTCTCTCCCATTCGAAGTGCCTGCTCAACATAACGTTTAGTTTTCTTTCATCTTGAGGGGTGCTGCAACTTATATCGAAAGAGTTTTTTTTGTGGAAAATAATGTTAGCTTCGTGTAAATAAAATAAATTCAACTTTTCTTCGCTTAAACAATGTTTCTGACGTTAAAAAGTAAATAAAATGTATCCAGAATGGCTTATTCTTCGGCAACAAATGGGTTGCTAAGCATTCCCAAAACAAATGTCAACACTATCAATAGTTACAGTTATAGTCTATAAAAAGGCACTGAAAACTACCGAGAACCATCATTTCTATTGTAGAAAAGAAACCAATATGAATACATTCACTGTTCTTTGCTTATTCGGTAAGTCTTAGTAGTTTTAACAATCATATCTCATATGTTACGCTTTTAGTTTTGCTGCCCGGCTGTTTGAGCATCACTTGCTATGTATGCTCGGCTGGAATGAATGGATGCGATCCGTTCAGTGCCACTGGCACAGGTGTATCAACGACCAACTCAAGTACAAGCTGCATGGTAAGTGTGCATTCTGTTCTGACTGGACGTATTATATTTCTCGACTTTGTTTAGAAAGTTACTACTGGAGTTTCGTCAGGCACCTACCGAGGCGGTTTAAGTTCTTGTACAGCTGCCAGTATTGCAGGCGTTGGCACATTTTGCTGTTCTACAGATTACTGCAATGGAGCTACCAGCAAATATCAAGCACCATTTCTCTTAGGCTTTGTTCTCGCTGCTCTTTTCGCCAAATATCGATTTCTTTAAACAGTATACGTGTACTGATCGTAATGACTCTAAATCTCATGATGTGAACCGTGTGTGTATGTGTGCGTTTATTCATTGCCTTCATCGTTATTTTTATCATTTATCCAAATAAAATAGAAATAATGGATTTTGCAGTCTTGCAAAATTCATGTTCTTCGATCTCTCAGTTGCTTTTTTTCTACCAACTCTGATGAGACCGTAAAACTAAGAACAGAAAACGATTGTTTACCTTATTACTTGAACAAATATTAATAGAAGAAAAAGAAATCTTTTTTGATGAATAAACAAAATCGTTCAGGTAATACTTTGTTTACAGTTCTATACTTCTGCTTGCCAGAAACTAATCATATTACAGAAAACTGATGTTTGCCTACTCTTTCTTTTCTCTTCGAAGAATGTTAACTACTATTTGCATTTTAAAAATAACATGAACAGAAGTAACTTACTATTCGTCAGAATCTGGGAAAAAAACAATATCAACTCTTCCAAAACGACGTAGTTTAAAGCTAACAATAAAGATTTGCTCACGTTTGAAGACATATGTGTTTGATTGAATCAATTCTGAATGGAAGAGATTGATTTCTCTCCTAAAGACAAATATGTGTAATGCCTATTTGACGATAATCACTTTATAACGGCTCGCTTTATTATCTCAAAATACATTCATGCATATAATATAACTGATAAGATTTGTATTGTATAATATAAAACACTCATCGACTTGCATTTTCACGTATCAATTATGATGTTTTACATTACAATCTTTTTTGTCTTCTGCATTCGCTTCACACAACAAGCTACTTCTTCATTCATAAGCGTGCAAAACCGTCGTTTAACATTGAACGGACAAGATTATTTGTATGTGGGTACAAACTTTTGGTACGGTGCTAATCTAGGTTCCACAGGTCCCGGTGGCAATCGGACACGCTTATTGCGTGAACTGGATCATTTGCATTCGTTAGGAGTTGATAATCTACGTATACAAGCGGGTAGTGAAGGCCCTAATACGGAACCATGGCGTATTGTTCCTTCGATGCAACCTGAGCCTGGTCGCTATGACGAGGACGTTTTAGAAGGTCTCGATTTTCTTTTATACGAGATGGGTCAACGCAACATGCGTGCGGTCATGTGTTTAAATAATTTCTGGCACTGGTCGGGGGGCTATGCTCAATATATTGTTTGGGCTGGTGGAGCAAGTTCAATTCCTTATCCAGGCGATTACGCTGCATTCGAACTTTTTTCAGCGCGATTTTACGAGTTACCAGCAGCTGTACAATTGTTTAATAATCACATTCAATTTATTATGAAGCGTACAAACAAGTATAACAACTTGCCATATGTGGAAGACTCGACGATCGTAAATAAAAGCAAAGACGCTATATAGAATTAATTTGAAAATCTGTTTCTCATAGATGTCATGGGAATTGGCAAATGAACCTCGTCGTTTAAATCTTTCCTGGGTAAATGCAACGGCTTGTTCGATCAAGCAGTTAGCCCCTAAACAGCTCGTGACGACAGGTGTCGAAGGTAGTATATCTTCTAACAATTTTTCAAATGATCATGCAAGTCCATGTATTGATTATGCTACATTTCATCTATGGGTACAAAATTGGAATATTTACGATCCGAAGAATGCTTCTGATACATTTCCACCTGCATTAGAGTTCGCTCGAAAGTACATCGAATACCACGTTGCATACAAAGAAAAGCCGGTCGTACTGGAAGAATTTGGTATCTCACGGTAATTAACAATACATATCGTTTTTGTAACAAATCGAGTCTGTCTGTAGAGATAATGACGATCACAGTGCAACAGCGCCCATTACCATACGCGATAAATACTATCAGGCTATTTTTCAATGGGCTCGTGATTATCGTATACCCGTGAATTTCTGGGCGTACGGTGGCGAAGGACGACCGAGACTTCCACGTGCTAATTGGACCCAAGGTGATGACTTCATTGGTGATCCTCCTCATGAACCTCAAGGCTGGTATTCTGTGTACGACACAGATGAAAGTACATTAGAAATTATCCATAGCTTTGCTTCAGTTAGCTCAGCATCAGTGACAAAAACATCGCTCGGCTTTTCCATTCTCCTACTATACAATTTCTTGCACAACCTATATTATCTTGGTTAATTTCATCTAGTTATTTGCATTAGTAATAGTCTTTTTCTTTGTCAGTAAAATGAATATATATGGGCAACTTCATTATCACATAACGATGTCGAAAAATAATTCGAGCGAAAGGTTATTATAATTCCCTTGGAAGAATGGCTTCGAATAAATTTTTTATGTAGCATAATCTCATACTTATTATAGTTGATCATCGTATCGTGCAAAAATTTTCTTCCATCTTTAGTGAGTAAATTTAACATTGAACACCCAAATTGTGTTGAAGAAAATTCATCTTGTGCGATAATCAGACTATCAAGCAACTGTTAATATTTTATGAGAATCTAGCCAACACTCGACAGAAAGCATATACTTCCACAAATATATAATTGCAAATTTACAGAATTACATTTATTATAACGACGTGCATTTAGATTTTTCTCACAGTATTACAGATAACTGAAACAAGAAGTAAGCTTGAAAACAAGAAATATATTACTATATAGGAGCTTCTATTCTCTTTTCATTTAAAAGCAATGAACCGAACTCAATCGGCCATCGATCCATCGCTGATAGTTTGGAATATTTCAACGATTGCATTAACAACTTTAGCGATTGGATTAGCTACTCTATTCTTAATAACTATTCTAATCGACAAAAAGTCGAAAAAAATTCCAATAATGGTATTAGTTGCCAATTCATGTTTATCTTCGATTGTATTTGGTATAGACATGCTTGTTTGTTTCCTAATTGCTCTAAATAATGATCTGAAAGAAATTCGAACTGAAGATTCATTGTGTAAATTTCGAGCATATGTTGCTTATAGTGCATGTGGGGTATTTGATTATTCATTTTTTATCCAAGCCTTATATCGATATAACACTATTATTCATCCGAAACGTACAAACTGTCAATCGTTACAAAATCAGCTTGTTATAATCGTTTTAACATGGATTTTAGGTTTCCTATTCCCTAGTGTATTTTTATTTACAACAGAAATTGTCTATAATGTTGACAATCAAATTTGTCAAATACCTCTTCGAGTATCGATATCAACGATCTATCTTTCATTTTGTATCTATCTTATTCCATTGCTATTGATTACGGGAATGTATTTGAAATTAATTCGACATGTAAAACATAAACGTATTCGTACCATACAAACAAGAAAGTTTATTCGTGCACATTGAGAATTAGAAATTGTCAAACGTATTCTTATACATGTGCTCATCTTAATGGGAGTTGGATGCGTCTATGCAAGCCTGCTGTTCATGTCCATCTTTCGTGACCTACCAAAGTATCATTTTCGTATAGCGTACATTTTCGGCAGTACCTCTTTTCTGTTTGTTATGATCACGATATTTCAATTCAATCCATTACTTAAACAATCAATAATAAATAAATTGTTACATAAATAATCATGTTGAATTATTAACTGTCAGAGAAAATCTTAAAAAGAACACGAATGTCTATGTGTCGTGTACTTCTTTGAAAACAGAATAAAAATACTTCTATTTCAAGTGATGCTCTGAACCTTTAGCTGAATCAGTCCACAGTTGTTACATAAACAACAGCCGGCGAGTAGAACGACGTTTTTCGATGAGTCCACTAGATTACTAGCTACGATTTTCTTTTTTTTCTGTTCTGTCATAATTAGTGAAATGAAGTTTCCAGAAAGTAAATGCTTACTGACGATGACAACACTCAACAAAGTGTCTTAGTCACGTTAGGTAACGCGACATAGATTAATATTACGAGTAACAAGTTTTAATTGCTGTCGTTAGTGCTTTTTTTTCTCAAGTTATACAATTTGATAATGCATTCCTGGTTTATTGTACTTGATATATTCAATATCGTATGTCTTACTTTCGTTATTCTTGTGTTATTCGTCTTTTTATTAACAATAACATTTGACAAAACATGTCACACAATTCCCATGATCCACATAGCTAATTCATGTTTAGCAACGTTGATATGCGCAAGTGATATCTATTGGATAAGTGTCTGCACACTCCGAAATGATCTTCAACAAATATATAACGAATATCTATTCTGTATATTTGGAGGCTATTTAACATATGTCACATGTGCTGTGCTGAATTATTCATTTTTATTACAAGCTTTCTATCGTTATGTGATCGTTACCTATCCTTCAAATTTATTTTGGCAATCGCAACGATGTCAAATCCTTTTTGCTATCGTCGCATGGGCGTATGCGCTCATATTTCCTATTACATTTATGTTCAATGGTGAGATTATTTACAATATGCATAATCAGATATGCCAAATACCACTTCGACTTTCATTCACCATGATTTTCGTTACTATGTCTCTTTACGTTAGTCCTTTATTATTAACTATACTGATCTACTATCGATTGGTTCGATATGTTTATAGGATGAATAAACGTATTATACCTGTGAATACACTGTCGCGTGCTCAGAACGAATTGAAAATGGTTCGCCGTACGGTGACACTGTTATGCACTGTATTCATCATTGATTTTCCGTACGCATTATTTTTATTTATATCCTTTTTTACTATTCCACCTCGGTATCATTTTCGAATTGCTTATGTGTTCATCAACGTTGGGTTGGCATGTGTAATTATAATCTTATTTCAATTCACGGAACAACTCAGATCATCGGTCTTGAAAATCTTTAATCTGCAACTAGGAACTACTACTGAACCGAATAACACCTAAGTAGATGATAAAGAAACCAGCGCTAATTTCATCTCTTACATGTTTTTACATATGTTACATATGATGGCAATATAAATTAAAATAATAGTTTCGGGGTTATGCTGACTATAGTCGTCTTTCGGATGATTAAGGAGCCTCTAACTGACAATTGACACGTTCGACAATTAGAATGACAATTAGATAAGAGCTGTAAAGTAAAACTGTAAACACAAAAACGATGTATAGGCATGTTTCAGATTAAAAAAATTTTTCATCAGCGTAAATAAGTTGCCATGATAATAGCAATTGTATGTCGATAGAGGTATTGGATTGTTTGTTATGGTTCGTGACGATAGGCTTGGTTGCTTTTTGCTTATCAAATCAGCGATTCAGATTCTTTCTAGAAGATGGGAATCATTTGGACAGAAACAAAACCAGAAATTGCTCTTTTACTGAAAATTTTCACAGGATGGTACTTTGCCTTTGGTGTTGGCGCTTTCTTTCCTGCGACAAATGAACCCTTTTTTACGAGGTCACCAAAGACATGGGATATCCTCCATTGTTATATGCTCAATTTTGCCGGACTTTATACTTTGCAGTGTACGATTTGGACGTTGACTAGCGCATATTATTATCCTTCACGAGTTTCTGCTATGTCGATGGCCGCACAGTTGTTGTTAGTTGTTGGCATTGTCACATGGATTCAAATAACTGGAAATCTGTTTTCTCCATTGGGACTTGCAGCGTTTTCAATTGATGCATGCTTCGGTTTACTTTTCGCTTATTTTGCTATTGCTTGAATAAATTGTTCGGAGGCGACATCTAACGTAGTACGATATTTTGTTATCAAGCAATAATATTGAAAAATTTACCTTAATCAGCTCAATTCATAGTTCTTATGCAAAGTGTAGTTGAAGGGGAAATCGAAGAGTTCTTCCAACGTAATATCATTGGTTAAATCGAGCCAATCAATCACAACAGTGATGATTATAAACGTATATCAAAACAAAGGACCAACGTGTTAACAACTGCTTTTTACTTTTAAAAGTATTGTTCACGTTGTTTTCTCGATGACAAGTGTAATTCAACAGCCAAATTTAACCGAGAGTTTAAGTTTAATCGGATGGCGATTAAAACGTGATGCAGAAATACAAGGTTTCTATCAATCATATAACATTTCGCTTCATATGTTTAAACTTGTCTTTAGAACGTAGAAATGAAGCAAATTTCGAATGTGATGTCGAACCTACAACTACCTCGTATGCAGCATCGGAATATGCATCAGTTATTGACGATGATTACAATCTGGATCTTTGTTTAGAAGTTGATTCGATTGATATAAATGTTTCTTCTCAAGACACCAGTGATGACTACGATCCTTATGAAGTATTCATGCGATTGAATACACGTCGAACAGGTACTGGACGTGATCGTGCACCACTGACGATACTACCATCGCAAACATCTACCAGTTCACCTTTAGCAAGCAACTATCGTAATTACAATTTTGCTGATGATGATACACCCGTGAAATATCCCTTGGCTATCGGCCTGATTGATAAACGCTTAAAACAGCAGCAACACGCTCAACCATCTAATCGCACTGGAGTTTCTTTATCTGCTCAGAGTCATCAAAACAATGTCTCGAGTATCCGTCGACCGATGCCTATACCAAATACTTCACTGAAACGAGTTACATTTCGTCAATCGGATGATGAGTTTGATATTGATGATAATAATGACGATTCTTTGAACAATGATGTACGCCGGCGCAATAAACTACCTAAACGTACAGCAGCTCGGATAGGTGCTCAACGTTTTCGCAGCCATCATGAACGTTCATCGTCGATGGGTGACGACGATTTAGACGATGATATTGCTCCAACAGTAACGGAAATGGATATGTTAGAAGATGACGAAGACGTCGACGGTAGCGAACCGATCACGAAATCTATGTCTTCACCTATTAAACCACCATCGTTACCATCGAACAGAGCAACAACAAGCAAATCATCTTACATTGGTAATATGCTACCAAGTTTTTACGAGCAATTGCCAGAATCAAAAAAAATGTTATTACAAGATGCAACAGTCGATTCATCATCGAAAAATGCCAACGTTGGTGGCGAGGAGATAGTTGACGAAGAAAACCGCTTACAGTTTCGTACTGCGGCACCGGTGCAAGGATATAGACGAGCAAATCATCTCCAGGGTACGAAACGATACTATGGGAATGAAGATGATGACAATGAGCAAAATCAGCAGCAATCAAAAAAGCGTAACCAGGATTATCTTCAGCATCGAAATTCACAAACGCGTTACCGACGAACAGATGAGGATTACGATGTAGATTATGATGTTAATCAAGATGCATCTCAAGAAGATGAATATCAACAAACAATTAGAGCACCAGCGAGAAGAGGGTAAGACAGTCGTTGATTGTTTGAATATGCGTAATAAATTTTGCTTACCGATCGTTGTTTAGTCGACCACCTTCTCAGCAGCATCAGGAAGATCCAGCAAAGAAAAGTGCTCGTCTAATTGCACAATTTGAAGAACAACACGGTATGAAATTAGGTGACATGCGTGTTTATGCGCCGAAACTTCGCCTTCGTATATCCAGTGTCAATGTTAATTGGATTAATCTACCTCCAACGCCAAAATTCCCTAACAAAGTTCATCATTCTTAAAAATATTCTTCCGTCTCTACTTGTTTTGTGTTTTTTTTTCATCATTATGTATATAGATCATATTATTGTCGATATTGTAGATTGAAACAGTAAATTAGCAAGCATGTTTATGACGAGAAGTGAATACGATCGAGGTGTCAACACCTTTTCGCCCGAAGGCCGTCTCTTTCAAGTTGAATATGCCATCGAAGCTATTAAATTCGGTACAACAGCCATTGGCATAATGACACAAGAAGGTAACTTGAAATGTATGCATTCATTCGCTTATTTACTCGTTGTACAGGTGTTGTACTGGCTACAGAGAAACGTATTACATCGGTATTGATAGAACCACGCAGTATTGAAAAGATTGTCGAAATTGATGCACAGTGCGTCGTTTTTCCTTTTCTTTTTAAACAAACCAATTTTCTTATCCATTTAGTTGTGGCTGCGCGATGTCCGGTTTAATTGCTGATGCGAAGACATTGATTGATAAAGCACGTGTCGAAGCACAGAACCATTGGTTTACACACAATGAGCGAATGACAATCGAGTCGATTACACAATCTGTATCAAATATGGCATTGGCATTCAGTGACGATTCGGAAGAAGTTGCACCTATTTCACGTCCATTTGGCGTAGCACTTCTATTTGCTGGTTGGGATGAAAACGGTCCACATCTATTTCATCTTGATCCGTCGGGTACTTATACAGAATACGATGCGAAAGCAATCGGTTCTGGTAGCGAAGGTGCCGATCAAACACTGCAAGATGTATATCACAAATCAATGAAGTTACCGGAAGCTTGCAAGCATATTTTAACCATTCTCAAACAAGTTATGGAAGAAAAACTGAACGCTACAAATGTCGAAATGGCGACGGTCGATGCACACGGTTATCGCTTATTTAAAAAAGAAGAAATCGATGATATTATTAAGAATATGTAAACGATTTTTGGAGTTTTTTTCTTCTTGTTACGTTGTTCTGTTTTTCAAAAAAACCTCTAAAAACAAAATCCACTCTAATTCCGAATCAATTCTTTTCTTTTTCATTTCATTAGATATGAGCAGTGACGAAGAAGAACTCGAAATTTCAGATGATTATTACTATTCCGACGATTACGATGATGATGATTCCTTCGATGATTTTGGTGACGAAGAAGAAGAAGAAGAAGAGGAGGAGGAGGATTTAGCACAACAACCGATCCATTTTCGTGAATGTCTCCGTTTACTTGATGCAGCATTAACATCGAATAATCCACCTATTCTCCCACGATGGTGTACAAGTGAACATATTAATATACTCGAAGATCCAATGCTGCTAATTGACGGTGACGAAAAATGTCTTTCATTGCCTATGAATAAGAAAGAAGTTCGACGGTTTATACGACGTGCTGAACCATTAGATATGAACATTGATATTGTTGATGGAATTTCTTTTCCACCATCTGCTCATCAGATACCAACAGATGCATTCAGTATCCTCAACCAACGTTGGTCAACCAAAATTGAACCCTATCTAAAACGCACATGCATCGGACCAGCACTTCAACTCGATCACAATCAACTCGATATCAAAGTTTCCAACTTATTTTTACTTGAACCATGTCAGTTTCCACGACAGTTTCATTGGTCTGCAGAACAACAGCATTCCGGCACAATAGCTAAACTATTTCTCAGTTTACCATCGATTTACAAAGGTGGAAAAGAAACACTCATACACTATAAGGAAAAGCACGTTTTCGAAATGTCATCAAACACCTATACAATTGTTCCGATGAGTAGTGAATGCAAACATGAAATTGATTTTATATCACATGGATATAAATTAGTATTAGTCTATGATATTATTCCGATGACGCCCACGATCTTTTACAACGTTGATATTAACGAAGCAACGTTGACACGTGTTGGACGAGTGTTAGAAACATGGATGAATGGATTAGAACATGAATATCATGGTTATTCCTCAAAAATTATTATACCATTTTCTGATACGTTTCATGTTGGTCATAATCCACTTCTACATGGTATCGATCGAGTTATTGGAACTGTTCTTCGACGAACGATTGAACATCACTACTCCGAACATTTTCTACTCTATCAAGGTCTTATTCAACCAAATCGATCGAATGATGGTACCGCACACGCCTGTCGTTTACTGACAGATTTAAAACTGATGAGCAATAATAATAGCAACATGTCGACGACGCTTTTTAATCAAATTGATTTATGTCTGGGAAATTGCAATGAAACTTATTCCGGTAATGTCTTTGTCAGAAAAGCACGTTCTGAACAAGGACAGTTGGTTTCCTTGGAGCAATTTTCTGTACCAATTTGGTGTCTTGTTCCTATGAGTGAAAAATACAATCTATTGATTGACAACATTCCACGTGTTCTATCTCATCTCGAACAGAATCTTCTTCCTCATCATCAACATCATCAAACAGAAATTTTTTTACTTATTGATTGGTTATTAACAACTACGAAGAAGATCAATTTCAATACGAAATCACTTCTTCACCATTTACTTCGTCTTTCGACAGATCCAACGATAACACATCATTTTAGTATGATTATTCGACAACTACTGGAACACAAAAAGTTTCACGATCAATTCTTTCCAATGATCCTCAAACAAGAATATGACGATATCGTTTATCTTCTAAATTATTCTAAAGACGACAAAATTCAATTGTACATTCATCGAGTTTTTCAAACTGTTCTTAAACGTCGTTCACGCGATTCCGAACGAATTCGGGATGCCATTAAATTCATCGGTACATTATCCACACGAAATATTGATCCAAGCCTTTTGCTTGTTCTCACTCATGAATTACTGTCAAACGTATTGAAGCCAAATAGTCCGAAACTATCCATGACGGATCTTTCTAACCTCTTGGCACTTTTATCCATTTCCATTGATTCGTACGAACCATCATGCCAAATCATTTCTCAGCAAATCATTCAACAAATTAAAATAACAACAACAGCCATGACGATATCGTCTACAATTACGAATCTCTTACGAACAGTTCTTGTGCCAACTCTGATTCAAATCTATCGGCAATTTGCAGATACAAATTATTTCTATGGAAAACGAAAACGTGATTCAACAGTATACTTTCCTCCGTGGTTTTNCATTGATTCGTACGAACCATCATGCCAAATCATTTCTCAGCAAATCATTCAACAAATTAAAATAACAACAACAGCCATGACGATATCGTCTACAATTACGAATCTCTTACGAACAGTTCTTGTGCCAACTCTGATTCAAATCTATCGGCAATTTGCAGATACAAATTATTTCTATGGAAAACGAAAACGTGATTCAACAGTATACTTTCCTCCGTGGTTTTTATCGCTCTATCGAACGTGTCTTACATTATTAAACGCTTATTGCAATAGTTCTCCCGCCATTCCTACTTACGATAATCTTTCCAATGTTTTTCATACACATTGTAGTTGTTCAGTTTGCGAACAGTTGTTTGTTTTTCTTCAGAACTCGAAATTATTCGAACAAACATTTCTTATTCCGAACGATAAAATTTATCATTTTAATATGACTGTAAATACGTTTACACCGTTATTTATTACGACAAAACCCATGACGTCAGATAAATGCAATCATCAGATACATATTATGAAAATGTCTACCTACGACGAAGAAATATGGCGTGAAAATATTCTTCTTCGCTCATTATTAGCTCATATTCAATTATCGAATTCCAGTGAAGATCAAGGTGAAATGATGAAAACTAATAGTAAACGTTTCAAATCATCATCATTTTGACTTTTTCTTGTTTTTGTTTATATCTTTTTCTGTATCTAAGAACAACTATGTTTTTTTTTCTTATTTCTATAAAATAAACATGATGGCTATATTGACACCTACTGAATGCACCACATTGCTGTGCTCCAATGGATTAATACCATTGTTGACACAAGAACGCAAGAGTAGAATATAATTTTCTCTTGTTATGGAACAGGTATACGAGTCAGTGTACCGCTTGTACCTTTTAATACGATCAAACATCTACAAGATGTTTTTAACTCTTCTTCAAAGTCTTTTACGTCCACGAATTTTAATTTCCCTCGACGTGGCATCACATGGTAATTGTGACCGTAAGCAATGTCAGTGATACGCCTTACTCGAACTCGACGATCAATTTTTAACATAGCTGCATGAGCACATCCATCACCAATATATTCACGCAGCATCAAACCATCTCGAACTAATTCATTAACAAATGTTTGAATTGGTTCAGACTCGTAGAACCATTTTAAACGAATAATAAAAAAATTGTTATATATACAATCGGAAACATCAGTGACATCGTAGAGGAAGTGCTGTAAAAGGGGTTCCATTGGT